GTGTAGAACAAGCAGCGCTGAAGAGGGCAAGAGCATAGCTTGAAGAATGATTGAGAAATAGGACACAAGCAAACACTTACACTGTACCAAAATGTCGAGTGCTCTTTGTGTAGCAGTACGCCCACTGCCACCTACACGGCCACCACTCATTATCCATATACTTAATTAGCTGGCACCTCTCCTTGTAGTCCTCCTGTAGCTTCTTCCACTCACTCTCAAACTTATCCTGATTGACCTTCCTGACTAGAGCGCTCCAGCGGCCAAGGAATTTACTCTTTTTGTCCTGTTCCTTTTTCTGTACAGCAGCTCTCTCCTCATCTGTTGTAGGTGTAGGAGGTGCGCTGCCTGCCTTGTACGTATGTGCCTCCTTGTAGACCTCAGCTAGCTTGGTGACGAAGTTCTTGTCGATATGCCATATACACAGCAGCTGCGGGACACCCGGCCACTTAGCTCTTAGGGCCTTCTTTAACGCGGCTTCTTTATCTGTACAGAAAACGCGTGGGCGTAGCGAATACGCTTGGAAGAGCTTGTAAAGCTGTTGTGCTGCCCAGTTGTAGTTCGGGTCCTTTTCTCTCGGAATGAAACAATAGGCAATCTCGAAGCTAGTTCCTATGCACGTAATACCCGTTATATGCAGCAACGGCATACCAAAACGGTTAGTCTTGTATGTACAGTTAAGGAGGATGACGTCGTAGTTAGACTTGAGGAGCTCAATCGACTGTGGGTGTGCAAAGAAGAGGTGATTAACGCGGTTTTCATCATCCAGTGAATAGCTGTAGAAGAACTTGCCCGCCTCTCTATTGCTGCCATACGTTTCTAACGTGTGGAGTAGTGCCTAGATGGGACTGAGGCCTTTGAGGAGTTCCTTCCTGTATGATTTGCGCTCATTATTAATATTGTCCTTTGTAATACTTACCCCCTGCTTTAGCAGCTTTGTATACGTCGCTGCAGGTGCACCACCACTGGAGAGGTCATCGCGAATAACCTTCCTTACCTCCTCCGTATGCTCAAGGCGACGTAGTACAGGCAAGGCTGTTGTTTTAAGTATAGCTTCATGGCCAAAATGAGAGGCTTCTGTTGTTTCCCACATCCATGTGCCTTCGGGCTGTCGGGTGAGAGTTCCTTTCATAGTACAGCCGGTCCTCTTGCTTCCAGTCTCACGTATACGGTTCTGAGGCACGTGAAGGCGTGCAAAAGTACACATATACCATATTTTTCGGGTCGTCTTTGCTATAGTCTTGTCCGGTTTGGTACGATATTTGGCCAACCCGTAGCCCTGCAATGAGGCGTGCGTTTGTAGAGCAATATGCGCTTCCTCCGCTGTAGCGTAGTACGCTAGCCGTGGCGGCTGGAGGGCCATGGTGAGTGTATTGTGGAGGTGTATTGTGGAGGTGGAGGAAGAGGCGGTGATTGCTTGTGTACACGCCGCATTTGGAGTGAGCATTTAGAATTGGTAAGCGAATTAAGCGAGCGAATCGGAGGCCCTAGCCGGGCCTCCGAGCCAATTAGAGGGCGGTGAAACGACAGGGGTTTAGGGGGTGTACAACTACTAGAAAGGGGGGTGTACAACTACTAAAAAGGGGGTGTACAGGTACTAGCGCCCCTATATTAACCTTCACAACTTATTAGGAGTTTTTAAAGCCTGTCGAGGTACCCCAAGCAGTTTTAAGAAGTACCTAAACTTGTGCCTAGGTAGTGTATGTTTAATACAGTACTACGTTATAAGTATAGGCACACGGATATATCGCTGCTCTATATATACTCTTGCTCGCTAAATACTACTATAAGCGGCACCCTAGCTAAGATGTATTGGCTACATTAAAGGTTAGTCTAATTTCCACGACGCTGGCCTTCACATTGCATTTGGAGTCCTAGAAATATATTGGGGCACCCCAAGCAATTTTCAAGAGTGGCTATATTCATGTCTTGGCACCGTATAAGTAGCCGGAGAGGAGTGTTTAGCGGAGGCGAAGACGGCAATGGGGATTGTAGAGAGAGAAGAACCATAAATTAGATTGTTGTTATTAAACAAGACAAGACCTGTCTCATATACATAATACAGGCAGCCCACGACTGAGAGTACATCGCAGGATATGTAGTTACGTCGCAGGATAGGCAGTGACGTCGCAGGATAGGTAGTTTTGCTACGCTGTCAACAAGCAATGCAAGAGAAAATGTATTGAGATAACCCACCGGGATCCTTAAGATAAGAGCTGGAAAAGCGGGGAATAACTACAAAGGAGATGGGGCAAAAACAATATAATGTACTCAAATCTCACCTGATTCACTTTTAAAAGACTATATAGTGATACTCTCCTTAAAGTTGCGCGCCCCGCGCACAGGGAGAAAGGGCTCCCATCAATATCAGAACTACATATTTGCCATGTATATACTTCTCTCCGTATCTAGAACTATAGAACACAAAGCGCCATTTAACAGGTTCGCTTTTCAATCTAGCCGTAAAAGAATCCTGAAATGATATAGCTTACAGAAACCTTATGCTGTTTCCATAATCCTATCAGACCCGTAACAACTCTCCGCACTCACGCTTTGGAGTACAGGCAGCCTTCTGGCTAGGGCTGATATACCATCCCTTGTTCGACACTTGAGCATTCAACACCCTGCCCACTACCACAAGTTGTTCTTCCCATTCCGAAGACTGGCTAAGGTGTTCAGCCGCTCCCCGCGAAGCTGCGTAGCTATCGAGAGCTAACCCGCTCGCTAAACGCCCCATCATCCACTGTTGGCTCCTGGGATCTCGTCTATGTGTTAGTACATCGGTCCATTGTAAGAATGGTTCCAGACCAGTCGAACCTTTGGCAACATCTCACTACCGAAAAGAACTGGCTCATACTCGCGGGATAGAGGATGTGTGTCAAGATGGCGGTTCAATTTAGGGTGGTGGAGAGGTTACCAAAGCATTTGGAAGTGTCTTTTTCATTGACAGGTGTCACTCCAAATAGGCCAAGGTTTGATCCGAGGGCGCTTACGGGGATGGGTTGGAATAAGCACTAGAGTTCTGATATCCGAGTCAACCTTAAGGAAAACACATGGCTAGCTTAGAGCTGGAACATTATGGCGATAGATTTCCCGATTTGTAGAATGCTGAACCGGCTGTTGGTGCACGGAAGACATTTGAAGCGGCTAGGATCTTTACGATATTATAAGAAACCGCATTTCTGTTACAGCTATGACACAAGTTTGGGCACTCCTTGTATCTGCTTGGGGTGTCTAGACAGGCCTTCAAAATTGCATATACAATAAAAACCTCCATGCAGTGGAAGTAGGGTTACCGTTTGGCAGGCTAGAGACGTGCCAGCTAGGGCACCCCTTCCAGCGGTCTCGAGTTAGCAAGCGCGGTTCCCGAGGAGTGAGGTTTATGTGTGCCTAGACTCATGACCTAGTACTGGACGAGAGAACAAAGCCAGAGGTTTCCAGGGATTCAAGCCACATTATTATATCATGTTGTTCATGAAGGATAATTCTCAAGAAAAGGATTTTAATCTGGCATTAATTTCCAGCAGGACTAGATTGCCTTATTGGAACCAGCGCGCGACCCAGTCTGTCAGGACTGAAAGTCTCCCAACCCTCGCCCCAAATTCCCATATATTGCTTTGCCAAATACATAACTGTCAGGCTGCGCATAGTGGCTAGCGCCGTACAGGATTGAGACAATAGCCAGTGTGTGCTAGCCTTTGTCCAAGACCTATCAACCGCAACGCCTCGCAACACGCAAGAAAGCAACCGCAAACGCAAAAATCGACGAAATTCAAGCGCTAAATCCAATGCTAAATCCAAATGCTAAACAAGAAATAAGACAAATGAAAAAACTTTTGGAAAACCCCATCTTCATTCGATCAATCGGACTCCTCGTTTGCCTCGTCGGCGTTGGCGTCCCCGCGCTTTTTATTGCTGGGCTCGCCTTGCGCCTCAGTTTCCCGCCGCTCTCGCCTCCGAGCAGCCATCTCAGCATCGCGCTCTTGCCGTCGGTCTAGCGTGGCACCGAGCTGGGAAGAAGTAAAGCTCGTAGCCGGCTGAGTATCATCATCGACCTCCGACCACCGCGCGCGACCCTCACGCGCCGCAACCGCAGCCGCCTGCTCCGCGTACTGCACATACAGACCCTGGGAAATATGCCCCTCGGTTTGTCCGGTCTTGATGACGGCCTTCCACTTCTTCTCAGCGTCCGCCTTGCTTCGCTCGTGCTTCGCCAGCTCGAGTTCCTGGAGCTGCCTCGCAGCCTCCGCGTCTTCGTCCTCCTGCTGCTTCCTGAACTCATCTTCGATAGCTTCAGCCTCCCGCTGCGCCTTCTCACGCCTCTCCTAGAGCTTGGCCTTCCGCTTCTCCCAAGCGTGCCCAATCTCCACAACCATGACTTGCCTGTACGTGTCATTCGTCTGCGACTCCGGGCGCTGCTTCAGCCAGGCCTTAAAGGCCTGCTGTTCCCTGAAGACGCTGAAAGACACCAACTCGGCGTCAGTGTACCCCGGCTCTCCCTGGTCCATATCGTGTTGGTTATTGCGACGAAACACATCATAGATCTCGAAGAGCGCGGCTCGTCGCACCGGCTCAACAAGCCATGGCGAGTTGGGGCGGCGGAATTGCTGCATGTCGGGAACGTGATCCCACGCCACGGGCCTCAGAAGCAGCGGGTAGAGGAGAGCGTCCACCGCCTCGTGCCATCGGGCCTCGTTGCCGGCGTGCTCGGTGATCTCGCGGTCGATGCGGCTAAGGTACAGTTCGGGCGTGACTTGTTGCCAATAGAACCGCATCTCCCTAGCCCGCGTGAATTGGATGAGCGCTGAGTCGGAGAGCCTCGGGGCGCCGTTGCGTGGGAATGCCTGGTTGTCATAGTGGTAGGCAAGCAGAAGGCGCGGCAGGACTTCCTGGCGCTCGGGAAGGTCACCAAGCTGGTCCGCAGGCCGGAAATCAGGCGGAGGCGGGGGGCGGCCTGGCTGCGTCGACAAGCCGTCGATGTGCCTCGGGATCAGTCGTGGATGGAGCACGAGAGTGGTGAAATGTGTCTGATGTGGAGTCTGGGCGCCATTCGACGTCTGAAGAGGCTGGATATTGCTGGTGGACTGTGCCGAGCTAGAACTCGCGTTCAGATTCGTTAAGTGAGCATAGTATGCTTGCTCGCTTGCAGATATGGCTGGTGTCACTCCAACAGTCGCAGCTGACTGGAAAACAGAAGTCGCTTGTGATGCAGTCTGCGAGCCAGCAACCTCTTGGCCTTGATCTGCGGCTGGTGTCGCATCTGCTGAGTCGGACATGTCCAAATCTGCCTGAGGATTGATCGCCGCTGGAGCAGGTGGAGGCGCCATTGGCGCCAGTCCGCCAGACCCAACTCGTGGGCAGAGAGCTTCTAAACTCGGGTCAATCGACGAGTCATCGACGGTTCCCTGGCCTCCGTTGGGCGTCACTGGCTCCCAACCTTCGCCCATGTCCAGATCTGAGCTAAAATCAAAAGCCGCCGAAGGTGCCCTCAAACTCGCTTCAGGTGTTGCAGCTGCCAGCGGTTGAGGTTCTGATCGAGGAGCCTGTGGCGTACGCATCCTAGCCTGAGGCTGATATTCGCCTACGGGAACATCTGCACTCTCGCCCATCTCGAAATCGTCTCTGGATGCGTCATTCCAAGGATCGATTGAGGTCATTCTGGAGGCATCATTCCGCTGGAAAATGGGAGCAGATGGAGGGACAATAGGGGACGCGAGAAGCATCGGCGGTGCGACAGGGCCAGGACCGAAAGTAAAGTCGGCCCCTGGAAGACCGAACCCGAAGCTGGAGCTCATTTGCTGTGTCGGCTGCTGAGGCACGACCGTCGCTGGAGCTTGCCAGGCCCTTCCGGAAGACGGAATCGTTCCGGCGAAGTTAAAGCTATTCGGGTCGAATATGCTTGGCTGAAAGTCACCGGGCTGGAAAACGGGTCCTGGAGGCGGTGGTGTGGCGGGGGAGGAGAGAGCTGTAGGAGCTCCTTCTAACACTGCGATGGTAGTAGCAGCAGATGTAGAGACCAATGAGTGATCTGGATGCTCTTCGGCAAGGTGCTTGCTAGCGTCGCTTGTATCAGGCCTTGGGGATGGTGATGCGGCAGGCGCTGCGACAGGTGATCGAGGACGCTCTGACGATGCGATAGCTGTGACAGGAGTGTCAAGAACGGGAGGAGATTGTGCCTGATCCTCAACGACCTGGGTGGGAGGCCCGCTTGAATCACGGTCTGGTGGTGGGGGCGAGGTGGAGGATGGAATAGAGGCGTGAGGACCCTCTGGCGGTGCAACAGTAGCGGCAGCAGAGCTCGACGCCAAGGTGAGATCTGTCTGCTTGACAACATCTTTGGAAACAGAGTTCCTGATTTGAAGCTTGCCGTCGAAATCCTTCAGCAGAGCTTCGATGTCGACGTTTGCATCCTCTGTCTGATCGGATAGCACAGGTCCTGGAAGGGAAGTAGCTATGGAATTTCCGGAGCGCTGTCTAGTGTTGATCGCTCCGGCACCGCTATCAGGCTCGTCATCAGAGTCATCAGAATCGTCCGAATCGTCTCCATCCGAGCCATTGTGCTCAAGGTCGTCAAGTTTGAAGTGAAACCTCGACGAGTCTGATGGAGGCTTGAAATCAGATTCGCCGGTACCTGCGTTGGGCGGGGGAACTGTAGTGTCGGTAGATTCCTCAGGAAGTGCGGCCTTTTGATCGACAACAGATCCTGAGCTAGTGATTGGATCTTCGTGCTGCGTCAACTCCGTTTGAGGTTGAGATACTTGGAGGCCTGGACGAGTGACTACAGAAGTCTCCTCGTCACGTGCGTTAGGCCTGAAGCCAATGTGATCCATCAGCGAGCTCATATTAGCTTCCAGTCCGAGAATATGACTCTTCAATTTGCCGACTTCCCTTTCACTTTTGTCAAGATCGATACGCAAGATATCGACAGAAGTCTTGCTGCTCAACCTTTTCCTAAGCTGCTTCTCTAGGTCTTTCAAAACGGGGTGGTCCAGCGCTATCTCAGTCTTCTTCAAATACACGCTCTTGACGATTCTGAGTTCTTCCCTGAGTTTTTTGACCTCTTTATTGAGCTCCTCTACGCCCGAATCGTCCTGGGGGGGAACCGCTGGGGGCTCGTCGCGGCGAGACTGGGCGAAGACATTGTCCTCGATAAGCTGCACGAAAGTTGACGTTGCGCTTTCCGCAGCAAGCTCCTTGATTTCTTCCTCGGAAAGCGGCTGGTTCTTTTGCGCATCGGAGATTAACTTTGAAAGTGAGGATATCCTGCCCTTTAGCGCCGCAACTTCAGTCCGGTGTTGAGCAGAAAGTACTGTGATTTCCCTTCGCATAACCTCCCGGATGCGCTCATCCAAACCTTGCTCGCCAGTTTGTATACTTGCAATCAGGTTGCCCATCATCTCGTTTACCCGCTCTTCCGAGTACTTGTCCAGGTTCCCAGCATCGGTGAAAGATTCGTCGGTTTGAGTCTGCACATGCTTGACGCCCAGCTCGGAAGTGGCGGCATCTACGAGGTTTTCATGGTATAGAGCGCGATGCAAGCTTCGCCTCGAAGAGATGCAGTAGCAGAAACCAGTGATCGTGGCAGCAACTACAAGCCCGACAACGAGAATGATAGTGAAGAAAGGTGAAGAGATCCTGGGAGTCGCCGAAGGCTCTGCGAATGCCGATATATGAGACTGATTAAAGCCAGCTGTGTGTTCGAAGATAGTATGTTCGGGATCTTGAAGAACGTCGGGTCAGTAACATACTCCTACATGTGGGATTGTAATACACTTACGAGTATCATTCGCGGACTTGCCAGCATTCGAGGTTTCGTAGCCGGAGATGGTGGGATATATGAGCGGCGGGTTGTACCACATCATTGCAAGGCCGGCGCGTTTGATCATCTCCATGTAGACTTGGAGAACGGCAACGAGCTTGACACAGAAGGTGTCCCAACCTGCTTGGAGAAGGTTGTGAGTAGCCATGTTCGTGGCGATGCAGTGTCGGCGGCGGAGACGTGCACTGCAATGGATGGTGGCGCGGACAAGGCGCAGGGAGAGTCTCGAGTCGATGTCTTCTGATCGAAGCGAAGATATCAAGTATACAGGAGAACTGCTACAAGAAGAGCTAGGCCAACGATGGTGAGGTAGAAGTGAGTCGAGATTAGTAGTGAGGAGAAGGTCGGCGGGGTGCGTCAGAGGAGTTTTGGCTGTTCGCCGGTGGCGCGGACCAGGCGCGGGTAGAGTCTCGAGTCGATGTCTGCTGATCGAAGCAAAGATACCAAGTACACAGGAAAACTGCTACAAGATGAGCTAGGCCAACGATGGTGATGCAGAAGCGAGTCGAGATTGGTGGTGAGGAGAAGGTTGGCGGGGTGCGCCAGAGAAGTTTTGACTGTTCGCCGCCAGCGGACCGAGGCAATGCCAAGACTTTGCTGTCGATAGTGAAGTGAATCACCAGACCTAAACGACACGTAGCTAGACATACGTCATCGGCCATATGTATGACACCAGGTCATGTACCATGAATTGTCTGGCGCAGTGGGAATCACATGAATATATAACTTGACAAAGTGCTATATCGAAGAGGTAGAGATGAGGAGGCTGAGAGGTAGTTGTCGGGAGGGAACCAAAGGATGCCACCCCAAAGATGGCGACGGCAGTGGACAAGTAGCATATGATATTGAAACAATTCGTACATAGAAAATGCCTCCAGCTGTGGGGTATGGAGAATCTGTATACCCAAGCACGCCCCCTCTCTCCGCGGCTTCATGTCTCCGATATAAGTCAGAGTAGAAAACGGTGCTGGGGCTTGCCACACCATCGAATCAGATTGCCCTAAACTCCCACGCTGATTTCGAAACTGATCGTCTCCCCTCGCCTTTGCGAACAGTGCAGCTATCCCCGTGTCTTCGTTAAAGCCGATGTGAGTCTGTTACTTTCGCAGTTCGCGCAAGGCTTTATCCAGTGAGGGGGGAGGCTTTCAGGTTATTGCGCATCTAAAATTGCTGGTGTCTAAGAGATCCAATCAGTCGTTTATCTAGCCAGCTGAAGTGTGCTCAGTGACATGTAGCCAAGTAGCACGTCTTTACAATGTAGAATGAGGATCACGCACAGATAGAGCAAAGCCTATACTGCAGGAAGCGTACCCTTCTCGATCCACTGCGCTCGACACCCCTCCTAACGCTGGGTTCGCTGCACTTGAGGGTTTTAGAGATTTGCGCAAAGCTAGAGCTTCAGCCTACGGTTGTTGTAAACGGGTTTGTCCGGGGATTCTCTGTAGCAGACGTTTCCAGGTATTCAAGCTGTCGGAGTCAAAGCCCAAATCATCTTCTATACACGGAAAAGGTACCGCGTTCTCATTGGCGATGTTCCCGTGAGATGGCTCTCTCAGGGCTATAAACACCTTCGACATAAGGAGGCTTTCAATAAAGAGCAAGAAAATGGATCACGCTCTCTGAACACCGTAGGTACTGCTTTAGGGCCATTTCGTGATTGCGAAAGATGAAAGCATGAATTTGAGCACGTCCACGTAGCATTAGGATTTCGAAAATTCTGCATGCCGCGAAGGACCTTCAAGAGATTTTAGATGTCCGCGAAGCCTGTGTTGTTCAAAGCTGAATTGGAGGTGCCAGAACAGGGCGACTGAGATCGCAGAGCTAATCACGAAGCTTTAGATTGCGCCCTAGATATCACATAAATCACATCATTATATGATCCAAGCCGTTGAATCTCGCCGTGACAAAGTCAACATCCTTTCGCATTTTATAGTATGTGCTGAAGCTATAGAGACAGTAGTAACACCATTGCAAAATATCAACATAACTTCCCTGCATCACACAGTCACTACAGGGAGTGTTCACCATGATAGCATTTTTTTGACATTTCTACGTAAGAGGACACCGGCACCCCCAAATCCACCTTCCTCGCCAACCCACCGAGCCCAGCTGGCTTCCATCATAACTAGGCGTACTCCCTCTGCTCCCCACGAATGGGTCACAGAGATCATGGTCGCAACTCGTAGGATGCCTTGCGCACAGGCCAAGTAGGTCAGCTACCGAAGGGGAGAAGGACGTGCCGTTACGGCGCCTTTGTGAAAATAAGAAGAAAGCAAATGGTGAGCGCTTTTGGGGGAAGGGGAAGAGGGGGGAAGGTAATCTGTGTCAAACCAGTATCGCTACACATGCAAAAACGCTAAATCCAAATTTGCCCGTGAAAAGCAAGAGCATGCAGAAACGACAAGAAGCCCATAATGGAGAACATCGGCTGACAAAGAAAGAAGACAAGAACTTGATAGAGAAAGAAACGAAGGTGTATATGGTATGGCTACAAGGCCCTGCACAGTTGAAATGCCATACCGAGCACGCACAACAGCCTTAAATCCTCATCTACGCATCCAGCAGAGATTGTCGGATAGCCAGAGCTATCAACGAATCCTCATCCATCTCAGAATAGTCATCAAGGCGTGAAGTAGGTGGAGACACACGAGCACCGCTGGAGCTGCTTGCGCTACTGGCCGATGTTGGGAGTGTAGACGAAGTCTTCTCCAGATCATTCACATGCTTGGTGGTCTCCCGCTTGGTGGTCTCCCGGACTAGTCTTAAAAGAGTCAAGAACTCCTTATCCTCCAGTTCCCCAATCCTTTTATCGACAACTTTGGGTAGATATTCCTCTGTAAAGCTCTGGAGGAGGTTACGTTGTTCACGAACGGACATCTTGGCGGCTTCTCTGAAACCAGACACCTGGTATTTGCTCCCGGGTTGCTACCGAGATGCGTAGTTGGTAGTCGTCCTCGCGATGACGCCTGGCGCTGTCGTCGATGGAGCTGGCGGTTCATCTTGGCGAGAGCATCGACCAGCTTAAGACCCTGTTCCACGTATAGAGATACTCCTTTCTCATGTGCTTCAGTGGCCTCTGTCTGGTTCTTGAGACCTTGCTTAAGAGTGGCGAGCTCTTTTTCCCAAGCCTCTTTGTCGTCTTTATGTTGTTGTTCAACGGCCTCGAGCTTTCCTTGAAATTGCTGGCCCATGGCAGAAATATTCGATTCGAACGCGGAGGCTATTTGCTTGAGAGCAGATTTTGCTTCTCCATCAGCCATGGCGGCAATGATCGCTTGCACTGCTTGCTTGCCCTCCTGAGCTGCGATGAGATTGGCATGCTCCTCAGTTGGACCGTCTTCCTCCATAGCGCCCGGAATACCACCAACACTGACATTGCCATCCCGAGCTTCTTCTGTGTAGGTGGGTACCTGATGGCCCGACTCCTCTTCGACATCATCATCAGGCTGGACATGGCTTGCGTGGTTGGCGGAGGTGTCTCCCTTCTGTATTCCCCACCAGGGCCTGTAGTACACCGTTACCGCAAGGACCGAGACCGAAAAGACGAAAAAGCCGAAGGTGATGATGCCCGCTTGGAGCGCAGATAATCCAGGATTGCACCTAGGCTGAGGTTTGTAAGGGAGGGCGGCCGAGTCGTGAAGCATAAGGTGTGTTGTTGTGGGGTCGTTCCAGGGGGCGAACATGTTATTAACGCGCCAGACTGGAAACAAGAACATTAGCGAAAACTGTGCGCGATGGAAATAACTACACTTACCATTTTCCAGCTCATCTAGGTATTGTATTCCCGGAGAATCATTCAAATAGGGGGGGTATGAAATATTCGACATTGGCAAGCGAGGTCTTCCAAGGCGAATCCTGTGGCGGCGCGATGGTATTAGGGCATTTGCCCAAGAGGAGACAATCGAGGAAGTCTTTGAATTTGCGTGTCGAGTGATACGCCGCAATGAGGATGTCATTTCAGTAGCGCACATCGCGCCAGGCGCCTCTGAACATGCTGTCGATATCCATCCTAGCGATAGGGAGTGCGTAGCTGATGTGCTGTTAGTAGTGTATAGGGGACAGCTGTTGTGAAAATTGCGAGCAGAGGTGTGTTGCAATCATGCAGTGATGCAGGAGGTGGACGTTTGGAGGTGGAGAAGGGACGCAGCCGTGCCGACTTACGAGGTGACTCGGGTTGTAACAGCTACAACCTAGGATCAACAACTCATACGGTTCACGGTCACCTACGTACAGACTTGGAGTTGCTGGCATAGTAGCTGCCTACATGCCTAGCCAGTTACAACTTCTACAGAGAGGGGTTGGGGTACGGTGGCCTACCCTGCCTAATGCTGCCTACTGCTGCCTCCAATTAGTGCTTCTGCCTATGCATACAGTCACTTCCTACGTAGTATATAGTTTGGCCTTCGGGCCCCCGAAATAAGACAGAGTTCACATCAATTTTCAACCTGAGTAGGTGGAGCGGGAAGAAGGAATCTGCTGAGCAGCTCGAGAGGTGAATGACACCGGCTGTTGGCAAGCGGGAAAGAAGGCAATTGTGCGGACCAGGCGAAGAGAATGTTCTTATACGTGAAATGGAAAGAAGCACATTATATCGCATTCATAAGAAAGGTAGGTAGCTAAGGGGCAAAAGTGCGGAAGAGGGTTCGCACAATATCGCGGAGACGGGAGATTGTACTCTCTGCAACATTAGAAGGGCGACTTCTATCGTGGTTCAGTCTAACTACGTCGGCGGCGCACAACATCAAGAGGACTAGCATAGATCTCTCAGCAGTACGTCGACAGAGAGTGCAAGCATAGAGGGAAGCTGCTGCAACGGCATGCCGTATTCGTAGTGGCATCTAATCATCTCACTTGCACGCTCACATTGCACAGATATGGAGTTTTCATTGTTCCAAGGTTTTCGATTTATCAAACCACTACTGTAAGGCCCTGAAGCCCAGATATTAACCCCTCAAGCCGCAGTACGCAACACTCGCAAGCAATCAGCAAATCAAAATCCAAGTACAAGTGCCGCAAAATCCAAAGTACAAAAAAAAAAAAAAAAAAAAGAAGAAAACAGAAGTAAAAAGCATATGACAAGCACGCAGTAGGCAGCATACATCCGGCCCCAGAGATGTTATTCAGTCCGAGGCCATGGAGTCCACCATCGCACTGGGCGCGTCGCCATACCACGCTCAAAGCACCCAGGCATCAAGGACCCTGCACAACACCCCTCTGGGCCCCTGTTTAACGGCCGCGCTTCTTGGAGTCCCCGAGGGTCTGGTTGAATGCAAGCTCGGCTCCGTCGTCGCCTCCCCATCCATCATCACTATCGTCGTCGTCCCAGCCATCATCGCCAGGCACGGAAAAGACACCATTCGTAGACGCTGTGTTGTTCTCTGGCGCCGCGGTGAGGGCTCGCATCTCTGAAGGGCCGCCCTCTTCCTCTGTAGGGCTATCCTCTTCGTCAGGCCGTCGCCTCGCGCTCGCCGCCTGAAGGTCGCGTTCCCGAGCACGTTCAGCCAGAGTGTCCCGTACAGAGGGCGTAGCTCCATCAAGTAGAGCAGCTTCCCTCGCCGCCTTTTCCTGGTTCTCAAGCTCCATCATGGCAGCTTGCCACTTCTGATACTCCAGCCCCGCCCTGTCCGCCTCCGCCTGAGCTTCTTTGGCCTTCGTCAAAGCTATGAAGCGTGCGGCCTCGCTCAGAGCCTTACGCATCTCCTCGTTAGCGCGCTCCTTGACTTCCATCTTCCGCCGCCAATCCTCTTCCAATTCTTGCGCCTTCTTCGCGCGGTAGGCTTTGTCCGCAGCCAGGTCACGTGCGAGCTGTGGCTCGGCCAACTTCCAGCGGCGCTGGAAGTCTGCATCCATGACCTTTACCTGGATGCGTAATTTCTGCATTCTCTCTTCCTCTGCGAGAGCTTCTGCTTTTTCTTGTGCCGCGAGATCTTGCCTAAACTGGCGCATCTGGGCCGTGCCAATCTCGATCCTGCCGTTCTCGTCCTCGATTCTCATCCGCTCCATGTACAGCGCGTCGTTCCGTCGAAACACGTAATCGAGCCCTGCCCAGTACCGGATTGATCGTTCCTCGGCCTTGACGGCTCGAGTCACAATGTCGTCAACGGTGAATAGTGGAGCACCTTGGAACAGACGTTCATGGTTCTTGTATTGCAGTCGGTCGTATAGCTTGGCGAGATTGTCCAGGCGACTCTTGTCTAGCCAGATGGAGTATGCATGCTCCTTGGCAGGATCGTTGGGATGGTAGGGATTTCGTTCAAGAAACACAGGTCGAAGACCTTCGGGGAGGTTGGGAAGGGGACGGCGAGGGCCGTTTTGAGGCGCGGAAGCTAAGACGACTTGCGTACCACGATGTTGCAGTTCTGCCTGCTTTGAACGTGGCGCTCCCATGGAGGCCTCCCGATGGAACGTAGGCTGAGCGTGCGCGAAAGTTGGGATGATTTGCCTTTCGCGATGTTGGTTTCCCGTGTGAGTTGGGCGAGGCGTGCCTGTCGAAGGCTTTGGATCAACGAGAGGCCGAGTGGAAACTTGAACATTCTGCTGGCGTGCATGTTGTTCTTTTTGAACCTCAAAACTGCTGGGTTTCGGAGTACGAGAATCACTCGTCGTCATGGTAGACGTCGCCTGAAAGGGTTGAAGCTGCGGAGGAAGGCGTGGTTGAGTACCCGACAGAGAGCTCGGCTGTGGCATGTTGTTGCTGGAAGACGAAGCCTGCGGGTTGGGAGCAGACTGCGTTGTGACATCCATCGCCGTCGGTGGTGGCCTTGAAGCCGGAAGATTCTTGACCGACTGTCTCCAGCCCCCAAGATATAAGTTCCAGAGATTACGACTCCGAACCATGCGAATTTGAGCTAACAGTTTGCCGATCTCCTCACGATACCTAGGGAAGCTTGATCCGTGCCCACGCGCGATCTTGAACTCCATGCCGCGTGCTAGTCTTACGAAATCTTCGTCAGACAAGCCAGCATTGAGTGCAATACCGACTTTCAGCATCTCATCATAGACGTCTTTCAAGCTTTTTTGACGTCCGTCTACGTATTCACGAAGAGTGGCGTCTGCAAGAAATAGCCCCGATGGTAGGGAAGGCTGCGCGGAGAGCTGAGGCGCTTGAGGTGGAGATGGGGCGGGCACGCCGCCTCTAGATGAATTTGCATCATCGCCTATCTCCTCATCACCATCGCTGTCTTGGGTCTCGTCCTTCATATCGACATTGCCAGTTTCAAGGTCATCTTGAGCAACAGGATTTGGCTTGACAGCCGCTGCAGCTCGGCCGTCGAGCTGGTCCGCTGATGTGTCCCCGGAGACATCTTCCATTTCCGCGTCGAAAGCATCTACTCCCCTCTTTGCATCCGATTCCGGCGCAGTCCCAAGAAGTCCTTGCCCAGTCACTGGAGAGGTTGGAGGAGCCTCGGGCACTGCAGGCTGAAAGTCCATAGCTTGCTCAGTGATGTCTGATTTGGGGCTATGATTGAATACAAAGCGCCCAGGGGCAAGAACCAAGCCCCTCGACGGAGTCCTCGACGCAGACTGTGGAGTTAGGCCTGAGAAAGGAAGGGCGCTGCCTGGCTTTACGGCCATGTGAGGGGCACTCGACAGTGTGGAGTCATTGGCAGATCCCGTGGTTCGAAGCGTGCTATCTGAGGCCTTTGGATTTGAGGTCGGCTCCGTGGTGCGATTTAGGGGAACGTCCGGGGAGGCGCCTTCAGATCGCAAAGTATCATCTTCGTCGTTGCGCTGAGAGCCTCCGGACGCCTCCGCACCCCCTTGGCCATGGTCAGAACGGTCCACGCCATCCTCTGAGTTGTTTGAGGCTATTCCAGATCCCGCGGCCTCCGGTTCAGTAAGGCCTTGATAGACGGCCGAGGGTTCAGACGTAGTTGCAGAAGCAGCGGGCAGCGCGGCAGACCCCGAAAGAGGCGCTTCTGAAAATTCTGCAATGATCGAATCCAGGTTACTGATATCAGAGGTAGAGGTTAGGGCGTCGTGATCAGAGGGCTCCTCCGCATCTGCAGCGGAGTTGGATTCTTGGGCCTCAGGAATTAGCTCGGCTTCGGAGTGCGTATTGACTACGCCTTGAGCAACCCGGGAGCGCTCCGCACCATCATCTCTGCCGTCAGACTCGTCATCGGAATCATCAGAGTCCTCGTCGTGGGGCTTCTGGTCACCCTCGTTGCAAGCGTTCTTGGGGCCTTGCGACGCGCAGTCTGATCTGCATCGTCTACATCATCCCCTTCCGCGTCGTCAAGACCCTCTATGGTTTTCTCGCCAGCGCTATGCTGGGCCGAACCAACTTGAGTCTCCAACACCTCGTCATCGACAGTGGCCTCGAGTGAGATTGTCTCATGCGATAGAAGTGTGGGGGAATCGCTTGGGCCTGTAGCATTCTCATCAAGAAGAGCTGTGAGGGCATCATTGGAGTCTGTCTTCGCTTGAATAAAACCATTGTCGTTGGAGAGCTCGACTACGTTCTCCTGGGTTTGGATTTCGGTCTTCGCGTCGGGAGAGCCATTGGCAACGTGGCCCTCGGGAGTGGATGCTTGGACACCAAGTGAACCACTAGACTGATCAGATGATGATGTGGAATTCGTCTCTTCGCCTGGAGTATCGATCTGCATCGCAGTGATGGAGCTATCATCCCCGAGCATCAAAGTCGGAACAGGAGTGACCAAGTCGGTCACAGAGGGAGTATCCGAGCTGACTACCTCCGAATCGTCAAAAAGGTTGCCCGAATTCTCTTTGTCCTCGTTAGGAGTAGCCTCTGTATCTGGAGTGAATACTTGGCCATGAGATCGCTCTGCTTCAACGACATTCTGGGCAAGGTCGGAGATCTCGGCTTGCTCCGCATTCCGCTCCCTGTCGGAATTGGAATGATCGATCTGCGTTGTGGAGTCTGAGGTGGAATCGTCGAGCTGAGAGGGTGATTTTGAATCCACAGACGCGCTGTCAGGCAGTTGGGCCGAGCTGAGTGCTAGGGCAGCATCATCGAGACTATGCGGAACACGGTTCTCGTGACTAAAAGTAATCTCGCCAATGTTGAAAGTGGGATCATCCTGATCCGAAGAAGCATCGCTAGCGTCGGAGGCAACGGCGTCAGGCTGAAACGCTGTGAGGGTATAGACAGTTGGGGTATCGGACAGTTGCGATGTCATATCTACCGCTACAGAATCCTTGGAATCGTCCAACAAATCGTTATCGTGTTCTGGAACATTATACTTGACTGACTGCATCTCTTTGCTCTCAAATTTCAGGGATGGGGTCATGAACTCGGAGTGGTATCCGGGATCAGACTCTGGCTGTGACCGCTGTGACTGATGGAAACTCTCATCTTTTTCAGACGAGTGCTTCTGTTCGGTTCGGTGCGCGAGTCCGTTGTCGCAGCATTTGACGCAATGCTCGAGATTCCTCGATCTCTTCTCGAGCTTTTCGATCCGGTCGTACAAGAGTTCAAGCTCGGATTTCTGTAAGAGAACTGTTTGAGTGTCCGGTTGGAAAGAAGCCAAGGCCTCCTTGATCATCGACTCGAAGAGACTGCGACATTCATTGCTTGCGAAGCGTGGTGTCCGCTTTACGCTTCCTTTGAGAGATGTAACACGTCCGTCGACTCGATTGACCGCAGCAGATGATTTCGTGAACAGCATTTGCAAAGTGCGAATGTTCCTATCACGTTCTGCCAAGTAACTGTAAACTTCGCTAAAGGCAGTGCGAATGTCGTTCACAAGCGAAACGAAATCCGGATTTCCACCAAGGGGTAAGTGAATCTTGCCGTCTTTGAGCTTCCGCGTATCTCTCTTCAGCTTCTTATATTCAGTAGAGTTCTTAAGGACTGAATTATCCTCTAAGGTGCGGACTCGGAGGTGGAGGTGCGGCTTTTTCAGTCCGTCGTCGGTACTCAGGTTGCAAATTGACGTGAACTCTGTCTTATTTCGGGGGCCCGAAGGCCAAACTATATACTACGTAGGAAGTGACTGTACGCGTAGGCAGAAGCATTAATTAGAGACAGCAGTAGGCACGGTAGGCACGGTAGGCCACCGTACCCCAACCCCTCTCTGTAGAAGTTGTAACTGGCTAGGCATGTAGGCAGCTACTATGCCAGCAACTCCAAGTTCGGTGGGCTGCGGGACCTTTGACTTGCTGGCCGGCATGGTACTATAGCAGTGTTAGAGACGTATGGAGGACGCCATGTATGTCGTAGGCTAAGAACTAGACGACATATTGGGGGAAACCAAGCAATGAGAACTTACGGCCTAGCACGATCAATGCCTTGGGTCGCAGGGTCAGGATTGTTGGGTTCCATTGCGCTAAGGAAAGTGGTGTTAGCAGCATATTCAAGACGCATCATGTAGCAGCGATAGCGCAGGTAGGAGGAGTGGAGAGCGACAGTGATTGCATTCTACTTACACAGCGTTGGAGGGCGCCGTAGGTTGTCGTGAGCGACGGTGGGAAGTGGTGGGCGGACCAGGCCCGGCAGAGTCCATTGAACTAGAAACACCTATATGCAAGGTGGTGATGTGCGCGCACTCGCAGCTGGGGTATGCTTGGGACACCGCAAAGACGATGCGGCGTGGTGGGTGGAGCTTGTGGTGGTGGTGTGTTCAAAGGAAGGTGGTGGTGTGTTCAAAGGAAGGTGGTGGTGTGTTCAAAGGAAGGTGGTGGAGAAAAGAAGGACTGCGAAGGACGAAGGACGGAATTTAAGCCTGTGTGCGCGCGGGTGCAGCTGCCAAGACTTTGCAGTTGGTAGTGAATGAAATGACGGCGGGAACCCGTCATTCCGCACAGTGTAAGTGGCAGACTGGAAGGGCTCATCGATAAGGCGCTTTATCCTACTGCAAGGGATTCACTCTAGATACGATAAATTGAGCGTCATATTGGGAAATATACATCGTGGTTGCGGTAACAGGGTGGTGTATTGGGATCGTTTGTATCCATACAATGGATACGGCCAAACGTGGGCGCCGTTTCTCACGCCGCCAATACCACATCATCTAAGATAATAGAGCATAAGCAAGCGAGAACTCTTGCTGGGAAATAATTCGATAGCCAAAATCCAGAAAGCAGGAAGCCTTTGGACGGGGATAGAGCATGCAAGAACATTTTAACAGCCCTGGAAACGCTTCGCATAGGCGAACCGGCTCAAAAGATTGCCTGCATCGTTCTTCATGGTGTGGTTGGATAGCGACCAGGTATTATCTTGAATACGGAATGATACAAGATCTTTTGATTGAAAAATCAGAATGTTCACCCTATCTTAAGTATGTGCGTTGTTATAACCCAAAAGTCCAGCGAGTATCGTAAAGTTTGACTTCGTAGTATCTGTAAACACATGTTGAAAAGAAGGTAGAGAAGTTGTAGAGCGGCACCTTGAGCACATTGGTCACTTTGAGAAGTTAGATGGAATAGATTCGTTCCGAAGCAGTGTTTCATTCTTGGTGCTGGATACTTTAAACAGCGGCTCTATCTAAAACTCTTTTCTACCTGAAGACCATGAAGATGAAGTATAGATAATGCAAGAATGACAATTGTGCCACGTTTTCAAGCTGTCATGCTATCAAAAGCTCTCATCATCAGAGTTTCCCGAACGCCTTCCAGACATATCGGAATCAGAACCAGTCAAAAAACATGGACTGAGACCTATCGCCAGCGGTATCCATGACCATTACTTTACCTAATCCCTTGCTCCAAAGCCAATCAATCATCTCTGCCCACATCCGACGTAGTTTCAGGAGACCCTCCTAACGTTGTAGCAGCTGCAGAGTCAGGCGTATCGTGTACTAGCTCGCTCACTTGCAGACTATCGGATAAGGGCTGTAGAGTTCTCCTCGAAACAGGACGAAGTATCTTCCTCGTCGGCTTATGTATCGTCTTCTTTACGTCACTCGCTGCCACCTCCCACGTACCAGAAGCTATGTTCGTTGTATCATTGCGCTTCTCCTCCAGATTCTCATCCTCCCCGTTGCTCTTTTCGCCGAAGAGCTGACGCAGATCTAGGGATATTTCCACGGGCTCCTTCGCAACCGCTTTCTGCTGCTGCTTACGCAATTGCTCCCGGTTGGCATCAAATGGCTGAACGAGCGAGAGCCACGTAGCTTGAGTCGAGTGCCAATAGGTCTCGATACTCTCCTGAATCTCTTCCAAGTATTCATCCTCCGTGCGAATACGGCTAAAGGTTCGGACCGAACGCGCCTCCAGAATCAAAGCTAGCTGGACGATCTCTGCGTCAACGAATACGGATATCCCGCCCCGGATATGACGCTCATCAGCTAGGCCTAGCGTATTATACAAGGTATTCAGGCGGTTCTGACGAGTAGTGTTCATGTCAACGCCTTCGATGACCCATGGGAGGAGATCTGGGTGCGCTGGGTCTTGGGGCGCGACTTGGAATGGGCGGAGGAATTTGGCGACGGCGCGCCACCAGTCGCGGGTCTTGAAGACGCTGATCTTCTCGATGTCTCGCGCTATGCGGAATTCGTACTGGATCTTTGTAGGGGCACTAGCGTGAGCCTCTTCAGCCTGGCGGGAGAGGTTGACTAGGTCTTCTTCGTTCTGGAGGATGGCATGGCCAGCGCGTAGATGCTTGCTGTTGACCTCCCGGTAGGCTTCAAACAGCGTGATGAGTTGTTTCTGGCGCACGGGTCCGGGGAGTTTGCTCTCAACGACGCTTGGGATGAGCTGCGCATGAAGAGAGATTTGCGCAACCGATGGCTGCTCAGAAGGCGGGAGGACAGTCGCCTGGGGATGCTTCGCAATCAACTCGCTCCAGGACTTTCCGTCGGCGCCATCGATCTTCTTGGTGATCTCATATTCTGTCAGATCGAGATACTTCTCTTCAGAGTAGGCGGTCGGCTGCGCATGGAACGGCCGCTTCTGCGTGCATATGTCTTCCCTAGCTCGAGCAATCTCGATCAAGTGTTCTTTCGGCAAGTTGCTTTTGAACCGAATATTGGCTTTCTCCAGCGCTCCATAGATGGCTTCAAGCTGCTCTTGACGGCGAGCCAAGTGATCAGCGCCGGCGAGATTGGTGGGAACGAGCTCAGATGATACTGGGGATGGGGTCGTCGTACTAATGGCAAGCAGGGCAGATTGTGGAACTCCTTCTGTCGGAAGAGCAGAAGCAGAACCCTGAAATGCAGGAGCATGGGAACTCAAGAGCCGGCCACCTCGTCGACGTGCTTCCCTCGTCTCGGATGCGGGGTCTGTCTTCAAGGAGATGGAGGTCAGTCCAGTTGCTAAGACATTATTAGCATTAAGAGCGACTTCAGCACTCAAGGCTTCGGATTCATGTCGGCCGTCCTCAGCATCTAGGAGGCTTTTTTGTGGCATCGCGTTGGTGTCGACGTCGAAGGCAAGGAAGAGATTGGCTCAGCGTGAGGGAGTGGTGTTGTAAGTGGTGCTTGTAACGAAATTGGGCATAATCCGAGGAATATAGGGAAGATATCAACTAGGAGATAGCTGGAGTGAAAGCGGATATAGTAGAGATGACATCCATGAGTTTCACTAGATCTGAGTGGGTCACGTGACATGTCACATGACCTTGCTCGCCTAATCCCACACCGTGCAAATCGGAATACCCCCCGGCTGATCAGCGAGCTGCTCATTTGGCTACCCCTTCTAGCGGTATTGAGCGAGCAGGAGGTAGTCTTAAACTCTAGGTAGGATGTCTAGGCGAAAGCAGTGGAAATCTAGAAGTCATTTGACTTTCCGGCCACCTATCATCCGGGGTATCTTAGACATCGGTATCAGGCATTAAAAAGCAGAGTGTGCGCAGTGTGATATCAAAGCCTTTAAGAATCTAGCCTCGGAATTCAGTGTAAAAGTCAATGCAGTGCAAAATAAGTTGGTTTCTGACTGACCGCCCACTTCATCGTTGGACTACCCCAAACATCGGTGTTAAAGCTGCAAGGGTAGAGCATGCTTAGCACGATATCTACGTAGTCAGAAATTTACCCTTAAAAGCCAACGTAATAGCCAGTGGATTACAATTGGACTGTCTTTTGCCAAGCTAGCTTCTTAATACCTGAGGCACCCCTAACATCAGCGTGAACTATGCAAAAGCAGAGTCCATATAGAGTAATATCTGTTAAACCAACATTTTGGCGTTGAAATTGAATGCAAAGGCCAACGAATTTGAAATTATGCCACCTTATAGCAAGCTAGCTGCCTGCTACGTGAGCCACCCCAACGTTGACATACGATACGCAAGCGCAGAGCATGCTTAGCGTGATGTCCACGTAGTCAGAAATGTGGCGTCAAAATCCAAGGAGGAAACCAAAGCAGTGCATATTGGACTTCTTTTTGAAAAGCCAGCAATCTGCTAGCTGGGCCACCTCTAACATTAGCATCAAACATGCAGAGGCATAGCTAGAGTAGGGTTATCTCTATTTACTGGAGATTCTGGCCCCGAAATACAACGTAAAAGCCAATGCAGTGTGAATTAGATTACTGTTTGGAACACTGGCTGCCTACTAGCTGGGCCACCTTTAGCATTGGTGTCTAACGCTCAGAATTGTAGCTCGTATAGGAGAATATTTGTATGTTCAGAAGTCTGGGCCCGGTTTTCAATGTCAAGGTCAACGCACTAAAAATCGGAATAACTTCTAATAAACCAGCTACTTACTGGCCGGGCCACCTCTTACACCGGCATCGAGAAGCAGAAGAGCTGTTCGATTAGTGCGATGTGGATGCTTTTTGTTGTACGTATGTGTATTTACGTGGCGTATCTTTTCATTCGGCACGGCAGTAGTCACAGAAGTACACGTAGTAATATGAGTTTTCAAAGTATTCTCAGTTCCATACTATAAAGTGTATCAAGACCACCCCATACAAAAAGCTCTAACCCCAACTTCGAACAGCCAGTGTGTCCAGCAGCACACGCCCAGACCCCCCCTCCTTTTCTGACCCGTCCAGCCCAGCTGGCTTCCGTCATAACTAGGCGTACTCCCCCCACTCCCCACAAATGGGTTGCAGGGATCATGGCCGCAAGTCGTAGGATGCCTTACGCACAGGCTGAGAAAGTCAGCTCCAGTAGCAGGGACGAGCAGTGAAGGAACTGGACTGGAGCGGGTTGGGTTTGGCCTCAAATCCACTCCAACCCAGCGGAATCGCTATGGAGCTCTAGGAGCTACAGGAGGTCCACGCTAGCGAGTTGTAAGGTGTTGAAGCCGAGTATATTGCCTAAAGTAGCTTAGCGTGGGCTAAGTTGAGGGTGAGAAGTGACCAAACCTACTACCTAAATTGCGATCCCGAGCCATCACTCAACACCATATTATCCTCATCTGCATCTACAACCTCAGTAGGTGGTGCAGGGCCCTCTAATATAGCCTCCTCTTCGGCCTCACGTAGTTCCTGCTCCGCCAGCGCCTCGTCGTCGCCGTCGGCGGCCATAGCGTTTGCTTCCTCGCGTTGTGATGCCCTCAATCGCTCCTCCACCTGCTCGGCCAACGAAGCTGGTGATACTCGCGATGCACCAAGCAACGCGGCATGATCTGCATTATTAAATGCATCCGTAGGCGGAGGGCCGTAGAATAACTGTAGGCACTTATTTGCCTCAATTATATCTATTCCAAGGCGTCTCCTACGCTTATCCAGCAATATAGATGCGCTGCTGAATAGCCTCTTATATTTATTGCTCATCGGCGGTAAGCGCTTTAAGGACTTAAAGTTCGTAGCTATATAAAGCGCCCTAGCGGATTTAAACTGCAGAATAGGGCCTTGCGCAGCAGTACATAGCTCGCCCGACTTCTTATCCATCTTATGCATCTTCACAAGATAATCCGCAGCAGTTCCTCTACCGGTTGAGACCACAGGTAAATCCTGGCTTCGCTTTGCACGCTCACAAAGATAGCAGTAATAAACGTCCGGTTGTCCAATTGTCCCGTCCTTCCATTGTATATCCTCTCCCCATCTCCATATATGCGACGTGCGCTGCTTAGTGTGGCGAGGCGCTTGTGTGAGGTGTTTACAACGGATATAGGTTTTTCCAGCGATTCGAAACTGCGTCACCTCGTCGGCTTCCTCACGGGCTATATTAATTGAAGAAGGTGCTAGGATAACGTTGTCAGTAACCAGGGCTGTATGGCGTATACCAAGGAAGCTGGTGATAGAGCGCTGAGGGCGTACGGCCTCGTCAACGGGCGCGGTATTGGCCATAGCGATATGGTGTTGAGCTGGCGTGCGAATAGCTTCAAAAACGGGCATCGAGCGGGCAAGAGATTTCACAGGGGAACAGGTCTAATTTTGTATGGCTGCGCTAACGATTTTAAGACAGGATCCCCTTGCAGGCCTCGGAGTATATAGCTCAGCCAATCAGAGGCCTCGGCTCACCTCAACACCACGACTTCTACGTTGAGAGAGAAAAGCTATGGAGCGCCTGGAGGCTCCACAGCCTCAAATCCACTCCACGCCAGGCAAGCAGAGCCTCCAACCCAGACCTATATACAGAGTAACCCACCAACCCGGCTCCAAGTTAACCCAGTCCAGTTCCATCACTGGGGACGAGACCACTAGCCGCCTGGAGAGAGGGAGATCTGAGCAGTACGCCGGACGGTCGACAAACACTGGCTGTAAGAAATGGGGGGGAAAGGGGAAGAAGGAGTAAGGGAAGAAGCGGAACGCCCAGATGCAGAAATCCAGGAACAAAATCAGGAACAGAAGAGATGGAAAGAATCAAGCACGCAAAACCCATTCTAAACGACCGCCATCATCGACTACATGCTACACGTACCCCTCCAGCGTAATCCTCCACCGTTTTTCCGTCGCCTCCGTAATGCTCTCCTCCGCGTCACTCGCCAACTCCAAATACACCTCCTCCTGACACTCTGGGGCTACAAGCTGGACACCCGTTACCAGCATCTGCTCGCGTTCCTGCGCCATAGTCTCCAATATCTTCGAACTGATACCTGTGTCGTGCGCATCGTTAGCCTGGTTGTAAGCGGCAAAGAGGTCGTTGAGTACGCGCTCGCGAGATCTGCCCCACGTGATGTCGTTGTGGTCATCGGTCCACACCGGCTCCGAGGGCGGCAAGAAGGGACGGATAGGGAGGGCGGAATTGGGAAGCCCATCTTCCCACTCAACAGACCCATCCGAGTCATCTTCGTCGGATGAGGCTTGTGGCTCGGGGGGTAGAGAAGCTGCGATCTGTCTACGACGCTTGGCTGGGTTTGACTGGCTGTAGTGGTCGCAGTCCGGGTCTTCGCTAGGCTCGCCCTCGTCGTAGAAGTCCTCCTGGTCTCGACTAGCTGGTGGCGGCTCGGGAGGGGAGTAAGTGTGGGCGCTGTTGCTGGGTCCGACGTTGCCTTGGCTAAGATCGCTGCGGCTTGGGACGTCATACTCAGCGCTGGTGCGGGTATCACGGTCGCCTGAATTGATAGGCACATCTTCCACACCACCCAAGTCTTCTACATCTTCCATCATAACAGACTCGTCAGAGTCATCGTTGTCCGAGCTCTCCACGTATAAGCTGCCAAGCTCAGCCTCATCGTTCTCACCATACTCGAGCTGCGGTACGTGCGCAGAACGAATAGCGCCTAAAGGAGAACTACTCCGCGATTGAGGGGGCGAGAAGGAGGGTTCTGAATTTGATGGAAGACTCCTCGGCGATTGAAGGGGCGAGAAAGAGCGTGCTGAAGACGTCTCGTGATTTCGAGGCGAGTTCGCAAAGGCGGTGTTAAGGAGCGCAAAAGAACTGGCACCGCCGTTGGACGCGAGGTTCTGGAATCCGTAGCCTGGAAAGCCCCTAGCAGGCAGCACCGTTGAAGATGTGACCACATTGGACCCGCCTGCTTGTCCCTCGAAGTTTGGGCCGCTGTACACTGAGGCCATTGACCTTGGCTGCGCAAAGCTCTGGTCGAAAGGCTGAGGCTCGGGTCCTAGGTTCGTGAAGGAAGCAGGAGGGTAAAAGGCCATATCGATATCCTCTAGGTACTCTGGTGGGCCTGGTTGTCCAGTAGTGGTACCTGGAACGTCGTAGAGGCCATTCTGAAGATCAGCATCAAAGCTCGGGCTATTCAGAAGATCGAATGCTGCGGCGACGTTCATGTCGATATCTGAAAGAGTGCCAAAAGTCTCATCTTGTGCATCAGCCATTGCTGCCATGTCCTGATCCACCCAATCATGTAACCTCCTTGCTTCCTCGCTTTCAGGAAGCGGATCAGCCATACTGGTGTCAAAGTCACTTCCACCCGCAGTTTTGCCCGTCGGGGGGACGCCTTGTTTGTGTTCGCCAGTGGCGGCACCGTAAGACTCTTCTACAGACGTGTAAATAGCAGCATTTGGTGCAGTATTGACAGGGCCTGCGGGCTGATCGGGGGCCTGAGCGGCTGAGCCTGGAGCAAGTGGAATACTCTGCCTAGGAGGATATTGCGCATGATGGTCCTCCTCGTCGCTATCACTCCAACCATCATCAGGCCAAACAATGGGTTTGGGCCGTTGAGTAGCGCTGGGGTCTCCTGTGGAGCCTCCAATCGCGGTATCATGAGCGGCCTGAAGAGTAGAAGACGACTGCTGAGAAAGGGAGCTAGAAGCTGTTAAACCGATGTTACCGGAAACTGAAGCTGTAGCTCGCCCGGACCCTCGCAGCGGACGGATCTTGCGACCCTTGAACTCCTCGGAGGTTGTTTCGATCCTCCCAAAGCCTTGACTCATGTCCTCATCAGGCTGAGGAGCGTCGACATTGTTTTGGTCAAGAGCAGAGCCTGATCGTTTAGAGGAGCCAGATTCACTACCTTGCTGACTCATCATGCTAGAGAGATCGATAGGACCAGTTATTGATGGAGTCGGTCCTGTCTGAGTCGTAACTGGCTCAGCTTCCGAGGAGGTCTGTACAGCTCTTGGGCTCGTCGAGGGACCCCTGCCAGCGGTAGCGGTAGGGAAAGTGATTGTAGTTGTTGGGGCGTTATTGGACATATTGATGGCTTCCTCTTCTCCAGGCACCCTCGCCGCTGTCTGACCACGCCCACCCTGCGACGATGAAGCGTCCACAGCTTGTGACGATGATGGCGCAGCCTTCAAATCAGTGCTAGAATCGACGGCGATCGGTGGATAGTCAAATTTGAAGAGCGCCGTAGCGCTCTCTGGCCTAGACGTAGTCTCTTTGGTGGCTTCCGGCTTCTTCAATAGACCGGATATATCGAAACTAGTCAAATTGAGAGGCGGAGCTTGGCTCGCGGGGGTAGGAATACGCGGAGTAGCCGCAACGGGAGCTAAGGATGCTGCAGATGAGAACAGCTTCACAGGAGCTGTTGCGGCGGGAGGTCGAAGAGCAGTTGGCTCAGGCGCAACGCTGAAGAAATCAGATGCTGTAATGGTGCCTTCCGGCCTCCACGATGTGGGTGCAGGTAGTGGTGACGATGATTCAGCCGGTTTACTTCTGACAGTTGGTGTAGGAGGAGCCGAACCCCCAACGCGATTGCCAGCCGAGCTCGATGTGGTATCCTGAACTGCAGTCTCCATAGATGCAGACGTCGCTGGAGGCTGGGTATCCGGGCTCACCTCCACAGCGTTGGGCACGGCCGTAGAGATTGAGGGGCGAGCGGTATCATCTTGCCCAGCAGAGAGAATTGGCGGTGTCTCCCCTGCAACGCCAGCACCGGGTTGACTAATGAGTCTGGATAGGCCGAAATGATCATTGACGGGGGCGCTAAAGGATACCGAATTGAGTCGAAACAGTAGTTCAGAGTCAAAGTCCTCGTCATTCCCTGGGTTGACGACACCAGCGCCACTTTGGCCGGCCTCATCCTCATCCTCATTTTCACTGTCTGATTCGGACTCGTCGTCTTCCTCACTGGATTCCCGCCACTCCCTTTGGCCAAAGATTGCTCCAGAATGATTGGTGTCCTGATTTGCAGCCTTCTTGTCATCGGATTGCTGAGCCCCATGAGCTGCTAAGACACCGCTGACGGTCGGGTCGTCTGGCGCTTGTTGAGCGGTATCCATGGCGATGTTACTTGTAGGAGTTTCCGATATGCCCTGCGCGGTAGAATCTGGTTTGATTGGCGATATTAATGGAAGCGCAGCGACATTCGGCCCCGCTTCGGCAACATGTAGTGTAGAGTCAGGCTCAATAGTCGTGAGTCGCCTCGAGTGGTTGAAGTTATCCCCAGCGCTGCTGTGCTGGTTATCCGAATTGAGCTTGTTCGCAATGGCGTCCTCGGCAATAGCCTGTTGCTCCTCCTGACACCGATTGCAGACCGAGACGCCATCATGTGTCTTCATTAAATGCGTGATTGTGAAGTCATTTCCGCAGCTGATGCAGGTAAACTTCTGAATCGGCTGCTGGGAAACGGATGGAGGTGGCGGGAGTTTTCGGGTTCTGCTGCCGAGCTCCTGCTGCCGGACTTCCGCTTCGGAGGCTCTAGCCTTCCCCCTGCTCTTTGGCTTAGACACGGAGCTGGCTTCGCCGGTATCATCCACAGAACTGTCATGCTCTTGAAGCTGGGTGTTTTGAAATTCAGCAAAAGTATAGGTTGTAGCATCGGTTTGGCCTGCAGAGGTGTTGCGTCGAACAGTCTCGTCCTGTGTGGAAAAGCTCTCGTGCTCCTCAAGAGGGAGATCGTCGGATGGCGGAGGACGCGCAGATTGCCGGTCCGTTTTGGGAAGAGTTGTCGTGGATGGCGAGGTTATGTCAGGCGTTGTAGAAGACGTAGAAGTAGTAGGCAGAGCTTGGCCGTCGTCCAACCTCTCCAAGACGAGGGCAAGCTGATGTTGCACGGCCGTAAGCTGCTCTGCGTATTGGCGACCTTGCTGAGCCAGTTGTTTTTGGAACAACAACGCCTGCCTCGCTTCAGCTTCTGCATGGTCTTCTGCTTCACGACTACGTTTTCCCTCAAGTGCCGAAATTCTGTCCCGCAGCTCGCGGTTCTGACGTTCAAGGTCCTTTACATTGCCGTGGAGGTTCTTAGCAAAGTCGAACGAAGCTCGATCCTCTGCAACTCGCTTCTTGTGCTTGTCAAAAGCCTCTTCTTGCAGTCTGAGACCGGTACGAAGAGAATCTACGAGCAGCTTGCTAGGCTTCTTCTTAAGCTCTTCCCGTATTGTTTTGAGTTCCGTTTGCAAATCCCTGACATTGTGCGATGATTCACCGTGTGATGGGGACGGCCCAGCTTCCGGGTAATTATGGCCAGTGTTACGCAAGTTCTTGACTTCTCGCTGCAAAATGGCCAGTCTCGCAGCCAAGTCGTGAAGCATCCGGGAGCTCTCCCCCTCTGACGCTGAGGGCGCATGCACCCTCATGAATCGCGCTCTCGCTCGACCCGACACGCAGACTAGATCCTTCCGGCCTCCGAACACTCCGCGCACGGCGTTGTTGAGTTTCATTGTATCTTCGTCAAGCCCAGCAGTGTCGAAATCTTTTTGCGTCGCACGTCTTGCAGGACGCTGCTCAATAAATGTATCAAGCAAGTCCCAGAGACGCTCGTGGTGTTGTGGGCTATTGAGCAACATGGCGAAAAGCGCGAAAAGAATATTCAATTGGTCTGCAGTTGGCTGAGTGGAACCTAGAAGAACGAATGCGTTGTTGTCGGAAAGAACAGGCGACGTAGGAAGTACCGGCACATGCGAAGGAGGACCGGGAGGACCAGGAGGGCCGGGCGGGCCAGGCGGGCCAGGGGGACCGGGCGGAGGAGGTGGTGGAGGTGGAGGAGGAGGCGGAGGCGGGCCGTTGTTTCCGCCGTTTTTTGGAGGCTGGGTTGCAGGAATAGGTGGAGGAGCCTGTCCACCGCTGGGAAATAACCAGCGAATGACAGGTGCGATGCAGTATTCGAAGATGGACCATACACCATAGATGGCGAGGCTCCATAGTAGAAATGAGGACATCAATTCTCTATATGTTGGCTTGAATTCGATAGAAGGCAAGGAATTGCGAACAGTCGAATAGCTCTTCGTCTCGTTTATGTGCAGTGTAGCTGGAAGAACTTGTATTAGCAGAACGACACTAAGGACATAGCCACCGAACGTACCATTCTCATTCTTGAATGACTTCAAGTCATCGAGGCCACCGGGGAGGTATCCACCCGGAAGGATGTCCTCGAATTCGAAAGTCACTTTCGATTCCGCTGTTTCTAAAGCTGCCCATTGTGCTGTCATCGTGCTGGAGCATGTCGTGCTGGAGGGCCTTGTGCTCGAAGACGTTGTGCTTAAAGACGGAGTGCTTGATGTGGTCGCGCGTTTCTTCGTAATCGGGTACGACTTCACGCAAATGGAGCTATCTTCAGAACACGGACGGTTCACCATAGCCTTGTACTTGGTCCGGCGTTCCCAAGGCAGCCCAGTGTTTATCCATAAGCGGAGGGCCTTCCCCATTGTCATATAGATGTACAGCAATACTCGGACCTCCTTGTCCCAAACCTCCTGCATAGCACGATCGAAGTCCATTAGCCAGTTGAGTGGCGTATGCTCTCCGAGAGCAGCCATTGTGGAGAGTGTGCGCCAAGAACCTGTGCTGTGTGCAAGCCGCAGAGTGGGAGGTTGAGGTTATTCTTGAGTAGTAGGGTGTCACGGAAGTTGGTGGTGGGGCGGGAGGTCCGTCAAACGCGAGTGCAATGTTATGAAATAGTAGCGCGGGCGCTCGGGGCAGCGCCAAGGCTTAGCCGAGACACTGAGAGGTGAATGTAAAGCTGCTGCAGAATCACGAAATGACGTCATTCAGTGATTTTTAGAGACGCTGAATGTTGGAGAGGCAACAAGAGGTCCTCTATTCACTAGTTGCAAGACTTGCGAGTGGAATGGGGTACCCCTACGGAATTACAAAACTTCAGGTACGATGTCAAGTTTCAAGCAGTGCAAATTAGACTGCTTCTTGACTTACTGGCTGCTTACTAGCTGGGCCGCTCCTCATAGTTGTATCAAATGAGCAAGATTGGAGCCAAACAGCGATAAATCCGGGTACCCAGACTTATGGCGTAGTAATGTAGGAGGGTGGTTTTTTGCATGGAGAAGGTTTTAGCAAGGAGTGAGACTATTACGCGTGTTGTATTAACAGGTAGACATTACAAAGTTGGAAGTTCAAACATGTATCTAAAGCTTTCTCATTTCCTATATACAAGACTAAACCAGCACGCGACTCCAAACTGTCAGGTAGGAAAGCCTCCCGTACCCTCGCCTCGTTCCTACATATTGCTTTGTCGAATACACAGCTGTCAGGCTGTACATAATGACTAGCACCATGTAGAAATGACGCGAGAGCAGGTGTGTGTTGGTCAGAATGCTAGACACTTTTCGCATCTCTGGCCATCATCCAACAGAATCCGAAAACACCCCGTTTGCCTAACCTGATATATCAACCAAAACACAAAGAAAGCTCTATACTCCCATTATACAACCGCATTGTGGACCTAGAAAGAAAAGAGAAAGAAGTAATGAAGCCAATAGCGACGGCAGCCACCAATATCGGTCGCTCAGAACTGGTCAGAGTCCCCATACTTGTTCGCAAAATGGTCATCTGGGTCCGTTTCGTCGCCTTCCGTTACTTGCTGAGAGGGCTGCAAGACCGGAGCAATGGGAAGCGTTGCTGGGGTGGTGGTAGAACTTGCAGAGTTCCGCCCCTTCAAAGGTTTTAGGTGGCGCTTAGCAAGCTGTTTGGCCGTGGCGCGCTTGAACTCTGTAGGCAACGAGGGCTTTTTACCCGAAGACTTGTGCTTACGATCCTCGTCGTCGACAGGAGCGTCATCAGCTCCCTGTGTTCTCGTTCGATCGACGCGGGCTTTGGCTTTCTTGTCAATCCGGGCCTTTTGCTCCTCGCGATTCTTGCGCTGCTCCGCCCGGGCTCCGGAGGCTTCTTCGGCCGCATCTTGTGGCTCCGGCAGGTCGTTGAACTGGGAATCAGCCTGCTCCTTACGCTCGATGACCTCCCTTGCATCTTTGCCAGAGTCGCTGTTCAGATACGACTGGAAAGCGTGGTATCTCGAGTTGAAGGAGTCAGGTCCCTCCATCTGAATACCACCATATTCCTCGCGCATTGCCTTCGTGTAAACCGCCTCTTTGTCATCATCTCGCGAATTCACGGCTTTTCGAGCATGATATACCTCGCGAGTGCGTGCCCATTCGATCAGCCGAATTTGGCTGAGATGGCCGTCGTATTGACAATTCGTACGCTCTAGCGTCCAGAAGAGAGAATTCAGGCGGTGCTGGCGCGCGGCTTGGAAGGTAACGCCCTGTACATGGATTGGAAATGCTGGGACAACTTCTGCCATGGACGGTTGGGCCTGCGGAGACGGGGCCACGGGAGCTGTCGATTGCGGCACGGCCGCGTCCTTATTCTCATTATTTGCGGCTTCCAATGCGTCCTTATCCTCGACTGTGCGCGCCATGTTTTCTAGGAACTCAAGAAGGAAGTTACTGTCCGTTGCGGAAGTATTTTGGAGGATATTTGAGATCTCTTGCGCTATGTTGCCGGTGTACCTCGATCTTGATATTGGCATAGGCACCGAGCTATCCTCTAGCCATTCCGCGGAGAATTTGCGCTCCACTGCTTGTGCAATGATTGCCACCCAGCTTCGTGTGTATCCAGTGTTGAGCCGCGTGTTGGCTTCGTCAAGGATTTCGAAGATTTCCTGGAGCCGCGACTGGCGCAGAGGCAAGTAATCAACGTCAACGCCAAAAATATGAAGAGGCGTAAGTTCGGGAATTGCACCCTCGGGGCCTTGTTCAACAGGGTCAGCCTCCTCCAAAATAGGAGTTAGTCCATACGCATGTGGGCGCATATATGATGATGCTCCAGTGTTGGGTGCATCCGCACTGCCTTCCGTTCGTGCGGGATCTGCGAGAAAAGCTGAGCTAGAGGTGCCTTCGGTTGTTTGTTCCAGCTGAGGTTGAGATGCCGGACTGGAAGCGTAAGAGCTGAAGGCCTGGAACGTGGGCTGGAGATTACTCGATGCGCGAGGCACATCCGCTTGCCGAAATAGTCCCGTAGTTGCATCGCCCATATCCATACTGTCGTAGACTTCGCCACCGCGGGGTTGGTCCAGGGCAACTGAACGGCCGGCACCATTAAGAACGACTGCGGTTTGCTCCGACATGTCGAGGCTCGCGTCAGCATCAGGGCCTTCTGGGGCTGCAATCCCGTCCGTATTCTCGTACGCAGCCCGCAGAGCGACCTGATCTTCGACTGTATCTGCGACCGTTTGGAGGAAATCGAGGAACCATTTCGTGTCGGATTTGACAATCTTGATAATCTCAGACGTTATCTTGCTTTTATATTCCATGTCCGAATCAGGTATCGACGTCGAGCGGCCCTTGAGGAATTGCATGGCATATCGCTGCTCCGTGGCTCGAGCGATCATGATCAAGAAGTGTCGAGAATAACCAATGCCGAGCTCCAAGTTCACCATTTCCATGCGAGCGAGCATGTATTGGAGTCTGACTTGACGCACGGCGAGGTACTCGTTCAAAACGCCTATGATACTGATAGGCACGAGCTGTGAAACAAAAGGGGATCCCACAGGCATACTAAGCGCGAGAGTGTCTGCATTTGCCGGTTCCTGTGGATGTACTGGCGTTTCTGCCCTTTTTTCGGACGCATCGCCCATGTCAAGGTCTTCATGCACGGGACCAGAGTTGGAGAGAACGAGTCGAGAAGATGGACTAGGAGCGACGCCGTGGCCGCCAGTCCCAGCATCTGGCTTCGCCATGTCCAGATCCTCGTTGCTATCGTCGCTCTTTTCTGGGGGATGTTCTGCGTCCATATCGATGTCTCCCTTGGGTCGAAACCTATCGTCGTATTCGAGATGCTGAGGTGGGCTCGAAGACTCCTGCATGGTACCATTCTGATGATTTGCCGGATGCGATTCAAAGCCCGACAACGATGTAGGTGCACCGCCAGCCTGGGTATTGGTATTCGCATCCACAGCATTGCCCTCCAGCCTAAACATCAAAGAGCTATCGCCATTGTCTTGACCGGGCTGGACGTTTGACGAAGTCGGCCCAACATCGCCATCTGCTTCTGCAATATCCTCGTCCATAGATCTAGCCTCTAAGTTTGACCTGAACTCTTCCTCCAAGTCTTCATCCAAATCATCATCTTCGTCAAGGTCAGACAACGATGAGTCGGTGTCGTTGGCTGTGTCATTCGGTTCTGGAGCTTGGATGGGTGTGGGCTGCAGAGTGCTTAAGCTCGCCGGGGCACCATTAGCAGCTGCAGCAGAAGCGACATTCGAAGTGGCAGACGTGCCGATATGCGGTGTAGCGGCAGAGGATTGCATTGGTGCTGTGCTTGGAAGAACCGGGGGTGCTGGAAGGTTGTACACAGGTTGGCTAATGCTATCGGAGAAGTGCCTGGTTTGAGTAGCGGAAAGAGTTACGACCGTTGAACTCGAACTCGGTGCATGGCCTTGCACGGTCTGATCAGTGTCAGCCTTGGCGGGGAGAGTCTGTGGTGTTGCAGCTGGAGCCAAAGATGTCGAAACTGGCTCCTCAATCGTAGGCTGTGAGGACCCAACCTGACCCAGCTGCAAAGGTGGCAGCTCATAGACTTTATAAGATGCCGGATACTGAAAAATGGAGCTATCCCCAATCATCGTGGTGGAGTGTATAATTGGGCCCAAATTTCGAGACGATTGGTGATTGTCTGAAATGAAAGCTGGCACATCCGCCACACCGCTTGTAGCCTGGGTATCAGAAGGAATAGGACCCGTATTCGCAGTAGCTGCTGGAGGAGCTGCAGCATCTGAAAGCGGAGGCAATGTAGGAAGCTTCATGGACGACAAACAACCAGCAAGCAATATGTCAACTTCAGCATCTGTTGCGGCGCTGACTGCTCCCGTATCATCCTCATCGTCGTCACTTTCGCTGTCGGAATGCTCCGAATCAGAGTCCTCGCTGATCTCCATGGGCTCGCGCCATTCAATGTTGCTGAGCTTTGAGCCAGCAGAGCAGACGCCGCGAGTCTGGCTCTCCTCCGCTTGGGTTTGCACGGATATGAATGGCTCTGAAGTAACCCTAGCAGTGTCATCCCGCTGGAAAGCCGAATGCAGCTGCGTTACCATCTCGGCCTTTGTGGCTTCGGCGTGCTTGCCTGTGGGTACAGAATGGGGACCCTTAGGCTCGGTGAGAGGAATCTCGGTGCTGGCGGCTGGCTTATGGTAGGCTTTTTCCGGACCCGGAGTACCTCTAGCATGACGGTGCTCGCTGCGACGCTGTGGCTGTGAGGAAGCCAGAGAGGAAGTATTGGTGTCAGCCGTAGATGGATAACGTAGCCATCTGTTTCCCCGGCCAATGTATTCCAGGAAGTCATTCTCCACATCCTGGATGATGGGGTCATGCGCGAAGAAATTTCGCCAGTATGCATCCGCTCCTGCATCCGTAGCAGCTTTCTTTAGAGAGAACAATGTTGTGACCCATGCATCATATTCCTCGTTGTTGATCGCCGGCCCAGGTCTCAGATGTGTCTTCAGATGCGCTAGCATAGCATCCAAATCATTCCTCAGTCGAAGGCGACGCTGTTCTGTTGCTACTGGAAAGAGGACAAGGATATAGCGATCTCGGCACTTGCGCAAGGCTGTGGTTGGATCGCGAAAGTGTTTGAACGCAGTCTGTACTCGGCGCCGTAAGTCGAGAGTATCTTGGTCGAGCCCGAGGTTGAGAATGTCGGCCTGGGTCGCATGCCGAAGCTTCGGAACCCATGTAGAGATATAGGATGGAAGGCTTTGGTGCGGTTGAGGTTTCGTCCTACGACACAGTATTGCCTTACAGCGACGAAGCGCATCAACTACGCGGCGAGACATGGGTCCGGCCCATTGAAGAAGGTGTCGGGACCGTCGATAGGCAGAGTGGAGGGTTCCAGCGGTTGCAGTTATCGCGCGGCCGAATACTGCTTTGTAGCGTCGAAATGCATCAACTATGCGGCGAGATATTGCTCCAGGCCATCGAAGAAGTAGTCGGCAAAGTTGGGAGGCGATAGCGAACCATCCAACAATTGCGAGAATCGCGCGGGATAGACCTGCTTTGCATGCGGAAAGCGCATCAGCTATCCAGCTTGACATCGCGCCGCGCCAACGAGCAAGGATTCCAGAATGTATGTATGCGATGGCAAGAAAAGTCAGGATAGCGAGCATGGTGAAGACAAATCGAACCGGTGGAATCGATCCGCTAAACGAGGTAGGGTAGCGTGGGGAGGCATTCAGTGTATCTACAGGTAGCGCAGTACACGTCAGCGACCAGTCTTTTAGGAAGCGGGATTGAGCTTACCTTTCGCAGACGGCTGGAAATCATCGCTCAAGATGAGGGCCAGATAGTCACCCTGCATCTGATCATCCATGATTGTAAGCGGCAACCGGAAAGGTGGTGTGGCGATGCAAGGTGGTGGGGTCTGAGAATTGATGGAGGATGGTGGAGGGAAGGTGAGGATGAAGAGGTGAGGAGGAAGAAAGTGAGGAGATGACTCAGGTGAGGTTGGTGAATCTCACTTGGCAGTCAGCGGTAGGCAAGCACTGCGGATGCTCCCAGACCTTCAGCAACGCGGCATGAAAGCGGGTGCAGTGGCAGAGCTTTGTGTAGGCTATCGAGCCATGGTTAGAGGTCTCTTATACAATCCTTACGTGCACAAAGTATGGGGAGCACTTACCACACAGCCTTTCTGTTTGATCGCACACATCCTTTTGTTCATCCACAACCCCTCCCTCTCGTCCGATCTTTTCATTGGCTGGAGCGGCGCGGAGCTTCGTTCGCAGCTCCACTTTCACGTGCATCCGCACGTATATCCTTTCCAATGTACTTAGGCGTGCGTTATGCTGGATAAAAGGCCGTACGTAATGCTATACGTATAGCCGTATAAGAGACCTCATAAGCTGCCTTGTAAGCTGCTGTATAAGCTGCCTCACGAGCTACCGTATAGGAGGCCGTATATGTAGCTGTACGTGAAGTTGTACGTAATGCTGTATATATAGCCGTACGTGCAGCTGTATGCATGCAGCCATTCGTTTTCTTATATCGCTACCTGCCGTGCCTACATGCCTAGGAAGTTGCCAAAGCCATCGAAATCTCACCTTGCAGAGGCTCCTTTCCATCAAGCGTGGCCACCTGCATCGCCGCCCACATCGCCGCTTACGCTCACACAAGAGTATGAGAGGAAGCTCCGAGGAGTCTGCCCGGTCGCTCTAGCTGGGACAAGTTCAAAGATCCTTCAGAAGATTCACCTGCGATGCCCTCAAATTATTTAGATGGTATTAGAGTTTCTGATTGCGAGCTCCTAGTGTACGCATATTTGTTTCCTAGCGTTGTATCTTGATCATGAATAATGGAGGAGTAAGAGACAGAGGAGAATACCTCACCATGCAGGCACAGAGTATGGAATACTCAACACGATGGTTTGCTCAGATGATTGTTTAGTGATTGAAAGTGATATATAGAATCAAAGCGAGAAGTGAGATCACCCACGTTCGAGCGGTTTGGAGAATTCGAGAAGTCTATAAGACTCTTCCAGAGCGGCATTCTCGTAAATAGAAGATACCGCATGGCGAGCATCAAATATGGCTGCAATTAGAGCTGCTATCGGTTTGATAACTTGCAAACCCTCCTCACCTTGGCCGACCCAGACACTGACAGCGAATCCATCCATTACCTTGTCTTACCTCTTTACTCCCGCGGCCACGATCCGTCTTCATCCCGGCCCCGCTCCATCCGCGGGATCGTGCAACACTTCCCTCCTCCTTTTGCAGACACCGCAGTCTACGACATCTTCCTTATGTAGACACCACGGTCGACGACACAACCATTGTAGCCCGTTAATTCATTGATAGATACGACGGTTCTCCAGCAACTTCAACAGAAAGGGGTCCTAGATAGTTTAGGTGGAAGGTAGGCGAGGTAGAGAACACGGCATAGCGGTTGGGGCGGACATGCGCCGACTCAGCAGATGAGAAACAGCGCGAAGGGAGGCGATGCACACCTCGCTCTGGGTGGCGAGTGACGTCCGATGGTTTGAGTCATGGCTTGCGCGGAGTCTACGTAGTACGCTCGATGGCTATGAAGAGCGACTACATTCGAGTGGATCCCAAGCTCAGGGCAAGAGTATCAAGAGCTAGCCCATACGGTATCAGTAAATATAGGAATGGAAGATGAAAAGCCAGGATACCTCTGTTCAGACCGATCTAATGCAGTTGCTTCTCCGATCTTCCCCATCCACATCTGCCGATCGCGAACGGAGAGCGTACCGAGTGTATGAGTGAGTGTGTTTGTTTTTACAAAGAATTGGTAGATGACCGAGCCACGAGGCACTTCATCGATGACTGTGGCTTTCACAAATTGGTTGTCGACATCTGGGAGGGTAGCAGAGAGCTCGGTAGTTGTGAGAGGCTGAGGTGCTAGTTAGCCAAAGCGAAGAAAGGCGCAAGGACCGGAACATACCTCCTCCAAAATCCAGAATTTACCCTCCGTGGGGGCATCAGCATTGGTTTCACCTGTTTTCGGAGACCGCACCTTGCCCCAAAAGAGATTGTTATCGAGTAAAACAGCATGTACTGGCTTCCACGGGCCTTTGCCTTTGATGCGCACCGCGAGCGCCCCTTGGTGGATGATAGTTCGAGCAGGGTCGGAGATGTTCAGTACATTTAAAAAGTCCGAGTTTAGAGTTTGGATGCGTCGGTAGAGGCTTTGGAGCTGCTCGCGCCGCATAGATTTTTCCTGGATCGCACGACAAGAGTATTGAAGTTTTTGTAGAGAATGAAGTGACTGTTTCAACACTTCGACCTCTCGCTGATGGACCTGGCCGGGAGCCAAGATATCGTATGAGCCCAGAATAGAGTTCAAATTGTCGATGTAGAGCTGAACTTGTAGCGTGGGGATATTGGTAAAATCCTCCCAAGTCTTTCCAAGCCAGACAGGTCGTAGACCGAGCGTGTTGACGAAGGACCGAAACTTGGCGTTGGTAGAAAGGGTGAGGCGGATGGCGTGTTGAGCATGGGGAAGTCGTTGATGATACGTCCGATAGGTCACTTGAGACTTCGCAACCCAGGCAGAGATGAACTGAGGATCGCACGTGGCGAAAGGACTTTGACTGATTTGTGAGTTCATGGGTAGCCGAAAATGATCTTTGTGCAACGCAATCAACTCCTTGATCATTTGTAATGCCTCCAAATGTTTAGCTAGGACTGGCCAATTCGAAAGCACTGGGATGACGAAAATCCGATTAAAGGAGGAAAGTCGAGAGATGAGGTCCGATTCAGATTGGATCATGCCAGCCCACAAGGTGTGACGGTCTATCTCCCGGGCTGAAACGACCTTGATGTCATCGTTCTCTGACGACAGGGTTTTGAAGAGGTCTAAGTTTGATTGACTTTTCTCGGATAAAGGTTTGCGACGAGGCACCGAAGAAGCGGATGTTGCTTGCGGAGACGACTCCTCAGACCTCAGCGGTCTGCTGTCTACTGTGGTCATAGACTCCACCGCGGTGCGAGTAGAAGATGAGGACACTGCCGAAGAAGAGTCGTCAAGGTTCGATGATAGATGGCTTGATGTTCCTGTGAAGTTGGTTACTAGCGGTGACCGATGGTCGGTGAGTTGGGCGGTGGCTGCTGATCGACGTGGGGGCAGAGGAGGTTTTTCTTCCTCCATGGTGGGAGCATCTACAGTGCCCTGCGTGGGTGCCGTGTTGCGCTCAGGATCCTCACGCTTTTCAACAAGTTCAACTGGGTTACTAGTCGAGCCTGTCTTAGTAGAAACTATAGGGGGCATGAACGGTAGGTAGCTTCTCTCGATATCATCCAGAAACGGATCTGGTTCAAGATCCTCAAAGACTGGCGCATCGGCGTTAGACGCTACGCCAGATAGGTCGAGGTTTTGCAACTCTTCGAGCGTATCTGATAGAGCTTGCAGTTGTGGCTCATCTTCAGGATCATCGAAATTGATCAAGTCGCCTTGAACGACTTCAGCTTGCGGTTTTGGGTTGCCGTTTCGGGCTTCGGCAGCGGCCATTGCTCTTCGATACGCCTTGGAATTGACGACCTGGTCATCAAAGTCGAACTCGGCTTGACTAATGATGGAATTTGCATCCACACCAGATTTAGCGTTGTCGTTGGCCTTGAATATGGAATCGGGGACTTTGATCCGAGGATGCGTGGATCGCAAGGACTTCGACCTAGTTGCAATCTGCTCCAAGGTGCCAGAGTTTTCTCGCAGAAGGCGTCTGATATCACCCAGGGATTCCCTGCAACGACTGAGATTAGCACAGACATGGGGCATAACGCCAGCACGGAATCGCACATCTGGAGGCCTTGAATCAAGAGCGTCATAGCAGTCTGCTGACCGCGAATCTGTAACAGCAGTTCTTTCATCCTATCTTCCTCCCACACTATTCTAGACCGCTCCCTCCAGCCCAGGTCGCCTCCTGGCGGACCGGAGCCTGCCAAACGCTGCACCTCCTCGTCTAGGCACGAATATACAACCATGCATCCCGTCAACGCAGTATCGAAGGCAGCTTCGAGGTCGGGTTTCTGCCCTAGCGCATCGTGGAGGAGGAGGTTTTGAACCTGGGAGAGAGCGGCGCTGATGACCATGGACTCCGAGTAGATGGACGTGATGGTGACATACGCATCCCGATACTTGTCGCGGAGGTCGTAGAGACCTTTGGCGCACCGTATAGTTTCGGAGAGGACATTGATCTAGGGGTGCTTCAGCAAAGGTCATCTATCATGAGTTGATGGGGCCTGAGATGACTACATACCACATTGGCGGCGACGCTTAGCGGATCCATTGAGTGAGCTTCCGCTCTGGCGGCCTTGGAGGGCGGTGGCCGTTGATATTGTTGTTCGTCGAAGGGTGTTTTTTCGTCCTGGGAGTTCTATTCGAGGATTACGGGGTGTAGCATGCTGAGCTGTCTTCAATGGCCCTTTCGTCCCAAGAGGTGAAGTTGAGGTTGACGACGCGTCGTGAGATCCCTGCCCGGAGCAAAGCGCCGTTTTTCCGGCCGTCTGCGCCTCGACGTCCCTGGTCATCTCATCCCATCACAACTCATCCCAAACCCTCAACTCCAGAGATTGCACATGCTCGCGCATTTGTATGAAGATGCACTATATGGAGTTGACTAGGAGGGACAGCCAATGGGCTTCAAGTCAAACCTGTCTCTCGCCCGATTGATAGCATGCGTCTAGCAATCGAGAGTATAAAGTACCAACATGTCTTCGAGATCCTATCAGCTTCCACCCTTTCTTAATTTCCATCTTCTTCTTTTTTGCTTTCTCTTTTCTACTTTCTTGGGGGCATTTGCGTGATCTTGTGTGCTTCTACCCATTTTTGCCCGTGTCGCAAATATTATCCATCATGACATGCTCTCCACAAACGTCAGTTGCCAATCTCAAAGCTAATATACAGTGAGCTTCCGTGACAAGCGGACATGCACCTCGACTTGACGAAGCTGCGTCAAGTAAAAACAACCTCGAATCAAACGATGATTTTTTTGCTTGCCATCTGATGCCTCTTGGCGGCTTTCTCCCAGAAAAACAAAACTCTATTGTGAGAAGGGGCGTTCTTTGTTCGCCTGTCCTTTTTCTCTGCTCCCTTTGTCCTCCAATCCGGTTAGCGAATGTTCAAGACACCCTGCTTTGTTGAGAACTCAAGCGCGAACACAAGGAAAAACCCAATGCAGCTGGGTCTCGAGTCTCAAATGAGCCAACGGCTCAATTCTCTCCTATACAGCACACGTTGCAATCAAACAACATCGCACCATCTTAACAACTACTCAAAAAAGTAACATACAGTAACTACCACGATATCACAGGCGTCTCCATAATTGCATTGGTTTGTATCCACGCTCTATGTGGAAACCACCTGTCTTCATGCCGTCGAGCCGTTTCATCAGCCAATGGTTCCGCCACGAAATCCTTATCGGATACCTCCACTTCTACTGTCAAATCTATTTCTGTGCACTCCACCCGCTAACGTGTACGGTGGAGACCATATATTCGGTTATTCAAGGTTTCTGGGATAGTCTCCAACTTGTCCAGGACGGTTTTCAAGGGATCCGCAATCTCGTCACTGTTGGGGAGAACGAGCCCGCGTCCCCTTCAACAATTCTCGACGAGCTCTTCGCCGAGGACAGTACTACGACCTCTGAATGCATGTCCCCCTCCTCCGCATCTACATCCTCCTACATCGAGACGTTAACCAACGATACAGGCGAGCAGACCCACCTTTTCAGCGACGAGGATCTCACAACCTGCTCCCCGGGATTCAGATGCCATACCGACGTGTTCTCCGCGACCGGGCCTGTAAAATCCTCAAAGTCCACCGCCACGCTGCTGAGCGCCACTCCCTTAGTGAGTATCATCTCTTCTCTAACAACCACGAGTAGCCACCCCACTAATCTTCAGAGCACGATAACCGCATCTACCACTAGCTTTACTACATCCAATTCAACGGGCGGCTATTTTGAGCCTGTAGCCGATAAGCTAGTTGGAACATGGACATTTGCGCGCAGCTTGTTCGTAGCCATATACGGGGTCGGGACTTCAATATCTGCCAGGCCCGCGTCTGACATATATTGGATTGCCTTTTCAACGATCGAATCTTATATCCGAGTTTGGCGATACATTCTAGCTGAGAGTTGGAAGTTTTGGCGCGAGATCTGGGCTTGCACGAGTCTTACGGAGTTCTTTCATCTAGTATTGGTCAAGCTCACGTTTTGCGATGGATGGGCCGGGTGTAAGAGCTGGATCGCGAATCCACCCGTCAAGGCATTCCTACTCGCAGCCCTGCTCTTCATTCTGGCTGTTTTATTCTTCGCTTGGTATCTATGGATGTATGAGAGAAGCGGCTTGGTGAACTTCGCCGAGCACTCATCCACTACCTTGACTCCCAGGGGCGTGGGTGGCGGCAGTGGAGGCGGCGGTGGTGGAGGTAGCGGAGGCGGTGGACGAGGCGATGGCGGAGATGACGAGAATGACGACCAAGATGGCGACGCTAAAGCTGATGGGGGCCGCGATCCAAGTCCAGGCAATGAACCGGCACCTGCGTCGAGGTCTACTCCACTTCCTCCAGTTCAAGGGCCGCTAGTTTCCGCCGGTCAATCTACCCAGCTCCCGAATACCAACCGACAGACTAGCGGACACCAAAGGAGCGAACAACAAGAAACCGAACTTCTCAAAGCGCTCAAGGCTATTAGTGAACGCTTGAGAAGGGTTGAAAGCGCCCGGTCCTTACAAGCGCAATTCAATAATAAAACAGTCAAAGAGATGGAAGCAAGACTGCAGCATATGGTGACGGTGTCTGGAAACCAACCTCAAGACAGTCCGCTTGATCCTAGAAAAAACAAGCCTGTCATTTCCCTCCGAAAACGGATTAATGAGCTTGAGGAGGGCTCTGCACAGGAGCGCGGGAACGAGCTTCAGAGCATAGCGGACGCCATAGACCGGTTTGACCGAGATGTGAAAGCTAAACTCGCTGAGGTCAAGGCTTCAGTAGATGAGGCTAATCAGCAGTTTCACCGGCATCGTATGGCTCAAGATAAGCAAAATCGCGAGGAAAGGGAGACGGTCGCGAAGCTTATCGATGAGAAAATGAATAAGTTTAAGGAGGACTTGGAATCCGAGATTACCAAAATGGTCGGCAAAGCGGGTAGTACTCTCGCCTCGACGGTGACGAAAGTGGCTGGGGAAGCCATAAAAAACCAAACTGAAACGTTTCAAAAAGAAACACAAGAAAGTTTCAAGCAGGTGTTGCAACACAGGCAAGCAAGCGATAAAAATACCGCTGTCATCCTAAATGCCAGCAAAAGTGTCCAAGAGGCACAAAGCCAACTCATGAGCATCTTTCAGTCTCTTGGAACGAATCCCGATGCCCCAAGTGTTCCTTCAAACGGCACTAACGAGTTTACGCCAGCTCCAGTCAGCCCTGTGCCTAGACCAGTTGATCCGGAGCTAAAGCCCGTGCCCAAACCACCATCTTCCAAGCCCTCTAACACTAAGCAACCGGCCAAGAAGCCCGGCAGACGTCAGAAAGAGCAGGACACAAAGCCTGAAACTATAAAGCCAAAGCTGGAGCCATCCGGGGTTGTGCCCAAGGTGTCCAGATATGACGAGCTCACACTAAAACCTGAATCTCCCAAGACACCTACGAAGCCCACCAATGTATCCAAGCCGCCAGTCAAACAGCCCGCCGACGAAAACGAATCAAGTGCTACAGTCACGCAGGTGAGTATTACCGTCTCTGTACCAGCAGAAGAGCCATCGATGGGCCCAACGCCTTCCAAAGAGCTTGTCACTAAAACTCCAAGCAGCTCACGTACTGATCCTCCAGCATCGAATAAAACTGTTGGAGGTAAAAGTGCCGAGCCGACGCCATCCACGCCGGTCGACGAAAGTGTCAAAGATGAGAAGGACGGCGCCCAATCTAGAAAGCTGACGGAGATTGTTAACGCCATACAGTCTGAATTAGAGGGTAAAACTACGGCAACTCCGACTGCTCCAACGGCTACTGGTGAGACTCCGATGGTAGATTCGCAAAACCTAAACATGGTCATCGAAGGAGTAAATCCTGGTGCTGCACCGGAGCCTGAATTGCCTTCACCATATTTAACCTCCAAAGTAAAACAGATGTTAGAAGTTCTTGTGGACGAGACGCCCGTTGAAGCGGAGCCCTCCATCGCTGATCACACGCAACCGATAATTGACCCCCTAAAGCTTCTATTGACTTCATTTGCACAATCACGTACAGAAAGCAAGCAAGAACCACCTCCACCAATCGTCACCGCATTCCCTCCTAAATCCGCCACGTCTACTCAATCTGGCACGTTTCCCAACCCTCCCATTACCGGCGGCTCTGCAAGTGTTTTCGACCCGAATGCTCACATTGCAGCATTTGAAAGTGGAAGCATTGATTTCGGTGCCGGTGGTATGGGCGAGTTCTTCCCAGTAAAAAAATAGCAAGAAGAAGACAGGCGGCGTACCCCTACGACTTCAGCAGCGCCCGTCGCCACGCCGGGATTGTCTTCTTCAAATAGCACGAATCAGCACCCAATTTCGTCACTGCAGAACACCGCCTTTACGTGGCAGCTGCCCGTCATTAATCAACCTAAGGCCCCGGCAGGGGAACAAGACGTGACTATGGGGAATCCAAAGCGGATATGGGGCAAAGCTCAGCACCGCTACCATTGCTACAAAGTCCGATATGGGGGCCTAGTCCAGTGTCAGAATTCCCTTCCTTTGACCCATATCTCAACTCTGGTATATCTTCGAAGCAATCTTTCGTACCGTCATTTCCCCCTCAGAACAACGCCACAGCATCGGGAGATCGTATGGAAGAATCTGGACAAGATTACCAGAACGAGGTGGCGCGGCGTGAAGCAGAACTACTAGCGCAACAGCAAGCACGAGAACAGCTGCTGGCACAACAACAATAGCAAGCACAACTACTAGCGGATCAACAACAAGCTCAATTGCTGGCACAACACCAAGCACAATCGCGCCCCAACCCTTCCTGGAATTCAGGCCAAACAGCAGGGGCTCTCGCCAACGCAGTTCCAAAATCCATCCAATGGTCCAGTGGCAGTTACGGTAACGGATCAAAACTTTCAAATACCTCCACCGGGAGCCGATGACGTGGACATGAACGACATCAAGAATGTTCAAGGATCGGTTGCTGAGGCATCCACTGAACGTCAGGGCGAACCACAAATACCTGACACCGTCAATGGTACCATCCACCCTGATTCTGACTTCTCGCCAATCCAGTCGCCGACCCCTTCTCCTGAGACGATACCCGAAGCGTCCCCAGCAGTGCTGTTACTCAACAAGCAACCAGATCCGGAATATATGAATCACGCCCAAAACACTTTCCGACAACGTCTCACAGATATCGTCAAGCACAATAATGACACGCATAGAAACTTCAAGTCTGCGGAGGGAATGGCTATTAATCTTGACGGCATAATTATGCAATTCGTGCTTGCGTGGCTCAAAGCCATCGCCTTAGAAGCTACCGGCTAGGAAGAGCCTTTCAGAGTAACTGAGCATCGAGGCGAGCAGGTTGTGCATCATATCTGGGCAGCCAGCAGAAACGAATGGGCGGTGATGATGTTTACCTACATGGAAACGGGCGGCGAAGTTGACGTGCCACCATTAGACGCCCCTACCACGACAGCAAACGGTGTATATCCTGCTCAAGACCCTGGTACGACGACGGGCGCGGCAGCTGGGGATGGACAAGGGAGATTTGTTCCCGATCCTAACACGCAAATTGAATATCTTAAAGAGGGAACGGAGATTCAAGGGATACTCTATCCCAATTACGTCCTCCACGCAAAGGAGGCTCCTTTCAATCATGTCTCGAAGAGATGTGGCGACGAACTGGGACGCGTTATAGCAGCTAAGAATGCCACGCATCGGCAGCTGGTTGATCGGGAGGGCAAGCCGCTTAATCTAGACAGGATGGGCTCGCCCTTTTTGATTATGCTCCAGGACGACATTGCCTGCAAAGCCGTCAAAGGCAATGAGTTCCCAAGTGTTGAGGCCGAAGGAAACGCGATAGCTCGGGGTATTGAGCAGATGGGCGCTGCTGAGTGGCGGGAAACGCTGCAGGGATTTGTTGACAGGACTGGCGCGACGAGGCTTACGGATGTGCCTGATTCTAGTCAGAATTCCGAGCAAGCCCAAAAACCTAACACTCCAAACACACCACAATGGAATTCTTCTACGCCGAAGGCCAGACTGCCTCCGCCTGCGGCCGTTTTCAAACCCGAAACCAAACCAGCTTTCCGCACCCACGCTGAAAATAAGTGTGGCGAGATTCTCCGAGAAATTGTCATCCGTAAAAACCAGACGTTTCGAAATCCGGTTAGAGGACAAGCTGATCTACCGAACCTAGACGGCAGGGAGGATAATTTTGTCCATTTCCTCTGTGACACGATTGCAATGCGAGCCAAAGGCAAGAATCAGTTCAAAGCTGTTGAAGAGAGCGGCGACCAGATGATAAAGGAAGTCGAGCGGGCGTGCGCCGATCAGTGGGCAGCGTGGGTACAGAGATACTATGACCGTGTCGCGTCCCACCCTGTACAAAAGCAGGGACCGTCCGGCGCTGAGCCTGAGATGCCCCCGCCACCCGTTACAAATGAGGCTGAATATAGGATTCGAGAAACGCATTTCCCTCGTCTCCTTGCCTTAGTGAGGGCTAAGAACAAGCAATACGAAGGGGCAGTCGATGGCCTAGGCAGGCCTCTTTCCGTCAATGAGACGGAAATCCACGCTATGGCAAGGAATCTTTTCGCGCGGATCATCAAAAGAGCACAGCAAGATGGGTCCACGGACTACGAGAGCATTGCGGACAATGTCGCCCAAGAATTTGAGGCAAATGAAGGCGGCCACAGATGGGAGGGCATGTTGCGCGGTCTCAAAGACATACGAGCGCGGGCGGTGGAAGAACCTTCACTATGGCACATTACTGGTGAGCCTCATTGAGACCTGCGGCTGTTGGTCCAGCTGCAGAGCCTCCGCCTCCGTCTCGAGCCCGTGATCCGCATCCCCCCAACCATGAAGACTGGAAGTGGGCGATGAAGCGCCGGTTCCAAGTCGAGACCATACGGCAGGCCTTCAAGAGAAACCTTGACCAATCCGATTGGGATGAAGGCGAACTTGGGAGGCTCGCTGAAGCAATCGAGAATTTTGCATTCAAGTTCGCCGAGGGCGATTACGCTGTTTATGCAGAAAGATGTACTTTATCAAGTGCGCGCCTGCACAGCGGATCCGAATGATTTGGGCAAAATACCGAGAGAACACAGCAGGGAATGCAGCGGTTGAGCTTGCGCTGGATGAGTTCCGGCCCCAGTTCGAGATGGATCTTCGTAAACTCATCGGTGTTATGAATGGCCGGCACGGGCATAGGACTAATCAGCATGGTAGATCTCTACGTCTTGACGAAGAGGAGGCGATTGTGTTTCATAATTGGATGATTTGGCAGATCAACCAGCAGCTCAGGCGGAAAAGGGAAAATATCTCTGTCGCGGACTATCAGACCTTTGGCGAGGAGCTCGTCAGTGAGTTGTGGAAAGGGCGGATGGATTGGGCTACGGCGTTGGAGCATTTCTTCACCTTTATCGGCCAGCATGGAAGGGCGACGCAGATCGGCGTGACAGCATCTGCTCCTCCAGTGCCGCATGCCGTCCAACAACCACAGCAGCAGCAGACCTCTGCCCCTGCTCCTCCGACCGCAAACAACATCGAACGGCCAAAACAGGACACTATGCCTTCACCTCCACACGCAACCGCCATCATCGACCAAGAGCGCGTGGCACAAAGAGAGATTCTGAAGAACAGGTTGGAGAAAGTCGCAGGCGAACGGCCAGAGGCTGCCCTACAGTTGGCATTTCGCCTGGAAATCAAGATTTACGGCGAATCCAAGCACGATCTTGCGAACTACCGGAGACTCATCAAGTACGAAAGCGTCACTGAAACGAAGTTCAACAAGTGGTATGAGGAGTGGATGGAGTCTGATAGTGGTGAGGATATGGATATTTCAGGTAGGCGCTGAGTAATGATGGAATTGGATTGACGGACGCGATCTCATGATCGAGGAATTAGTATTGAGGATCGCGAAGAGTAGAGGGACGATGGGCAAGTTTGGGCATAGAGTTTGGCGTTTTTGTTCTTTATGTTGACATTCTACTTTGTTTTCCGGGATCATTGTACTGAGCGCTTTTCAAATCACTCTCCATACTTTCTAGAAGTATAATGCATCTAAGAAGCTTGATTAAGAAAACTCCCTTTTGTGCAGGATAGGTCCTGACTTAGTCGGACGATAATTGCCATCCATTGAAAACCATGGATATTGCATTTTCATTACAAGAATAGCTGTAGGACATGCTGCGTCCACTGGAAATATTGCGTCGGGTAAACTGCGATGTGAAAAGCTAACCGCGCTGATTCGCTGGCGTGGAAGTCCTTCAGTTGATGAGTCCTAATACGTCAGACATCATGTGGTTTATATGTTCGATTTGACACTGTTGAGGTGATGCGGAGAGCCCGCTGGAGTCGGGTTCCCGTGACCGAAACTCACCCGTCCAGATTGAAGTGTTCCCACGAAAAGTTACCGCATGGTCATTTCACATTCTGAGGATGGAGGTGAAACGATGCATTGAACGAGGTAAGTGATGTATTGGATGAGCATCTATCTAGGCTACGTACGCCGTATATATACTCTGTGTGTGTGGAGGCTTACGTAGCCGTACCGTAGAACTGTGAGGGCTAAGTATAGGAACCGTGTTCTATATCAAGGTAGCCGAGCTAACCGTATCATACTCCGTAGGCTAGCTGGCTAAGAATACGTACTCCGTCACATTCACCACCCTGGCGCTGACAATTGACATACTTAAAATCGGCCCTGCGGTTGCTTTCACGAAACCCTCCACCACCCACCAACCCCACCCCCAGCTGCTCGACACGGCATAAATTTTCCACACACCACCAACCGACTCTCACCATGCCGCCGCCGGACGTGGATGAGCTATCGTTTACGTTCGCTCAACTCAGGCTCCGCTCGGCACCCTCGCCTCCAACTCGACCGCTTCCACCACCGCGTCGTCCGCCTTCAGTCGTTCGCAAAGGCCTCAACGACCTTCCCTCCGAGCTTCTTCACCTCACCTGCAATTACCTCGACATCGTGGACCTTAAGTCCTTTAGGTTGACAAACACACGATTCTGCGACATTGGCATCAGCCACCTCTTCTGCGAGGCACGTCTCTGTGCTGACCTGACGAGCTTGAAGCGCCTCGAAAATGTCGCCACCCATCCAGTTGCGAAGTATGTCAAGTCGCTTGACTGCGTCGGTTACGAGAAGGACAATGGCTTTGGAGCCGAATTAAACAGAATGGCAGACTTTCAATACGGTCGAAGATTCATCCTTGCGGCAACTGAGGGAGCTTCTTATGGAGACATCATGGTCCTAATGCAGGCATGGATTAAAAAGTGTGGATACGCTTCAGAGACTAAGGACGAACCGCCTCGCTTATCACTTATCTTGAAGCTTCTAGTCGCCCTTGAGTCGGTCAAATGCTCACTTAATCCTCCGGATACGCCGCTATGGACCTCAGGCACAGGGATTCGTTGTCCCCTTGGACCCGCTTTCTATTTCTTTAGTGGTGTATTGAAAGCATGCCACCTGGCTGATGTGGCCCTGAAGACGCTAGATGTTTCACACGTCCATGAAACAATCCTATACGAGTTGGGTACTCGGCGCGCATTGCGTGCCTTCGTCAAATTTATGCGGTTCCAACAGCCAGCTAGCGGATATGGAATTCCGAGCATGCTGATGAATCTTCCGAGCCTGAAGCTCCGTGTGTGCTCTTTCTGCTCAAGCGATCCAGACACTCTAAGACAAGCACGCCAAATGTTCGCCGACTCTCTCCACAATATGCCAAAACTCCAGATTCTCGACCTCTCTTTTGTCGACAAGCCGGTCTTTCTAAGCAGTATACTTGAGGAGTCTGTATGGCCAGACCTTGAGTCGTTGTCGCTTAGCTTCGTCGGCATCCATGAATCGCACTTCATGTCTTTTCTTGAGAAGCACACACCCTCTTTAAAGGCCCTCGAGCTAGACAACATCATCCTCGTTGGCAGTTCCGGAAAGGCTATACTTCGACCGCTCCGGGACTGGGTTTTGCGCAGCAATCTAGAGTTTTTTTCTATCACAGGATCCCTGCAGGAGATTGAGTCTAAGCATGGTGTGGACGAGAATGAGAGCGCCTTCCAACAATATTGCAGCCTCGCCGACTGGAAGCCGAACAGCAATGGAATCAACCTGGAAGTGCTGAAATATCTGACATATGGTGGAAGGGACTTGGCACACGATGCCCAAGCGTCGCAAGTGGCACTCACAGGGGTAAATGACGCTATATACGAATCCGATGACTATGTATCGGAAGAGCGTACCGTGTTCGAGGGGATTCGTTGGCCATGAATCCACCCAAGTGGTGGTTCGAACATGCGAGGTCTGGCGACGTGGTGAAATGAGACAGGCAAACAACATATGCGGCATCACTCTGAGTGAAATTGGAGACTTCACAAAGGACGACGAGTTTGCACATCTCTGAAAGATATCACTGCGGCTTGGGTTCTGAATGGTGTTGACGAGATCGCTGTTACGGCGGTACCTGCTTAGGTGGGCTGAGACGACACCTTCAAAACTTCCGCTACATCGAAGTCATGAGGTTCTCTTGCTGTTAACTATTAGCAATTGCACTTCCAATCAGCGATCGATCATTGCCGTAACAGCCAGGTGACAATAATGTGAACGCATCAAGTTCGCACCAATGACTATCTGCGTAGCCCGAACTACTATATATGTAAGGTACGTACAGAAGGTACACATGAGTGAATGTCCCAAATACTGAATGCCAGAGGTCACGTGATGGAACCATGTTTAAGCACAGCGGCCATGAATTCACCAGCGCAATATTTATCCGTGACCGCTCACAAGACAACTTCTCCGCCCAGTGTTCGCGCCCTTCTTCAACGAACCCTCAACCGAGTTGCCCACCTACCTCTTCCACCACCCCCCAGCTCCGCTTTCTAACCCCTTCAACACCTACACAATACGACCATGCGACCGCAAGATTCCGCACCCGGTCTCCAGAGCACACTCGATTCTCTCGCCGAACTGTTCCTCTCAATCAGGATCCGCAGACCCTCCCCGCACAGAGTCACCCTGTCGCTCCCGACCCTTCTGTTCACGTTGATACGGTTTCTCAGCTGAACATCAGAGGACCCGCGACAAGCCTGCGCGACCTACCTGCAGAGCTAGTGCACGAGATTTGCAACTATCTCGACGTCGATTCGCTAAAAGCTTTTCGTCTGACCGACTCGAAGCCCAACAAAGTCGCCGTAAGCCATCTATTCTCCGAAGCATCTATCAACCTCAGCAGTGATAGTCTCAGTTATCTGAAAGCACTGATGATACACCCGGAGTATGCCAGTCATATCAAGGTGCTAGACTTCGAGAGCAGCTCTGAAAACCTCGTCTGGACCGAACTGTCCATGTTAAGGCTTGTGATTAGTCAGACGATGCGGAAGACCGTGGACGCAGAGCAGAAGGATAGCCTTACCGCTTACGAAAGTGGGACTTGGAAGGGATTGCACTGCAAGGATATGCTGGAGCAGGGGAAGGGCTTGATTACTCTGCTGGAACGAATGCCTGCTCTCAACTCCATCAAGTTTCGGACTAGCTCTACGAGCCCAGATCCAATCCGCGGACTATTTGCATTGTTATGTGGGTGCACCACAAGTGGAGTCAGACCCAAGCAACTGCACATTCAGCTAAATCATGATGAGAACATGATGGCCTGGGACTCCCTCAAAGACGAGCTCCACCAACAGGACGAGTTTCAACCATCGTTAAGACCGCTGAAGCTCACCGTGTTGGCTCATCTAGTCCGCTTCAACTTCAGGTCATTAACGAGGGGCCCGGGCAGCTATGAGAAACATCCATATACTGCTATGGTCTTCGGACTCGATCTCGGTCCCTATGACGGCACTACGGAAATGGTGAACTTGGAAGTTCTGGAAATCTCGTTCCTTCCTAGCAATCCTGACGTCTTCAACTGGATCATGCCCTTCACCTTGGAGGATGGCTTGGGACTGATTGGAGAGTCGAAGCTGATCCGTCTTCAGTCGTTATCCTTGAGTGGTATGCACATGGGCGTCGAATACCTCTTCGCCCTGCTAGACAACAATGTTGGCACCCTGAAAGACTTGCAGCTTGGAAAGATGGTAATTGAGGGCGGCCGTTGGAAGACAGCGCTTCCAAGGCTTCGCGATTGGATTCGCACAAGCAAGGTTGAAACACTGAGCGTCAGAGGAAGGCTCCAGGAACTCGACGATGACGAACAGATCTGGCCGCCAGATGAGATGATAGGCGACTACTTTAGAGTTGATATGAAAGCTGATATGCCCTTGCAAAAAGACATCGTCGATTATTTGCTGAGCTAAGGGAACTATCTGCTGGTAAATTTCTATCCCTACCTCATACGATTGGAATCCCTCGGTACGCAAAGGTATCCGGCTGGCTGGACCAACGACACCCGCCTTCTCGTTCTGCGCTGAAGTGATCTCCAACTGAGACGCGCTCTCGCTTCAGAACATACCAGCTTTCGATGCATCAGCTCATGAAAATGCAATGAAATGCTGACGTACTGGTCAACGCGGAGGCATTGTATGCCTGCCCTTAGCAAGATGAAAATGTCGAAGAAAGACGAGCTTTGAAGTCTCCGGGTAACTTGTCGAAAAGATTATGGTAGGATAGTGCTTCTGTCGATTGCAGCTTTTCCACGTCGCTAGTGGTCACGGGTTGCATGATGGTGTCCGGCGTACATAGTTCATAGTATCAATGCTAAATTGATGCACTAATTTATGTGAGTGCATCATACTCGACTTATTACAATCGATGTGTTGATGAACCGTTTGGTCATGGAGATGTGTACAAGATGACGAATGTGTTTAAGAGACTTGCTCGTCCCAAAGAAATTTCGAAGACGCCTCACCTCAAAAATATGCTCAAACCTTGCATCAGATAAGATGATAGATATGAATACTGTAGCAATATCTTCCTTTTAGTATGTATTCCCTGGATTTCCGTATACCAGCGAGTGATGATTCATGAGACTGACGGTGCAACTCGTGCCAAGTCTTTACCCAATGCTCTCTCATTCTCAAACAACTCACGTGCGAAGGAGTGAATGCCAACAGCGTTGATTCTATTGAAAGCGGGCTCATTGAATGCATACCTTGAAACCGTCACGGTTGCGGTGAAGGTGAATATATAATTTCTACTTTTCGGCGCATAAAACCCTGACTTTTCACAATCTTCCCTTCTCAACAAAACACTCAAGCCCGAACTCACACACCACACATCACCCACCAATATTAATGTTCCTGAAGCCCTTCTCCCAACACAATCGACAATCCCTAATTATGCCCTCTTCGCGCAAGGGCCGTTCATCCAAGGACATGGCTTCTGCGGCACCCATGCCTTTACCAGGCCCAGAATCTGTCCGCCAGAAGCGTCGCCGTCTCCCTTCCGAACAACCGTGGTTTGGTTTTAAACGCCCACGACGCAGCACAGAGCCCGAAGTAGAAGCAACCAGTGTCATGGTTGACGCAGGACCGACCCCTGAAGCAAAAGAAACCAGCTTGGAAGACCTCCCTGCAGAGCTACTGCATATGGTCTGCAACTACGTGGATGTCAAGGGACTGAAGGCTCTTCGCCGTTCGAATCGTAGGATGAGCGAGATTGCTGTCAGCCATCTCTTCTCTGAAGTCTGCCTCACTGCCATGGACCTGTCCCACAGCAAGCTAGACCTTCTTCTCCGGCGGCCTGAGATGCGGAAGGCGGTTCGAAGTATGCAATATGACAGCTACATTATCCCTGTGCCAAGCGAGGATTTTGACTATCGGAGGTATTTTACCGGTGTCCTGATACTTACTCTGTGTCAGGCCTTGCACAAGTCCGCCACTAGCGTACCGACGGCCGTGACTCAAGATGCTCATAAGCTAGCATTTCATCTCCAGAAAGATATCGACAACCGGCATGTCAGCCTTATCAATTCGGTCACGATGGTTCAACACACCGACCGGATGCCTAGGCTCAACTCGCTGAAGTACACGGGAGGCCCACCCGATTTGCAACAATGGGACCAATCTAATCGCACAGCATGGCTTAGAGATATCCAGTATGGCCCCGCAATCGGCCTGTTTTCAACTCTTCTCGCCTGCCACAAGAGCGGAATAGAGTTGAAGAAGCTACAGATCGAATGGGACGGATTAGCCATGCTCGACGCATGGCACGGGCTTTACGCTAGCAGCTTATACAGAGTGCCCAATTTCTTTCAGCGAGTGATGGTCACGTTCAACAAGGCTGCCCTGGCGCACCTGACGAGTTTCAGCTGGCAGATGCGGATTGGGGAGCTCGAGGAGCGTCCAGCTGCACAACCTCACTCAGGGTTTCTTTACCGCGTTCTACGCGGAATGCCACAGCTCAAAGAATTGGAGATCAGCTTCCGTTGCAAGTCCCAGGGCCCACGGATGCCATCTGTTCGGCCTAGACAGGTCTTGCTGAGCGACAGCTTCGGCTCTGCGGAGGCCGGCACTTCGAGCACCTGGGCTAACCTGGAGCCACTTTCCTTGGCAGGGATGCATACCGAAGTCGAGGATTTGTTCGCGATCTTGGAAAATCATCGACTCACTCTTAAGGTCCTACAGCTGGAAGGTATAGCTTTTCAGCGCCATGGGGATTGGGCTGTCGCACTGCCACGACTCCGCGAATGGGTCCGCCTAGCTTACCTTCAGACTCTCGGCTTTAGAGGTGATCTGGTGGAAGGTATGCCGAGCTGGGATGCCGCAAAAGATTGCCGCTACAAGCCTGAGGGCGATTCATGGATGAAGAATGTCAAGGCGGTGGAGTATCTCACGGGTGACGGCGAATTCCCATTGGTCAATAAGAAGCAAATTGAGGCGTAAAGCTCGTTTAGCCGTCTGAGATTGGAGTGATATAAATCTCCGGGGAAGCCATCTTATGATGCTAGAGGCCTTGCGGGCTCCGCATTGTCTATCATAGTGGCGGCGACCCTTGGAGAACTTGATATCGAAAGCTTCTTTTCATTTGCTGCATTTCTTTCCAACATACCAATGTAGCTAGACGTACCGGTATAGATAGGAGCCGGATCACCTAATTGGAGCCGAGTGATTCAGGTTGACACAATTCTTCGCCCAATAGTTATGCTGATTTTGTGATGATACTTATTTATTGAGTGACTCCTTGTTCATCCCGCAACTAGCAGCTGCCTAGCTATCTAACTCCCGTGATGCGTTACAAACCTATGATATCCAAAAAAATGAAGCTGTGCACTATAAATATATGTAAAAGAGACATCTCACCGGCTTCGTTCGTTACACTATGTAGTGGCATTGATGCGGATGAAAGGTACTGAGAGAGACTGAGAGCTACCAATTACTTTGCTAAAGCAAACAGAATGACGTGGTATGACAACGATCCAGGTAAGCCCTATGATATTAGCCTGAGGGATGTAGAGTAGTATTTTCATAGTGCATTTTGGAGCGGTTTAGGCAGGTTCGCGCAGCAATCAAAGTTGAAGCGTGTCACTTGGAAACCTTGAAAGGCGATGGCCCCAACTTCGGATCGAATCTGCTGGTACAGGGACATAAGTGGCCGTGCTGTGCCGAGACACGACCCAATTGGTTTGCAGAAGGCTTGTGAATCTTTGCCACGATGCTGGGACAGCCACCCAATGCGTTCTGTGCCTAGAACTAGTTCGTAGATCATGATACGTATTTCTGCAGGCAACTTCAAAAACGGGAATATGTAGGGTCGATATTGATGGGAGGAAGCTCGAACGATGAAGCTTTCGTCTTCGAAATTGAGGTTGCCCTGCATACAGATTAGCAAGGTGCTCCATGTGTCATAAATCGAGATTGTCAACCGAATGACCTGAGCGACCCAAGTCTAGCCGCTAAGAGAGTAGAGTAACAAGATTTGACATCCGCATGCTATGGCGACCCGCTGTACACGAACCTTGTCTTTGATATAAGGCTTGACCGAAGAGTGGCTGTTGAGATGCACGCGAACTTCGCTATTCGAATCGAACTGTACTGTCACTTCGATATCGTTGAAGGCAGAAGAAATCTTGACGTGTTTCGCATGCGTCTTAAGAGACTCGTTGCCGTCTCGGTGAATCTGAAGCAGTGGCTTCCCGTTCTGCCCATCAGCAGGTTCGGACCGCGGAATTTCTTCAACGTCGTCGCCCTCATCGGGCTCTCTACCACGCTGAAACGATTGTTAGGAGCGTTCCAATAGAGGATGCTCAGCAAAGCTGGACTTACCTTGTGGCGTTCCATTGTTGGTTGCTGAGAAATGGAAAGTTGAGGTTGGTTGTAAAGAGGAAGAGGTTGGAGCAAGAAGGAAGGCTTATATAGCTGAGGTCGACCACCCTCACTTGTCACCAGCCAGCTGCACGACCTCACTTACTTATTGGTGCTCTCAACAGAGGGTAGGGATCTCGTATGTGCAAAGTTACGGGTCGTCACCCGTGGTGTTTCGGAACCGTCTTCACCATCGGGAAAGGAAGAATCTTGTAGATATTGACAAACTTGCAATTCTTTCCAGCCACTTCAGATGCTGAATTCTTTAAGCGCATAGGTGGTTACCACAATTATTTAGAAATGATGCAACGCCCTTGTCGCGGCTTTCGCACGATGGGTTCCAGGATGAATTACGGAACAAAGTTCCCTATCGCCGGCTATGGTTGGTTCGATGGCCTTTCAAAAACATGGAAGGGAGAAACCACGGAGTCTTGATAAACTCAGAACGATGACGGGGTCTGGCAGTACGCAAAGATTCATTCGCGGTCTTTCGGAAACTATCTAAATATCACGTGACACACAACTCCAGGGCCACCTTGTTCTGTATGTAAGCACTTCAACATCCCATCGCGTAGGCATGACTGTTCGCTACTGTACATTGCCGTCAAGGTAGCCCTAATGCCGGATTACTGGCTGGCCAAGAAGCAATTTGATCCCTACCGCAGTGATCTTTCGTGTCTGAACATTCGAAAGCGCATGGAGGCACCTCGCGCAGTAACGAAGAAGATTATGGAATCCTTTCGGAAGTGGGTGTATAACGATTGAGCATGATCACAGCTAACTCATGACACAGAAAGAGATTTGAAGAGTGTTTAGAGTAGGGAGACTACTGAAATGCTGCTTGCCGGGGAGAGTGTTCAGCAGTCAATTGCCAAATACATTGAGATCCCCATTTGGCAACCATAATAGAGCGTTGGCTCTCCTCAACAAGAGTAGAGGATGCCATGTCCTATTAACCTTGCCCTAGATCAGAAGGCTAAACCTCCATAGTGCCGTCTGCCGTGCCTGAATATGTTCAGAGAGCCTTCCTGTGGTATCGGACCCCATCAGGTAGAGTCGTAGTGTAACCCTATTGAGAACGAGGGAATCTTCTTACGTGGATATGTTGCTGGAAATAGACACTGTCAGCTGGATGCTTAAAATAGACAAGGGCAGACTTACAGTTACCAGGACCGACGGTGCCAACCCCAAAAATCGGGGTTACCTGCTGTCTTCGACCCAGTCATGCCCTCAAGAAGCCACTCCCCCAACGCTTCGCCTGGGCTATGGATCCGGACATTGTTGACATTAGTAACGGTCCGTAGCACTCCAAACGCGCAGGTTCTGGAGAAGTGTCGTGGCTTCAGGCCCGCTTTCCTTAAGGCTTTGTGCCTCGGGATGACAATGTGTAAGTAGTCAAGTTTACCACATAGCTTGAGCAGGTTGACGACCTCCTCGGCAACATTCGAAAAGGCTGGGTCAGCTCTGTCTTGGAGTGAATTCCAGCGACTATCCCACCAGCGGAGTCGAATCTTCTTGATATTGGCACGCCCGGGGGGGCCCACGGCATTGAGCACGTCGCGTGTAGTAGAGAGGTCGCAACAGTCCTCCGGATCCCCGTAGCCCCTATAGTTGAGATCAATCTGGAAAGCCTGAAACAATAGAACTGAAACTTCGGCCCGCATTTGCTTATTCATCACCAGTAGGTGACGCACAGGGCCAAGGTGTCGCCCTGTGGGGAGACAAGTTCCGTCAATAGATGCCCTCAGTCTACCGTTGCGGTACCAATGGGACCTATTAATGGTATACGCCCAGATATATGGAGAGTCGATGACGAGGTCATATATCATCAAGCGGATTTCGGCGGGAAGTTTCATGAAAGGAAACTGGCGACGTTGGGTGGAGATCGGTCGAAGGACAAGCTTGTTACGAAAGGAAGCCTCCTGCCAAACAGTGAGTAATGTGACCAATGTTAGACATAGCGGCTAGGCTTGTAGAACGCTTACCTCACGCGTTTCGTCCTTGATCCAACGATTAGTCGTAGAGTTCGTGATGAAGCTCATCTCGACCGTACCATTTGGTGCCAAATGAACCCCAAGCTCCAACTCATGGCCCTCAAAGATAATCTTTACCTTTTTGAATGCTGTGTAAATTACCTGCCAAAATATGAGCCGATTTGGACGCTGGTGAGGCTTCTTTGGGGACTAACCTCGACTTCTAAAATGTCCAACCGTGGAACTTCCTCAACATCGTCGCCATCGGGATCTCTGGGGCGCTGCATCAAGTTAGCAGAGTATACAAAGACTTTGATGGAAGAGAAAGGGTCATACCTTGCCACGCTCCATGGTTTGCTGCGAGTGTGGGAGGAGTGGAGGAGAACGGCGGTAGGAGGAGGAAGGACGGACAGATGGCTATATTTGAACACGACGGAATCGGGGTGAAGATTTTTAGCTCGGTGCACCAACACTTCACTTTTTCGGCTCTGATTTCGTCCGTGCGGTGCTGTCGTAGAGTACGATTTCGGCGGTGAACCTGTAGGTGCGACGCGGCAAGAGGCGGCTCAGCAAGGTGATGAACTAGTCAGAATGATGAGTCGCGAATTTCTCGAAAGATGTTGAGGCCTGTCAGACAGTGGCAGACAGGTGTACATAGACCCGATAAATGGGGCACTAAGAATACGCCTAGGATCTTAGCCCGAAGATCTTCAGCCATTGTAAGATATCATAAGTCTAGACACACTCATACGTTACCGTTTGAGGTACTGCAGCATATCATAAAATTTCCGATAAGATCTAAAGGCCTGAGAAGCTTAGAAAGAGATGAAAAGACGACGAGCTCAAAGGTACGCCTTATCACTGTACGTAATGACAAGTTACCATCTGATTTCGGATCTATTATGATTCCTTATAGCACCGCAAGTGTGGGAGAAAGTACTGCATCTCAATATGCTTGTTGTCAATAACGAGAGCTCCCCTGAGAGGAACCTTGGAAAGAGTAGAACATGAAATTGGAGTAAGATTTTAGAATGGTAGTTCTGGATTTTCTAGCTTCAATGAGAAGGTACCTGCCGAGAGATACCCTCTGCGACATATGTGGAGTCTTGGGACATCCTAACCAACCCTAGCCCATCCTTGGGGAATCAAAGCCTTACTTTCGCAATCGATCCCCGATCATCCGATGCTGCACTCTCGAATTGAAGCCTCAATTTTCCGCCCAGCCACTCCTTCCCGACGGCTTCATGCTCTCCAATAACCAGTCGTGAACACCCCCCTAGGAGATGGGCTTCCGGGACGTGGTCGATGGAGTGGAGCGCGTCGAGCGCATGATGCATCCCAAACGGCTTAGCAGAAATTTCCAGTTCTCCCCAATGCGATGCTGGCATTTTGGTCTTAAGCGTCTTCAGCTTCGGGCAATTCTTGAGTAGACAAGCAACCTCCTTAGCTGTATCTACGTTGTAGCGCCTCGTATTTGTCCAAGACGTATTTGCCCAAGAAGAATCGATCCAGCGCAAAGAGATTGTCCTTATGTTATCTCTGCCGAAGCGACCAATTACATGCAAGACTCTGAGGGTAGTCTGTAAGCATACGGTGCCAGTCGTCAAGTCCAAACAAGTGAGTTGAAATAGCCTCGCCGCCATTTCGATCCGGGTCTGTCTATTGGTCGTAAGAAGATTTCGAGCCGTCCTTTGTCCCCGGATGATAGGTAGGTATACGCGGTCAGCTGCGAGTTCCATAACATCGTTGTAGAGAGCTTCGAAGTCATCGATATAGACGCGTAGTTTAGACGGTTTGAGGACTATGCCATAGATCATGACGCGGATTTCGGCTGGGAGTTTGAGGAAAGGGAAGGTAGTTTTGGACATGTGGAGATCCTGAATGTGTGTTAGTCGATCCACAGCTCGTTTCAAAAGAGATACCAACCTTTGGAGAGTCTGCATGAGAGGCGCTTGCACAGATATCTGCCCTAGAAATCTCCTCCACCTCGTCTTCATCCTTGTTGCGATCTCCTGGCTTTCGGAGGAGCCGTCAACATTGTCAGCATGTTCCAATAAGAGGATAGGTCTCATACTTCCTTTCGCTTCGTCGTTGTCACAATTGCTCAATGACATTGGTGAAGACGCGAAGAACTTTGGTGGAGCAGCAGAGTAATATATTGTCGCTGACTAGAAGGACTTCACCGCTCATCTTCACTTTTCATCTAGTCGTGACATCACAGCTATCAAAGTCCATGGTATGTTCAGGGAGACTCGGGATAAGTCTGGGGACGACTCAGTTTGGTTAAGGTAGCTGAGATGCGTCTTGTTCAGAACAGCATTCACATTAGCGTACAGTTAGAGTTCGCTGAATGCAAATTAAACCTGGAGATGATGGTAGAAACTTGTGAACGGATTCATACCGAAACCTCTTAGCTGTCTTTCTAGCAGTGCGGCCTCTCTGGGTTATATGCCGGAAGAGCTCTGACGGGAGAACATAGTCATGTTGTGAAAATAGGGAATCGGATTGTCGCCCTCACCACGCTGGGAATCATATTATCTGCTAGCTGACATTTCTATAACCTTTCCAGATGCCTGTAGCCCGTACTGAATGTACCAGAGAGACCTTTAGAATTTGGACCATGCCGTCCCCTTCCCCCTTCGCTCTCGAGCTGAAGCGTCAACCCGTCGCTTTAGTTTTCTCAATGAAATAGTTCTTCAACTCCACATTTCGACCCACGAGCTTCACTTTCGGAACATGATCCACCGAACAAAGCAGGTCGAAGATGCACCCTTTTTCAAACACCCTTTGCGTCGATCCTGCGCCGCTCTCGTTCGACCACAATCTCGAAGCAGCCGGCGAATAGTTCTGGCGGATGCGTTCATATCTGTCCATTTCTTATCCCACTTCTCCTCTTTCCATTTGTATCCACTCCAATATATGAGTATCGTCGTAATATTGTCCCTACTAAAGCGGCCTATAACTTCTAAAGAAACTGCCGCTTCCATAAGGTAGCTTCTCTTCGTCAAGGACTCAAATCGCTTGACTTGGAAAATTCGCGCTGATAACTCCGTCCGGACTTGTTGGCAGCTAGCGTAGGAAGGGCAAAGGATCAGTGAGGAAAGCATGAGTTGTATTGAGGTGATAACGAGTGGCTATATAGTGAAGAGAGAATAGGGGTTGCAGGGGGCGAGCTGAGTCTTCAGCTGTACATTGCAAGCTGAGAAGTGTACCTTGACAAGCTGAGGCGCGTAGATAGATGTACGTATGAGCATCTAACTGGCTGCCACTTGTCGATTGCATTGAAGCAAATTGAGGGTATGGCGGAATTTCAGCGGCAAGCGAGAGAGGCGTACCCATCGATTGGGGGCTTGATGGTCAGTTTTCGCCGAAATCTGGATTGCCGGCCGCAAATTCGCAGTCTGGTATGGTTGAGGAGCTGGTCGTAGATCATGATGCGGATTTCGGTCGGGAGCGCGAGGAAGGGGAATGGTGGGGGCCGCTAGGAGACGTCAAAGGAGGATCCAGTTGGTCGTTCCGGTAGTGATCTCACCTTCGGAATGTCTGAGATGGTGTTGAGGAGAGGGTCGACACCCGCTTTATTTCTCGGGACCTCCTCCAGCTCGTCATCGGCGTCGGGCTCTTTGGGGCGCTATTCGACTGGTAAAACATATCCGGCTCAGACTTAGAGAACGACTCATACCTTGACTCCCGCCATTTTCGGCAAAGCAAGCGCCTCACGTGGTGGTTGGGGTGAGGAAGAAGGTTGGAAGTGCGGATCAAAATGTTGTCAAAGTAAGCTGGGCTCGTCACGTCATATCCGTACAAACTACCCGAAGTCTTCTTCCGCACTACGCCCTGCAACGCCACGTCTAAGGTGAGTCAAAGAGATTTTAAGCCGCCATAAAGGTTTCACTCACGTTTCAGCGAATCAGCGACCAGTCAAAGCATGCATCAAAATTTTTGTGCGTTGGCAGACAGGTAAACGGGGAGCCTTAAGAAGCGAATGTATTTGGCTACGAGAATAGACTGAAGCGACAGCAGTGCACCATCTTACCATCTTTCCTAATTTAACCTCCCTCGCTCTATGAGTTTTCGCATCGCAGAGCCTACATCTCCCCCCGAATCTTACCATCACCCCCCTACGCCGCCTCCGCCAGCGACCGAATCTCCTTCGCAATCGCCCTCATCTCCTCATACCCACGAGGAAAATCATGATCATGATGATGAAAGAACTGCCTCGCCTCACTCTTCTCACAAAGCTCATACGCCTCCAGCCCAAACTGCTCCTTATCCTCCGGGCAGCGAATATGCAGCGTCGGGATCTTAATCAGCTGCCCATCCAACGCCGCATCCGCCTTCGTCAGCCCCACCGTATTATCCGTCAAAATCCTCCTCCCATTCCCCAACCTCGCAGGGAACAGCGAATTCGAGTCCAAGAGCGGGTTCGCTCTTGCCAGCATCCTGTACAAATTCGCGTCGGCTTCCTCAGGCTTCGGGATGTCAGGCTCGACTTTCTCGTCCATCTCGAGGATGCGGATGGGCGTCGGGCAGTTGATGAAGACGGCGAAGCGGAAGGGAAACTGGTCGGCGGTGGCGGTGGGGTTTTCGACGGCGAAGCGGATGATGGCTTGGGCGGCGAGGGAGGCGCCTTGGGAGTAGCCAAGCACGCCGTCGTAGGGCCCGTCGTCTTCGATGAGCTGGAGCAGCTCTTGCTCTGTTTCGATGACGTTGTAGGGGTCTAGCAGGTCGTAGTACTCCCACAGGCCCGAGTTGGCGAAGGTGTCGGTGTGAATGGCCCAGCCCTCTAGTTGGTGTTAAATATAGGAGCTTAGAGGGAGGCATCCAAGAGAGAAAGAGAGAAAGGGGAATACCTTTGGCGTGCCCGATGGTGCCTTGAACGAACTCAAATTCGAAGTCATCGAGTTGAGAGCGGAAGCCCGCTGGATCTCATCAGCCTGGCGAAGGAGAGGAGGAGGGCTGTGGTTTCTACGGACCCGTCTGCATCTTGAAGATCTGGTTTATTGTCAGCTACGAGAATTCGCCATGTGATTGAGACACCCACGTCGTTGTTAGAGCCGCGTCCATGAAGGCACAGAATTCTCATTTTGAAGGTCTGTGGATGTTTACTGAGTGTGAGGCAGGGAGCTTATCGGATCAGGGTCGAGGCGAGAACAAACTCCTCCCAGATATAGAAGGATGTGAGCGGATACGAGAAAGGGCAGAAACGTGGGAGCACCTTTGAAAGTTGTTGGATGTGACACATGACCCACGCCAAATTGACACTATGAAACAGAGGGGCACGATGTTGAGCAGTGGCTAGGATTTTCTTCTCCACAACATGGCGCCCCAGGGATTTCCCGTTCTTCATGACTCGAGTACCTGCTCCAGGACGTGATAGCAATCCGGGGATCTGCACCCCACGCTCTAGCCGCCTATGGGGTACAGACAAAAGCGGATGGACGAAAATGACGAGGAGAAGGTACATTCATTGCACCTGCAACGCTAACCCGGCGAGTAAGCTGAAGATAAGGATCGACGTATGCGGGGAGACAGGGCAAGGATAGGCTAGGAGATCATATCTCGACCGCCGGACATGCGGGGCTCCCAATACTACAGTATCCCCCCCTGTACGGATTGGACACGATCGTGCGTAGAACAAGGGATTTTACATACAAAAACCCTTGTTTTCCGCATGGTCGTGTCCAGTCCGTACAGGGGGGGATACTGTACACCATATCTTCGAACCATTGCGGAGGTATAGCCGATTCGCGGCTTTCTCGGAGCAGCAACAGGCTGCATGGAGCGTTGAGACGCTGCTCCCAACCAGGGACCAAGCTGGTTGCTTATCAGGAGGTTCCAAGGGGGACGATGTCAGGGCTCCACGGTTGATGCATCAGGGTCTGACAGGATCACTAGACTAAGCCGCGCCTGTATTAGCGGCCGTCAGGCGGGCGCGGATCGCACGTGGCAGGGATAGATCCCAACGGCTATGGCGCGCTTGATCGGCGCTAGGGGATTGGCGCGTCGTGGGGTAACGTGGGACAAAGCAGTCAATTTCGACCTCAACCGTGGTTTCTTTGGGCCTCGTCCGCTGAGCTGTACTTGCATTGCAGTCATAGCTAGCGGTGGGTCACTACAGTCATGCGTCCTCTGTCAATACCATGTACACGGGCCACGATAATACGCCACTAGGGCCGTCGTGAGCCATGGGTGGATTTAGTTCTAGTCCCGTGGATGAGCAGGACCACCAATCGAATTTTACTGGTAGGTACATGGGTAATGTACATTCATGGGTGCGAAACATGTGAAATTCTATGCCTTGTCTTTGTCACTTTAAGTACACAGTCTGGATCTGCTCAACCCTGGCCCCTGTCGCCCCCCCTAGTACGCCGGTGGGTCCTTTGGGCGCGCAAGTGGCACCGGCGCCGGTTTTCAACTCACAACTTCTCTTCATCTTTTTCTCGCTGTACCTGTGGCTCAATGACCCGAATCTCGCTGCTACCCGTGGCGCCTGTTTCCGCGCTAGTGCTGCGAGAATGGCCTTCACCTTGCTGTATTGCAGCGATAAGCGGATTCCAGGGGAGGCAGTAGAAGACAATCGCACAAGCAATCGCAGAAGCAAACCCAAACATGAATGTTTTCTTGATGGTCGCCATCATCGCTTCGAGCACTTGTGGCAAGAGATCAGGGCGCACATCCTGGTGCACACGAGACGGGTTATGCAGGACGGCGGCGGCGAACTCGCCAGGCAACCCTAGCGCAATGATTTTCTTGGTCAGAACCTGGTTGAATATCGTGCTCGAAACAGGCATCGAAACAGATCTGTGCGGGTCGATCAGCGGGTGCACGGTTCACGGAATTGTGCGGTGGAATCCGGAAACTTACGAGCCGAGCATCGAGGAAAGGAACGTCAATCCATTTGCGATGGAGTGGTATTCTTCTCGCAACAGTGTTTGACCGGGCACGACGTTTGCGATTATACAAAAGCCGACGCCGAGACCGAGAAGGACTTCGTACGGAAATACTTTCGACAGTGGGGTGTGAATGGTGAAGGTGAAGGTGACGAGAGCCGAGGCGGCGATCAGACACATCCCTCCGACCATGAAGAATGGATTGTAGAAGCGGACTTTGAAGACGCCTACGGCGGCGATGGTGGAGCCAACGCAGGTGCCTAGCACGTAGGGTAGCAATCGAATTGCACTTGCTTGCGCTGAGCGACCCTGGACGGCCTGGAAGATTACGGTTAGCGATGTAAGAACGGACGTGGTCTGGACTTCTTGGAGTATCGCTCACCTGGAAGAAGTATGAGAGAAAGAAAACGTAATTTATGAAACTGGCGAATAGAAGAAAGAGACCTAAGCATGATCCCCAGACCGTTCGATGTCGAAGAATTTCCCGGGGTAGGAGGGAGATCTCGAGAGGTGTGAGCAGCTCGTGGAGAATGAATGCGACCTGGAGCACGGCAGCCACACAGAGCAATGCGATAACCTCACTCGAAGACCATACCGACGTCGACGCTATCTGGAGCGCGCAGATGAAGCATGTCAGCGCGGCGACGAGTAGCGCTCCTCCGATTGGATCCAGTCGCTTCAGCTTCTGGTAAATGGGAAGCGTGAACAGGTTCGTCCTCGGGTTCTCATTGGGGAACACCACCAAGGCGACGGCAATGGATGCACCTGCAATGGGCGCATTGATCCAGAAGGTCCAACGCCACCCGATCGAATCAGCAATAATGCCGCCCAAAAGGGGTCCCATCATGGAGCAGACACCTAACGCATTGTCAGAAAAGTCTTCAGGCAAGGGGTAGTGAAACGCCTCACCCATGATGACAGCACCCAGACCCTCCAGGAACGTCCGCTTGCTGCGTGGCACAGCAAGCATGATGATCCGGAATGCGCCTGTCAGAATCCCTGCCGCCCCAACCCCTGCGATGGCGCGACCAGCGATAAAAACAGAGGAGGACTTTGCTGCGGCAGAGCAGACTGAGCCTCCTACGGTGTATTAGCTTGTGACGAAGGCTATGTAGAGCAGGGAGGCAGACTAACCAACTAGTATTACCAGCGCGAGGATAAACACCGGTTTGAGTCTCCATAGCGTGTATGATTTGCCGTAGATGGGCATCATAACTGTCATTGGGAGAAAATACGCCGATGCATACCATCCAATATCTCTCGGTACGCGGAAGTCAGCGACCAGGATAGGAAGAATCGTTGCTGCAGATCCACATCGTGTTAGCGTGTGTAGCAAGGGGATTACGGGTGTTTCCACTTGCCTACTGCTGTGTCATCCAAAGCAGTCTGTTGAAGAGAACGTCAGGGAGTTAGCCAATAGTGCTCAGATAGGAAGCGTACTTACCACCATGTATGGGATCATTCCACTCAGGATGATGAGCACCAGCCTCCATCCGCGCGGGTATGAGACGATGAAGTCAACTTCCCCTTGTACGAATTCAATCTGGGTTGCTTCATTTTCGGAGACGCGATATAAATCGCGGAGAGTCTCGACCGAGTTATGTATTGATCGGAGAACCTTGCGGCGATGTGGTACTCTTGGTGGCTCTCCAGCGGCGATTGGAAAAATTGTCGAGGCCATCGTTACGGGTGTGTCAGAGGTGCTCGACTTTTAGCTGGGGAGTGTGGCCGATTAGTATCCTTATTTTTCGCCGGCTTATAGCGGATGCCGTGTGACGACATACCTCTGTTGCAGTATCACGGCTTGGCTGCCGGGTGCTGTCTGGATTGTTCTCCGGAGAAATCATAGCAAGGAGACTAGTGCGTGGAGCATCATGTGCTGGGCTGGGTTAGGGACGACGGCATGAGAAACGTTGTCGCCGGATCTGACATAACCCCTGCCACCTTGGGTGAACGGCAACCCTACTTCTTCTGGCTTAGTAGATTTCTTAACGTTCCTGATGAAAGTGGGTGTCGTGGGAACCCTGGCTCGAGAGGCCCTGGAACGCTGCGTCGCTGGTTGATGCTCTACCTTGATACGTTTTTCGGGCTTTTCGCTAAACATCAACCAATGCAAAGCTGTCTTTCTGTAAGTGTCAATCGTCCCAGGTAATACAAATGCTAGCCAAATCATTGCTCAAGCTGCTTATGACGATAACTCGACCTTACATTGTCATCGTTTTCCTCCAAGGATAAAAATGTCTTCGAAGAGACGCTTGGGGTCGTGGCATATCCCGTAGTCGCGAAGTTCTAAGGCATGATGTGCTCGACCGTCACCCCCCCGGTAATCCCGCGCTCAGGAGTATAGATCGACCGCCATAAGGGCGTCGCAGTACATTGTCCGCGGAGCTGTTCAGACAAGGTGGTCCACGTGGTGTGTAATAGCGTGGTGGAATTGGAAGACGTGGAGTGCATTGACAGGGACTCTATGCACGGACAGCGAGACCTACCTGTTCGCTGGGCGACGGCGACTCCGTTTAATATCCAGCTTTGCATATGCGTCTGCCTTTAAAAACTTCAACCTACTTATCATGGAGTCAATTCCGCTGGGATAGATCAGACATGAGTGGATAATGCCAAAGAATCGTTGCTTGCCACTGCAAGCGAGCATGCAAAGAGGTCTTCTGAGCAGCTGTGCTTGCGTCTGACAGTACCACGGCGAAGCCGATCAGCATCGCCGTGCCTTTTCTGCAGAACACGGTTTCGGTTGCCGCCCAAGTCGAAACATATCGCACATGCTAGATGGCTGCAAGACACCACGGCCCTTCAATTTCAAGTCCCTGGAAATGGTACGACTCCATGCGATGCTCTTACAAAGCTCTGGATAAAGCTAGGGTGTTATTCTTTGTGATCAATTAATGGCTCGCGCTTATTGCTGGCCGAACCCGAAAAACCGACCCCGTCTCAAGACCCTCCAATAAATCAATGCCAAAGGTCCTTTTGCCCGGATTGCGAATCCTCAGCAGTCTGGACTAACAGTCCACACATCTATCCCGCATGACTCGCCTCTCCGCATCTAATAACGGCTGTGGGGTAGTCCCCACTCCAAGCCCCCATGGTATCAGAACCTTATCTGCTTCGAGAACTCTATGGCGAATCTGGTCTGGGGTACATTTTTCTGGGGTACAGATACGAGGATGCCATGTTTGGGGGAAAGTTTCGGTCTAATTCCTGAGTCTAAAAGGAGACCAATACACCGAGCTAAGAAGCTCTACGGGAATAGTATATCTACCCCACCGCCATCCACGGATCTTCTCCATCAACCCAGAAATCTCAACATTTCTTCCTGCCCTTTGATACCCAGCCGCAAGGTTCTTGTACGTTTGCCATTGGTCCCTGACCCATCATGTCTCCTCACGCCAATGATACGCCCGCTTACGAGTCGAATGAGCTCAGCGGAAATGGTAATGCGGATGCTCTCAACGACTTCCCCATTGCCATCATTGGCATGGCTTGTCGCTTTCCTCAGGATGCGGAAAATACGGAGAAGTTCTGGGACCTTCTCATCAATGGTCGTTCCGCGATGACCGAGTTTCCCCCGGAGAAGATGACCACCGAAGCTCATTACCACCCGGACCCTGCTCATGCTGGCACTGTAAGTCTCATCACGTGTTATATTACTACATTCCTAACGTGTGGATTTCAGACAAGCTGCAGAGGTGGCTACTTCATGAAGCATAATGGAGCTGCCTTTGATGCACCATTCTTCAACATCACTAAGAGTGAAGCTATGACCATGGATACCCAGCAACGTCTTCTAATGGAAAACGTGTACGAATCCCTAGAAAATGGTAATGAGCTCTTTGCAACGACTTTGAAATAAGCACTCCCACTAAACCCAAACAGCTGGACTGCCGCTGGATACCGTTATTGGTTCTAACACCTCCGTCTATGTTGGTGCATTTTCAATCGATTGCAGCGATATCTTCACCGCAGATCACGAAGCGATCATGAAGTACTCGGCGACGGGAAACTCCCTCGCAATCTTGTCCAATCGTATCAGCTACTTCTACGATTTAAAAGGTACCAGTATATCGGTCGATACTGCTTGCTCTAGTAGCATGGTCGCTTTCCACCTTGCGTGTCAAGATCTTCGCAATGGAAACTCTGAAATGGTATGCTCTTTTTTCTCCAATCGCTAGAGACATGCTTTAACTTCTCTGCAATAGTCCATCGTCGGCGGCGCAAACATCCTTGAGAACCCCGACAAGATGTACCGCATGAGCAACAACGGCTTCCTCTCCCCGGACAGCAAATGCTACAGCTTCGACTCCCGCGCAAACGGCTACTCTCGAGGCGAGGGCGTTGGATCTCTCATCCTCAAGCCTCTGGACGCCGCCATCCGCGACGGGGACGTCATCCGCGCCGTAGTCCGCTCAACCGGACTCAATCAGGACGGCAGAACCCCTGGTATGACGCTCCCTAGCAAAAACGCCCAAGAGACTCTCATTCGGAAGGTCTACGCCAATGCTGGGCTTGACCTGAGGGACACCGAATTCATCGAGGCTCATGGCACCGGTACGGCTGCTGGCGACCCTATCGAAGCGAGTGCCATCGCAGCTGCCTGGAGCGAGCGGAAGGGCGAGAATCCGCTCTATGTTGGCGCTGCCAAAGCCAACATTGGCCATTTGGAGGGATCTTCAGGTGTAGCGGGCCTGATCAAGACTGTCATGGTCCTTGAGAAGGCTGTCATTCCGCCGAACATCAACTTCGAGAAGGTTAACCCGAAGATTCTTCCAGAGAAATGGGGTATTGCGGTAAGTGCTTCCTTCATCTACGTTACCCCCTTCCTTGCTTCACCCACTAACGAACATAGTTCCCTACCAAACCTATGCCTTGGCCAACTGAAGGCCCCAGGAGGGCGTCTATCAACTCTTTCGGCTTTGGAGGAACGAATGCTCATGCTGTTCTTGATGACGCGTACAACTTTCTCAACAGCCGTGGTCTCCGTGCCGCTCACTATTCGGCTTCGAAACCTCCATCTCTGGCAGAGATCATGGAGGGACTGGCAGAGGAGGCCGCACCGGTCGAAGTTACTGATGAAGACTCCAACGGTGTCTCAAATGGAATTCCTGACGATATCTCTAACGGGATCTCTAATGGCTTATCCAACGGCAACACCAACGGTGCCTCCAACGGCCTCTCTAACGGGCACTCCAACAGCCTCTCCAATGGCCACTCCAACGGCGCTTCCAATGGCGTATCCAACGGTGTCTCTAATGGCATCTCTGTGTCTAATGGCATCTCCAATGGCGTGGCCACCCAGTCAACCACAAGTAGGGTCTTTGTCCTATCCGCGTCCGACGAAGCGGGAATCAAACGCGCTGCCGACGGCCTTAGCAGCTACCTTGCTTCCATTCCCCCTCCTAAGAATGAGGACGTGTACCTCGACAGCCTGGCTTATACGTTGTCGGAGAAGCGTACGCTATTCTCCTGGAAGGCCTTTGTTGTTGCGAGCTCTCTTGCGGATCTTACCAAACAGCTCGCCGAAGGAGCTAAAGCACCCAAGCGCACACGAGCTCGTGAGGTCCCTACTCTGGGGTTCGTCTTCACCGGCCAAGGAGCACAATGGCATGCCATGGGCCGCGAGCTATTGTCGTACCCCATCTTCAGGCGAAGCGTTCAGGATGCATCCGACTACCTCCGATCCCTTGGCAGTGTCTCCAACATGATGGGTAAGTTACTCCACTCTTATTGAAGTCAAGTGCAACCGCTAAGCGATCCCTCAGATGAGCTACTCAAGGACAAAGAGTCAAGCAATATCGGCCATCCAGTTCTCAGTCAGACACTTTGCACTGTTCTACAAGTCGCATTAGTCGATCTACTCAACGCCTGGAACATCGCACCGACTAGAGTCATTGGCCACTCTTCTGGTGAGATTGGTGCCGCTTATTGTGTCGGAGCCCTATCCCGAGAGTCAGCGTGGAGGATCGCATACTCCCGAGGTGTTGTGTCTGCTAGCCTTATGGGTGGCAAGGGCGCCATGATGGCCGTCGGGATGACCGAACAAGCCCTTCAGCCTTTCCTCGACCAAGTTGACAATGAGCTATCCGGCGAGCTTGTCAAGGCTTGCTACAACAGCCCAAAGAACATCACCGTGTCGGGCGATGAGGCTAAGATCGATCTTCTGAAGACGAAGTTGGATGCCGAGAACGTGTTCGCAAGGAAGCTCAACGTTAAGAACGCCTACCACTCTGCCCATATGAAGGCGGTTGCAGATGAGTACCTCAGACTAATTGGAACTATCGAGAAGGGCTCTGCCGCCGTAGGCAAGAAGCCCCAGATGTTCTCTACGGTCATCGGACAGCAGGTTCCCCTCCTAAAACTCAGCAACCCTCAATACTGGGTCGATAACATGGTCTCGCCCGTGCGCTTCACCCAGACCCTCGAAGCGATGTGCTCAAACACGGGAGGAAAGTCGAAGCTTCGTGCCGAGCGCGGTGCCGACATAGCCATCCAGCATTTGGTTGAGATTGGTCCCCACTCAGCTATGCAGAGCGCCATTCGGGATACGATGGCCCTACAGACGATATTCTCCAGCATTGGATATTCAACTGTGCTCACACGGAACGTCTCCGCGGTAACGACAAGTCTTCAAGCCGCTGGCGGCCTGTTCTGCCTAGGCTACCCAGTCGACCTCAACGCTCTCAACTACTCGTCTCGGATCCCTTTCACGAAGAATCACCTTCATCCCCAGATGCTCATCGACCTACCTCCGTACAAGTTCAACTACAGCCGCACATACTGGCCTGAGACTCGGATGAGCAAGAACTTCCGCTTCCGTAAGCATCCTCGCCATGATCTGCTCGGTGCCCCGGTCACCGATTGGGACCAGGACGAGCCAAAATGGAGACAGCACATCCGCGTAAGCGAGATTCCATGGGTCAAGGATCATAAGGTCACGAGCAGCAACGTCTACCCTGGAATGGGATACGTTGTCATGGCTATTGAGGCCATCAAACAGCTTGCAGGACCAGATGCCAACATCTCTGGATATCGCCTTCGCGACGTCAACATCAAGGCGGCGCTACAGGTACCTGAAACTGAAGATGGAGTCGAAGTTGCCTTCTCCATGCGACACGTTACCGAGTCCAGTCTCGCCGGGTCCGTGGGCTGGTGGGAATTCAGAGTCTCGTCGTACAACCCCAACACCGATGGCTGGAACGAGCATTGTCGGGGCATGGTATCCGCTGAGCCTGCCACCGAGACTGGCCAGGTTGATGCAGGCAGAGAAGCTGCACTCGAGGCAGAGAGCCAGAAGCAAATGCTCGCTGATGCTATTGAGAGGTGCAGCGCTCCTTTCGACATGTCTCGAGCATACTCCGAACTCTACGGTATCGGCCTTGCGTATGGCCCAACATTCCGAAACCTTTCCAACGTATGGCGCGCCAGTGAAGCCAAGGAGGCACGAGGTACCATTACAATTCCCGATGTTAAGGCTATCATGCCGAAGCACTATCAGCTACCGCATGTCATCCATCCCGGTACCTTGGACAGTATGCTACATATCTTCCTTGCTGCCATCCAGGATGAGGGAGCAGGCCTTACCGAGCCCATGGTGCCAGTGTTCGTGCGAGAACTCTGGGTCAGCAGCGATCTCAGCAAAGAGCCCAATCAGACCTTCAACTGCCACGGCACTGTAAAGAAGACAGGCCACAGCAAGATCGAATCGACGGTCCGCGCATGGGACGAGCATACCAACACGGTCAAGGTCTTGATCAAGGATATTCAAGCCACTCCTTTGCAAAATAACTCCACCGGAGGCGGCGATCGAGACCTCAGCTGGAATGTGGAATCAAAGCCGGATATCGACCTTCTCAGCACCAAGCAGAGCGTATCGTATTTCAAGATGATTGCCAAGAAGCCGAAGCTGAATGATGCTGAGATGACCAAGCTTTCCCACGATCTCAATCTAGCGTCAACCATCTACATCCGCGACGGTCTCAAGGAGGTATCTAAAACCACATTGGAAGGGCTCCCGGACCACAACCAAAAGTATCTCGAGTGGCTCCATCACATGGAAGAGCGCTATCAGAAGGGGACTATCTTCCATCAGACACCAGAGTGGGAAACCCTCATGAACGACCCCGCGCGCAAAGAGAAGTTCCTTCAAGAAAAGTGCTTCCAGGAAGACTCAAGCCCAGAGTTCAAGCTCATCGCCCGTATCGGTGCTGCCATCCCAGCGATCTTGCGACAAGAGGCAGATGCGTTGCAGCTCATGTTCGGCGACGATTTGCTCGATCACTACTATGCAGAGCTTGAAGGCAATGTCATCATCCAAGACACTCTTCGCGCATACCTTAGCACGCTGAGCCACAAGTATGTCAACCTCAAGGTTATCGAAATCGGTTCTGGCACTGGAGGCACGACTCTTCCTGTGATTGAGGCTCTCAGCCCTGTCGGCAAGGACGGCAATATGTCCAAGAGCTCTAGGCTGTCGCAGTTCACATACACTGATATCTCGGCTGGATTCTTCGACAAGGCGAAGGCCAAGTTCAAGCCGTGGAAGAACATCATGGAGTTCCGCCGGCTCGATATCGAGAAGGATCCCATCGCCCAAGGATTCGAGGCTGGCACCTACGACATCGTGCTTGCAGCCAATGTGCTTCACGCCACTCAGGATCTGACCAACACCCTTAGCAATGCCCGCAAGTTGCTCCGTCCGGGTGGGAAGCTGCTTCTCCACGAGGGTATTGGTCTCGAGCTTCTCAGCGTTCCACTCGCGTTTGGCACGCTCTCCGGCTGGTGGTTGAGCGTCGAGCCTTACCGAAGATGGGGTCCTCTCGTCGACGAGAAACACTGGGACCAAGCCTTCAAGGCGGCAGACTTCACTGGTACTGATCTGATTCTTCCAGATTACCAGGACGACCTGATCCACTCGCAGAGCTTGATGATAGCCAATGCCGTGGACCCTGCTCCAGTGGAGCGTCAGTACCCAGATACCATCGTGCTCACGACCGAGGCGCAAAGCAAATCTCCCCTCGTTTCATCGGTGGTTGAGTCTCTGGAGAATTTCGGCCTTCACGGTGTGAAGGTCGTTGACTGGAAGGATCTCGCCGGCATTGACGTGAAGGAGACCACGTTCGTTTCATTGCTGGATCTCGACCATCCCGTGCTTCTGGATATCGAAGAGTCCGATTTCAACAACCTTCGAAAGTTGATCCTAACAGCTCAGGGAGGCCTATGGATTGGTAAATCCGCCATCGTTCATCCTGAATCAGCTATCGCTACCGGCTTCATTCGAACCGCTCGCTGGGAACGCGACCTGGATACTTGCGATCTAGTACTTCTCGGTCTGGAGGATGGCGAACTCAAATCAGACGCACAGACGGCGAAGCAAATCAGCAAGCTCTTCGATCATCACTTCATCACCACCACATCCAATAGGAACGAGGAATACAATTCCTCGGACGGCATACTATCCATCCCCCGCCTGATCCAAGCTGACTACATCAACTCCTTCCTCGCCTCGAAGGTCACCAAAGCCGAGCCCCAGATCCAGGCCTTCGGCGCTGATCCCACGCGAGCCTTGAAGCTCAGCACCGACGCGCCCGGTCTACTCAACCGCCTCATGTTCATCGATGACCCCGTCTACCCCAAGCCGCTAGAGCCCGAAGACGTGGAGGTCGAGATCAAAGCCACCGGTCTCAACTTCCGCGACATCATGTCCGCCATGGGCGAAGTCAACGGCGATGTCCTGGGTGCGGAGGGCGCCGGATACATCACCCGCGTTGGCTCCAATGTCACCAAGGTCAAGAAGGGGGATCGTGTCATGATCATGGCGGATCAGACGGGTTGCTTCAACACGTACGCGCGCAGTGACCAGCGCTGTGTGTCCCAGATTCCGGATGATATGAGCTTTGAGGTTGCGGCGAGTATCCCGGTCATCTATTGCACGGTGCTGTATTGCTTGAATGATATTGGGCGGTTGTTGAAGGGCGAGACAATTCTTATTCATGCTGCGGCTGGTGGAGTTGGCCAGGCCGCTATTATGGTTGCGCAAGACAGAGGCGCGTTACTCTCCTTTGAGGTCATCGAGCAGTATACTAACTTTTTTACCAGGTGCCGAGATCTTCGCCACCGTCTCCACTCACGAGAAGAGGGATATCTTGATCAACCGATATGGCATCCCAGAAGACCATATCTTCTCCAGTCGTGATCTGTCCTTCGTTAAGGGTATCATGCGCATGACCAACGGCAAGGGTGTCAATGTGGTGCTGAACTCACTTGCTGGAGAAGCTCTACGAAGGACATGGGATTGTATCGCGTACTTTGGCCGCTTCCTTGGTATGTCCCCAGCCCCAGGTAATAGGACCATTCGCTAATCTAGATTCCAGAAATCGGAAAGAGAGACATCCTCTCCAACGGCCGTCTCGAGATGTTCCAGTTCTCCAAGAGCGTCATGTTTGCTTCCTGCGATCTAGAGACCGTCATCAAGCTCGATAAGCCGCTATCTGAGCGGCTGCTTGAAGACACGGTAGCGCTCTGGAACAAGAAGGTCATCGGAGCCACTACTCCCTTCACTGTCTACAACTATGGAGAGCTAGAATCTTCATATCGTCTTCTGCAGTCTGGCAAGCACATCGGTAAAGTTGTGCTTACGTCTGATCCTTCGCATATGGTTCAAGCTCTTCCCAAGCAGAAAGCACCACATCGTTTCTGCCGCGACAGCTCCTACGTTCTCGCCGGCGGCCTCGGTGGTCTAGGGCGTAGTATGGCGTTGTGGATGGTGTCGCAAGGAGCCCGCAACCTCATCTTCCTCTCCCGATCCGGAGCCGCAAGCGACGAAGCGAAGAAGACCGTGAAGGAGCTGGAGGAGCTAGGATGCACCGTCCGCGCCTTCGCCTGCGACATCAACAGCAAGACGGCTCTCGAGTCAACACTCGCCCAGTGCATTCGTGATATGCCTCCCATCGGCGGCTGCATCCAAGGCGCCATGCAACTCCGAGTAAGCTCCCGCACCCCATACTCCCTCACATATCCTAACAATCCACCAGGACTCTTCACTCGAGCTCATGACTGTCGACCAATACAACCAAGCCCTCAACCCCAAAGTGCACGGCTCACGCAACCTGCACGAAGCCCTCCCGCACGACCTCACCTTCTTCATCATGCTCTCCTCCTGCTGCGGCATCATCGGCAACCGCGGGCAAGCCAACTACGCCGCGGGCAACACGTATCAAGACGCCCTCGCGCACCACCGGCGCTCCAAGGGCCTCGCGGCCACCGCGCTCGACCTCGGCGCCATGCTGGGCGTCGGCTACATCGCCGAGAACCAGGATAAGACGGCCAACCCGGCGCTGGGCAACCTCGCCTTCGCCAGCGACGCGATCCGCGAGGACGAGTTCCACGCGCTGCTCGAGTACCACATGGACGCGCGCAACGCGACGCGCGCCGACGCGGTCAAAACGCAGGTCGCGATTGGGCTGGGGTCGAGCGCCAGCTACAAGTGGAAGGGGATGCCCGAGCCGGGCTTCATGAAGTACCCGCTTTTCACGCAGCTGCACGTCATGTCGGAGTCGGCGAGCAACGAGGGCGAGGAGGACTCGTCGCTCAACACGAAGGCGGCGCTGCGGGCGGCGAAGAGCTTTGAGGAGGCGGCGGCGACGGTGGGGGAGGCGGTGGTGAGGAAGTTGTCGAGCGTGATGAGTTTGCCGGTTGAGGACTTTGATCCGGGGAAGCCGATTCATCATTATGGGGTGGATTCGCTGGTGGCGGTTGAGTTTAGGAATTGGTTCTCGAAGGATCTCGGGGCGGATATTCCGGTATTGGATATTATGGGGAACGATTCGATTGCGCAGTTGGCGGGGAAGATTTCGAAGACGAGTAAGTTGGTTAAGATTGTGGAGGAGGTGGAATAGAGGTGGTGTAGAGTTGGTGTAGAGTTGGTGTAGAGTTGGTGTAGAGTTGGTGTAGAGTTGGTGTAGAGTTGGCGTAGAGTTGGTGTAGAGTTTCTTTCGATTTGTATGGTACGCGTAGTTTTCATCTGCGATTTTTGTCTCTTGCGGTTTTCTTTCTGCTTTCCATATTGCGAGAGAACATATATTAGTATCTATAGTGTTAATTAGTATTCGTATTTAAGTCGTTCTAGAAAGATTACTGAACTCTGTGCTAAGCTGTGCAATCGTATCGTTGAAGTCTACAGGATGCGGAGCTGAAGGACGAGCAGCGGAGGATAACGGACGTGAGTATCGCTGCTGATATAGTCCATCTACTCAAGTCTGACAAGAACCTCCAGACCTTATATAGACCTTAACGCATCGTCACCTCTTTTGGGAAACATTTGGCACCGGAATGCGGATCAGGTGAAGCCGTTCCCGGGGGGGTGGCGGTTCCAGTCTTTTGCTTCTGATCGAGCCCGGCTAATGGCTTGGGGAGGTGCTTCAATCTCCAAAGGTTGAAGGAGAGTATACGCCGGGCGGAAGCACAGGAGATCGTGACAGTTCCAGAGTGGAGTGAGTACCAAGTGCCTATACTCTCGCCCTTAATTGTGCAATGGAGATGGGAACTATGACTAGCATATGGCGATATGTGGCAAAGAGAAGAGGCTCGGAAACAAAAATGAAGGTCTTTCGACTGCGTAAATTACCAGACTTTTGGAGAAAGATCTTGAAGAGAATGCAGGAGCAAAAACTAATTTGACTGAGAACGGTCAAGCCAGGTGGGTTATTCTTGCGGTTTACGGAGATATGACTGGCAGACTGTCCATTGATACATCATCAGTTGCTAGATCACACTGTGTTTAATGAGAGATTCAAATCCTGGAAGATATCTGTTTCTTAATTATTTGGCGTCTGGAGACGACACAACTCCGCCCGTAGGTCCTTTGAAAATGGACCTGACTAGACATAACGTAGACCGAAGCTTTCAATGCTAGAATATGTAAAGCGTAGGGCATGAACACAAAGCCGCTCCCTACGCATAGATGCGATATTTATCCCTAGCACATGTGTACACTTGCCTATCACTGCTTGAAGTCTTGTAGTACATTATTGAAAAATGTAAAGGGGCCTTTTTGTCAAGTCTGACAGCTCTCGCAGCCACCCGGATTGCTCAATTTGGCAAGGCTTGACAGCGCTTGGTGGACAGGGCGCAAAAAAGTTATTGAATTTGATTGTAATAACCGCCAAGCGATATTTGAAGCAAGTGACGAGATTGCCGGCTAAGAAGACCTTGACTGACAGGCAGTCGGAATTAGGCTACCACGTGAAAGACTCAACGGTCTGCGGCGAATCTTTTGATCCGGCGTGTCCTTGTTTACTTTTCCTACCTCTTTGATCCTACCACTGTCACCTCCGCTTTCACACTCCCACACTCCTACCGTCCCGAACACGGCGCGCAGAGATTGCGATGGAGCTAGAAGATCCGAAGGTGAGAGCTCCAGCTACACATCATTCGATAGGACATTACTGACCTTGTGATCAGCATTCCAGCGGACTGGAGGATGGCCCAGATGTGGAGCAGCTTGTCGGGCAAGCTTCGCAAATGGTGGTCGCCGTAAGATCGACCATGGTACGCGAAGCTCGTGCAATGCCTCATCACTGATCTGCGTCCACTTGTGTGTCGCTGTTTTGGCACTTTAACCCTTCTAGAAAACCTTCGGTTCATTTTTCAGGACAACCAGCAGACTTGCCGAGCTACCACAGGCAATAGCTCATAGCAGCACTCAGTTGAGCCTATTGTTCGCTGCTATTAATTTCCATTGCAGAAACGAATCCATGACGAGGCATTGCATCATTTCTAGCATCGCTTACTCTAATATAGACAATCAAGAGCGAACACAACCAGGACACCTTCCTCGCGACGCAGTCCACCTCACAACCACCCACCATATTCCCGTTCCTCGATCTCCCGGCGGAGTTACGACTGATAATATACCGGTTTGTGCTGGAAGCCAACCATACTGGATGGATCCGGAATTACCACCCTGGAGCCAAACCAGCGTCAACAAACCTGCAGCCTCTGGGCCTGGGTCAGAAGATCCTTTGGATAAACCAGCAAATCCGGAGAGAGGTAACCCAAGAGGTGTTCAAAAACTTCCGTGGTCTCTGTTTCGAGAGTTTCACCATGTCAGACCGACAACTTGACCTCAACTTGGTGCGTCGGGTTCTTGAAAGTATCGGCGAAACCGGCAGAGAGAAGATCCAAACAATCACCTTCCTCCCTTGGTGGATTTCGAGCTGGCATGATCGGCCTCAGAGGAATTCGGACCTGAGTGTAGCCATCGAAGTTGTACGCCTCCTGCAAGCGTGCAAGAATCTCGATTACTTGATGATTCAGATCCCATTCGGCGAATTCCTCACACCGTCCATGTCCAAAAAGTCGTCCGAATTCGCGAACCTCTTTGGCACGGCTTTCGATCTAATGCGCGGTATTGTTCATGTTTCACGTGTGACGTTCACCGGGCTTCGCCAGTATGACGACGACTTCGCGAGGGCTGCAATCACCTGGCTCACACACCAGCGTATCAAGGATCACATGAAGCGCACGAGGGAGACGAAGGTAGCGAGGGCTGCTCTTGAGGAGACGCAATCAGAACAACTGAATGGAGCGGGACTAGGCTGAGCGGCATTATTTTCTATGGCCGACTAGAGAAAGCTTGTACAGCAATCTACAATCGAACATTCAGCAGGAGCACCGTACCTACAGCACTAGGACAATCTCTTTTCTGGCGCTGCCTCAACGGACTAGTACAAACTTGGATCAACAAGCTACAGCTCTGGTATGTGTACACCTCCATAACACCGCCTAGGGTAGCCCGGTAACATTTTAGACCTCTCGAAAAGATAAATCTGAGTTCGTTGACATCACCGAAAGCTTTTTGAAGTACCTCGAACGACATTAGGTAGCGTAAGCAAACTAGTGCCCTCATACTGTACTTTCTAGGATTTTCCTGATTTTGTATTATGACGACTCTTATTGGATCCAGAATTGGCTGTTGGGTAGGAATCAAGTTTACATGACGGGGAGTAGGAAATGGGCATGGCGGGAGCAACTGCTTTATAAACTCCTTCTCCTCAATGCCAACTTTAGCTGGACAGTATTGATCTCTCGTACTTTGCTTTCATATGTGTAAGCCACCCTGAGAGAAGCTTTCAAGCATGGATCTCCGCGGCTTTGCGGTTTTCTTTCAAGTAACCTACATCTAATGGTGAGACTGGAAGACAAGTGGCAACCCCTCGCACAAGGTTTTTCTCGTTTATGGACCTCGGCGATAATTTCCCATAAAGCTTACAGACACAGTCATGAGGTCGCAGTGCTGACTACCGAGTGAAGTGGCTAACAGCACCAGGTGAAGTCATCGGATCTGCCATCAACCTCTTCCTTCATGATCTATTTCCGTCCTTCCTCCTCTTTCAAATTTTCCTCTTCCTTACCTTTCCCATCTTCAACGTCTCAGCCTCATGATGACGGCAGAGCTGAAAGATCGGAAGGTCAGCCTACTACTCCCCGCTGTCTTTGCTATATATGCTGACATAGCATTCAGCGCCCTCGAGAGCCTGACAACGAAGTAGATGTTGAGGAGATCACGAGGGTAGAGTCCGAGAACGGGACTCTGGCCGTACATCAGATGCAGGTAGGTGAAGGCAGCGAGAGGCTCATGGCGGCATAGCCTGCTTCAGTGATCCAAACGAATCGTACCAAAGCCAAACAAATCAAGATCATGTCCGCAGGCTCCTTCAAGGAGATGGATATCATCTATACGCCAAACAACGAGGTGAAGATTTCCTTCGCCAATCATCCGATATCCGTCGAGCTTCGAGCGAATTCACCAAGCGAGATGCAGATCAGCGTTGCCAGTCGCTGTACTGTGAAGCCATCTGTCAACACTGAGGCAAGGATAATGATCTGTTCGTATTTTGCGCATCACTGACATTCCAACAGACAGTCCAGAGCTCGAGCGATAAGAGCATCGTACTCCGCATACAAGCAAGGCATCGCCGACCTGCCGTCTTTCCGTTCTTGGACTTGCCGCCGGAACTGCGACTGATCATCTATGGCCTTGTGCTTGCTGGAAATGAGACTGGGTGGAAGGAGGCTTACTCCAATTCCGGAATTCCACAGGTCAAAAACTTACAGCCTCTCGGGAAAGCTCAAAAGCTGTTTTGGATAAAACAGCAAATCCGGGAAGAGGTATCCGCAGAGGTGGGCCTATCTAAACTCAACCAACTCCATGTACGCCACGCTCAATCCCGAACCCTCGACTTCGTACGTGGCCTACTCGAGATGATTGGCGAAAAGGGCCGTGAGAACATCCGGGATCTCTCATGGATTCCTTGGTGGAGTCCGGGCTGGGAGGAAGAATCTAAGAGGAACTCAGACCTAGCTCTGGCTGCTGAGGTTGTGCGGCTTCTACATTCCTGTCGCAAACTCCTGCTGACGTTTTTGCCGAGGCTGCTACGAATTGGCTTAAGATCCAACTTATCAAAGATGACATGCGAAGGGCGAAAGGGGCACGGGGGATAAAGATGAAGCTCTTGGAATAGGATATTTATGGAGGCAGTGGAGATGAAGCAGGCTATGCAGAGTTCGATTCTCTTTACATCAGGAGGCACGATCTTCAAAGCCGGTGTGATACCCATCTGCTAGCTGGGAGACTATGCGTCACTATCAGAGCTTTTTTTTTATTCTCAAAATCAACTTTCTCGGGCAATCTAGCATTAGCGTTTAGGTGCGAATCATTTCCTATAAGAGGAAGAGAAGGATAGGCCTCATAGAGGACGATCTGCATTAGAGTTTTGCTTTTCCTTGGTCTTCGTTCAGCTATGGAGAACGACATATCCATCTTTCCTTTCAATGAGCGGTTGTTCGAGACCAGCTATGAAACCCAGGGCAATTCTTCCAGGTATTCAGCCCACATTTTGTGCAGTCTATTATATAAAAGCCTCCTATAGCAAATAAGAAGTGCTTAAGATCTCTAAGGACGCGGTGAAGCATTACAACAAAGGCTAGGCGGTAACGAGGTCGCTATCGGCCCCTTCCTCTCTGGCAGGCTTACTCAGCACCGTGTGTATATCTTTCCTCCTTCCGCTCAATTGCTAGCTTCCTCACTTTCATCAATACAACAGCTTTTGGCTTGTCTTGCTCCGCTTCCCCTCTGACTTTCGCTCACCGCTAAAAAGTGAAGCAGCAAGCGGTTGAAGTGCATTCTTTTCGCTTACGTCGACATCGCTCCTATATATCCAGGTCACCCTCGCTTCAACGCCCGCCTCCTCAACACCTACCTCAACGTGGGGCAAAAATGGCGGAGGAGTTGGAAAGCGTGAAGGTGAGCTCTATTTCTGATCGCCCTTCGTTAATAAGGTACTGATCATTTGATTAGTTCAACGGCACCAATTCAATGGCCATTGAGTGTCAAGACTCGATCTTTGTCCCGCTGCGACCGCGCCAGAAGCGTACCCTGGACCACTCCCAAACTTTGCAGTCGCTGCAACCTCCCGGGGAAATCAGCAATGACAGCCCATCGCCAGCAAAGAAAGCGAAGCAAGGACCACTGCCCGATCATGACGAGGGAGGCGTAGAGGAGGTTCCAAGGTCGAATTCAGAGATCGGTGCAATCACTGCACAACCCCACGTGGAGGTACGTGAGGTTTGAAGAATCTCTCTAGAAGGCTTCCAGTTGCTAGACACCAATTCAGGTCCTCTACACGCTCGTCAACGCGCAAACCAAACGAATGAAGATCGTGTCCGCCAGCGGCGCCTGGGACATCAATCTTCTCTTTCAACCGAATGGCCAGGTGAAGATCTCATCCCCCAGCTACCCAACGGAGCTTCAATTCCGCTTCGATGCTCACGGCGAGCTGAACCTCAGTGTGAGCAGTAGCTCTACGGTTACGCTGCATCTTAAGGCTGAGGTATGTCTACTGGACGAATATATCTGCAGCTTTTCGTTGTCGCGTGAGGTTCTTGGCTCCATGTGGCTGGCATAGGATTAGCTGCTCGAAACGAACGGAGATGGGAGGATTGTACTTCGCACACGTCCACATGGATACCGATCTACAGTGTTCCTATTCCTCAAGCTCTACGCCGAGTTAAGGATTCAGATCTACGACCTTGTACTTGAGGCGGATGGTACTTCCGGGTGGCTGTCTAGTTACCGTGAACGCCATCAGAGGTGGCTGGCTAATTGCCGTGGATCCCCACTGCATCTTCTACACTGGAATGAGCCTACCATTAAGATCAAGGGGCATAAGTGGTGCCTAGGATCGGCTCAGAAACTATTATGGATCAATCAACAGATTCGTGCCGAAGTATCAGCAAAGGTGTTCCAGGTGGAGACAATCAGCTTCTTCAGGGAAGAATTCAGTGATCTCGACATCTTACGCAAGGTGCTCTGGCAGATCGGTGACGTAGGAAAAAAGAGTGTTAAGGAGTTGTCTTGGGTCAGGTGGTGGACTAGCAGCTGGGATGGGGACAAGTCAAAGAAGAACCTCGAAATTGAGGTCGTGTCTGACGTCGTGCGGCGTCTCCAAGAATGCACGAATCTCCAACGACTTACGATCCAAATTCCCGGGAGGAAAGGCCTAGCCCCGTCTAAACTGAGGTCATCGCAGTTCAAAAGCATTTGTGGATTCGGTTTGCTTCGTACCATCCAACACGTTCCGAACGTCGAGTTTCTGTCAAGTCCCAATATTCGCCTGACGAAGTGGCTGTATAATGGCATGGTGCAAACAGAACTCGCGGGGTAAGTTTCTCATTTGCGCAGTCCTTCTTGATCTCACAGTGCAATAGGTAAGCCATATACGAGAAGGTTTTGGCTACGGCAGAAGGACTGATGTCAAGTTCGCGGGCTAGTTGGGCAGCGATATAGGTCGAGATTCTCTACTAGCTTTCCCTAGACCGCTCCACAACGGAGCATTCGAGAGACCGAGGTGGAATAGCGGGATTGGCATCATCCATATTTGGACGTCCGAGCACGGCGGCATACGTGCGATAGACCTTCAAAAATGCCCCTACCATCAGCATTAAAAATCCGATCGTTCTTGGATGAGGAGTGCAGAATGAATCTGGGAAACATTACCTAGCGTCAATCAGCCCTTCCCTTTTGTTTTGACTTTCTCCTTGCATTTCCAAACCCCGTGAAGAAAACAGCAATTCGCTCGAAGTTCTGAAGCGAATCAAAACATCCAAAACAGTGGCAGTGGCAGCACTAAACATGTAGTGGCGAAGTGAATCTTACTCGAACTGCCAGTCCAACGCATCGGCGGCGATTTCCATTCGCAGCCCTCCTAAATCTTCCAACCTTCTTCCTCCTAATCACCACCTTCAACTTACTACCTCACAGCGGAAGCAGACGCACCGCCACTTCAGGTAGGGATCACTGTCTATTTATGCTCAAATACGCTCTGCTGACACCTGCATTAGCGCAAGCATATCCAGATGGCCGACGGTTCTACTGCAATCAATATCCACAGTCTAGCGCCAGGCCCACAGAACCGCGCCCTGTCCTTGGACGAGGGCCATGGCACGAGCCGGTTTCGCGAAAAGTCTAACGTTGACGACAAGCGCGCGGCAAAGAAAGTGAGGCTGTCACGATACCGGTCCGATGAAGACGACGTAGAAGAGATTCCGAGAACAGCTGAAGAAATCAGTGCCATCGGCACGCAGCCAGATGGAGAGGTATGTTACTCTTGTAGTACGAATGAATATCTGAGACGCATACTCACATTCATATAGATTGCCGAGGTACCTCTTAGTGCGCATACTCAGCATATGAAGCTTGTGTCTGGTGATCGGACCCAAGACGTCTCCGTATCTCTCGATCCTAACGGCAATCTGAAGATCATTTTAGCTGGACATCCAATGGAGCTTGCTATCCGCACCAAGCCAAACGGAGAAATGAGGGTCAGCATGAGCAGCAACTCCAATATCAAGCCTTACGTCAAGCATAAGGTGAGTTCATTCAGAACTGTTCTCCACTGGTTTGCTTCGCGAGGCAAACTTTCGAAAAGTTTCTTTGAACCGCAAGCGCGTCAAATTGTAGGACACAATGCTAACTATCTACCAGAATCTCCAGAATAGGGGAGAGAAGGAGGTAATTCTTTGCGGACGACCAAATCAATATCGTCGCTTCACCTTCCTGTTCCACGAGCTACCCCAAGAGGTACGTGACATGATCTATAAGAAGCTCGTATACAACGACAAGAAGGGGTGGGCGTCAAGCTGTTTGCGACGCCCTGGCGAGCCGGCTTTCACAGGCGTCTGTCACCCACAGAGTCCACAGGCTCTGGGTGTTGGTCAAAAGCTGCTCTGTATAAATAGGAAAATCCGCGCTGAAGTAGCCAAGGAGTACTTTCGGATCTCCAAGTTCGATTTCTCGGAGGCGGATCATTGCTATCACAATCTAACGATCGTGCGCGACGTGCTTGAGCAGATGGGCGAAGTCCGTAGAGCGGACATCACGCAGCTGCAAGGGATCATGTGGTGGACGCCAGCCTGGGACGACGATGTTGGAGCAAAGTTAAAGCCAGGGCTAGGCAGTGGTCCAGGCCTCGCGGGTGAGGTAGTGCGCCTTCTCAAATCTTGCCACAAGCTCGAAAAGTTGGAGATTCAGATTCCAGAAAACAAAGGACTGGTCAAGTCGAGGTTGAAAGAGAAGCACTTCGGGACAGTCTGCGCCTTTGACCTCCTCTATTCCGTCAAGCATGTTCGACATGTCAACGTCCGTAGCCCTTACGAGGCGCTGTCAGATTGGTTGCAGAAGGGTATGCGCAAGATAGAACAGCAACATACGCTTGGGCACTTAGTGTAAGTCTACTGATGATTCCGCAGGCTTTATTGCGCGGCTGAAAAGAGAGGGCCTTTTTGACGCAACGCAGTTGTGGGGAGGCAGCACACACAAAGAGACAAACTCAGGGCCCTCCTGATGCCAATAATATGAGCTAACACGACATGCAGCCACCACAAAAAGCACATGCAATATTACGAGGAGGTGCTGGCGGCCGGCGGAACGCTTCATAGGAGCGAGCAGAAACATTACGCAGATCTTCAGGCACACTTTCAAGTGCTGGGAACGAGGAATGGGAACCCAAAGTCATCTGCTTGACCTACGTTAGACTTCACAAGCATCGCCAGAGGATGCTGATAGCGTAGCGGCGTCTAGAAGAATCTAGTGGTCCGACAGTGGTTATACCTCTGGAGGGAGTATCTGGTTTCGAAGTTTGGACGTTCCCTTCTCATTTTTTTAGCGTTCGGTTTGATCTATGAGCGGAGCGTGCGATGTCCCTGCTTGCAAGCTGGCTATTATGGGAGCGGACGGTGAGATTCGGTAAAGCTTAACTAGAGGCACCTTTGTATTCTGAAGCACCATAGTGCAGATTTGACATAGCGGAGTGCTCTTCCAACTCAGAAACACCTCGGCTATGGTTACAAAAAGGCAGTGAAGTGCGCCAAGAGCTGCAGTTGACGGTCATGTGAGCACGACCGGCGTGAGGTAAAATAGTTTATCCGGTTGTTAATATTTCAACTCACTCTTCAGATCCTCTACCTTCCAATCACTGCCCAATCCTGAACATCTCATCTCGGCATGGCAAGAGGCATAGAGAGCCCAGAGGCAAGAACTATTAATGATCACAGGTGGTCCCTTATCTACACTCTGCTAACGACAAAAGGCTCCACACCGCAAAGCCAATGAAGCGGACACCGAGGAAGTTCCGAACGCAATTCATGAGACCGAGATCGCCATCGCGCAACGACAGTCTGACCGGATAGGATTTACAATCTTTCCTTTCTTCAAGTTGCCCGCAGAGCTACGACTGGAGATCTACAACCTCGTGCTCGACTCGGATAACCTAAGGGGGGGGTCCATGCGCGGTAGGTTTCCGGTCCAAAACAAACCCGGCCTGGTGTGCCGATCCATGGGGCGGAGGGCTCTAGGAGTTGCTCAAAAGCTCGTATGGATCAACAAGAAAATTCGGACGGAAGTTGCAGCAGAGATATTTCGGATCGAGACGTTCGACTTCGATAGCTCAAGATTTTGGAATCTCGAAATGGTGCGCGACATTCTCATACAGATTGGAGAAGTCGGACGAGATAGCATCAAAGAGCTCCGAGCTATTCGTTGGTGGCCGTGGGGCGAGGACTGGAAGACGGAGAACTCTCCGAACTCGGAGCAGTATAGGGAATGCGCCGCCGCCGTCGTGGATCTTATCAAGTCTTGCAAGAATCTCGAGAGGCTGAGTATCCGGCTCCCGTTCCATGAAGCCATCACACCGACCGTATTGAGGCCGTCGGAGTTTGGAGATCTTTGCGGTCTCGGCTTCATCCTATCTGTTACACACGTTCGACACGTGTCCTCCACTAGCGCATACGCTGATCTGGGAAAGCTTGCTACCTACTGGTATACGTTACACGGGTTGAAGGACAATATGCAGTGGGGAGAGACCGAAGAGGACGTCTTGCGTTGGCAGGCGCTTGTACCAGACTCTTCATCCTTGAAACAGTATGTTCGATACCCTTCACATCTTGACGTCGAACTAACAGTGGGAAAAGCTTCCACGGGCAACACAACACGGCATACTACAATGAAAAGCTGAGGAATGGCAGCAAGCTTTCTCTGGCGGAGGTGGTCCTGTGGGCTGAAATCCAAAAAGCGGAGGCTGCTCTCATAAAGGCGGTATTTTGCATAGAGCTGAAGCTACGAGAAACCAGATGAAACGGGTTCAGGGTTAGCATCTTAGTTCCTGCGACTGTCTATGGGACTCCAACGTACTAAAAGAAACTGGGGCCAGTGGATACACTTGCTATCTGCGTACACCGTGTTGGCGCTGTCTGGGGTAGCCTCACAAGGTAACCAGTTGTCCAAATTGCTTAACTTTTCTCTTATTGACAATGCTGAAAGTAATCTCAAGCTCCTCCCACAGCGGTAAATGAGTGTACGGACTGCAATCTTTTGCTTGAGCCTGAGAACTTCAACAGAAACTTTAAAAGATCTTCTACCCTCGTACTACCTACGCTGCATCTGTGATATCATACGAAATCCGACTAACTCCCTTCGACCTACTAATCTTCTTCACCACAATGCCCCCCACATCCCTCGTACTTGGCAAATGCGTTCCACCACACGGATACGACCCGACACCCTCTACCTCCACCACTCTAAACACCCCCTCCTCTGGCACCGCCATCTCCGCCGGCACCGCCGTACACTGACTCCTCGTCGTCTTCTCATCCCACCAAAACACATTCACAGGAAGTCCCTGCTTCACCAACTCGTTCGCCTGGTCCTGGATCGCCTTCTTATGCTCTCCAGCAATCAACCCAGAATACTCCACAGCGGCGGACCCAGGCGTATGCTGTGCCTTACCCTCTGTCACCCTCCCCAGCTCCGGAATCGACGACTCCGCAAGCTGCCGCACCGCGAGGCCGAGGAGATGCCCGGCGGTGTGCAGCCGGGAATGGAAGTTTCGCTTCTCGTCATCGATGGCCTGCACGATCGTTTGGCCTTCCGAGAAGATGCCGCTACTACTCTCCGCGGGCGAGGTGAAGGTTCCCTGGTGCAGAATGCGGTCTTTGGGGAGCTTGCGCACGGACTTAACGTCGAATTGGATGTCTGATCCGGGCGACGAGGATTTTATGGAGCCGGTGTCGCTAGGCTGTCCGCCGCCTTGGGGATGGAAGATAGTTTCGCGGGTTGCGACGATGTAGTCGGTGTCTGCGGCGGCTTTGAAGAAGCTGCGGTCGTCGTCCGGGAGGGTGGTGATGGGGTGGCATGATAAGACGGCGGTGGCGAGGTTGCGCAGTGTGCCGTCCTTTTGGTAGACTGCTAGTGTTCGCGATGCCATTGTTTGAGAGGAGGAGAGTGACGATGGAGATTGGGATGGGTTCCGGAAGTCTTCAATGCCGCTGAAAAGTCTAAGGAATCCCGCTGAAGGGGCTTTTCGACCTGCGCAAATGAATGAAATAAGAATGCAAGCGGCCGTACACGCGTATATAACTTTCAGCAATTGGAGAATGACTGTGGTTGTATAGATGTTTCGAGAAGGATTCATGTCAAGCGTAGGGCGTCATCTTGCCAAGAGATGTCGGCAAAAATATTCCAAGCATTCCGGATCGACCAATCAGAAAATATCTTCCACCTAAAATGTATGATTGGTCAAAATTGCTCGATTTTTTGCAATTCTTAACTCAGCACCATGCGTTTTCCCTACAGCCCTTAACTAAGTCGCTGGAGCATCTAGCGTTGACACATCAGTGGCAGGAGCTTCTGTCGCCGGAGCGTTGATGGTCGCCTCATCCCCCTTCGGCGGATCCCACCTAAACAATTTCGATTCCATCTCCGGCTTCGGTCCCCATTTCCATTTCCCCACATGCCTCATCCCCACCTTGAAATACAGCGCCTCTCCCGCCTTTGTTGCAGCTAGCGAGACTGGAATCTGCTCCACCCTCGCCTGCTCAAAGCCCCACTTTAAAAGCAGCTGTCCTACTCCCCTCCGCTGAAAACTCTGATCCACCAAAATTTCAATTACGCCCCAGAAATCGTCTGGGTCCTTGTCTTTAGGGTCAAAGTACTCCTCATCTTTGCTGCCGTAGGTGAAATACCGGACGACGCTCATGGAGGGGTTTTGGATGGCTTCGACGGCCTGAGCGATGTAGGTGTCGCGCATCCAGAGCGACATCCCTGTATCAACATTAAGCACGCCATAGAAAAGACAGCGTTATGGGGATCGACACTGACGCTGTTTTAACGTCTGCTTAGGCCACCACTTCTCTTTCACCTCCTTGCTCTCACCGTTCCGGTTCCAGATGCAGAAGCCTGAGATTTCGGGTGCGCCGGACCATTTGTCGTCGGAGGGTTCGGTCATGGCAACCATGATGCGCACAGAGGGCCACTCTATTAGGTTCTTGTTTCGCTTTTCGTAGGCTGCCTGGTACGCTACGGGGTGCTTGTGGCGGCCGGGGTAGAGGTATTCGTCCATGGCATCTTCATTGAGAGAGCGGACCGTGATGGCCGCGAGGTGAGGGATGTCGCTTGCGATAGCTGGTCGGACTTTCATAATGGCAGAAAGGGAGATGAGATGTGGAGATTTCGATGTTTGGAGATAATGTAGAAGTATTTTGAGAGTTACGCGGAAGCGCTGATTCAAATGATGATTGCGGTGGAAAACCAGAACCTGATTGTATGATATACGAGGGAAAAGAAATCAGAATTAATGTTTAAAAAGTAGACCGGAACAGGTTACAGGCGGCGGTTGGTACGCCCCACTGCTGACATTGCTCGCGCCGCGTCACGGCAAGTCCAGAGTATTACCTCATGAGCTACACAGTGAGTCAACCGTGGTGCGATGCCGTTTGGTACAATGTGCACAGCCACGAACAAGAAGCCTACTACTCTGCCTCGCAAGGTTGACTGTATGTAGCTCCTGAAATGACCCCGGCGGTGAGATTGGGTTGTTCGGCTATTAGATTGACTCACCTTGTTAGCGCATCCTGCCGTGCCATAGCATCGGTATTTGCGCCCTTCGGATCGGCTGTCTTACGACAACATTAGGTTAGATCAGCCCTTCCTGTCAGATTTTTATGCATTTACATCGTATTGAAATGACTCCGAGAATGCTAACTATCTAATTAGTAAGGGAGGTGTACGAAGTTTGTGGACGATGAGTGGCCAATTAGATGCATTGGAGAACTTCGCACGAATAGGATCGACTCATGAGTCTGATTGGCCAACTGCTTGCTCCTTTGAAACAACGTCTTAAGACGCAGAGAACTGACAAGAATGTATCGCGATCACGAGATGAAGATGAATCCAGGATGAAGTTGATTCGAATACCGATCAATTCGATGCTTGCCTTGTTCCCCATTCGTTATCAGAATTAGCATATCGCAGTGAAAAGGAACTTGTCAAAGCCAATTTCCCGCTATTCGTAATGACCACCGGTGATGCGAACCTACGCTTACTAATACGTCTGAGCATACCAACTTTGGCCCACCACTGGAAGTCAACGCACTTGATAGTAAAGGGGAATGATCAGAGAGGTGATCCTATCCTTCGAACTTGGGACCCGGCCCTTCGCGCTTCGATCTCGTTTGCGTTTGCCCAGCATAGAGACCTCTGCGCTCTGTCGAGAAGTAACTTCGCGACGGTCAGGATCCTTTATGTCGCTAAGCTTCTTGCGGAACGGAATGTGGCTTGGCTCTGGGCTCCTGTAGTATCGCCCAAGACGTTTTGCCAAAGTATCTTTCCGGACAGAGAAGCTGTTGTGATGTCAGGGATACGCCTCATCTTGACAGCCTCGCAACGGGAATGTTCCTCCATGCATCAGATAGCCTATCACTGGAACATTCAAGCCGACGTCATCGTCGATCGGCTCCTAGCCGCCGTCTTCGTCTAGTTGGTAGATATCTCCTGGATCTCCAGTTTCCCTGTCAGAGTAGTAAGGGTATGGGCCAGGATTCACCGGGACGTCTTCCATCGCGCGACCCTCCAGCAGCTTCCCTTTGAAAGAAAGCCGGCTTAGCGCACTGGAGGATATCCATTTACGGAATCACGGAAGCGTCAACCGCCAAGTACTGCCTATGAGCATCATATGCTCAAGCTCGAGGAACTTGAGATTCGTGTTCTGTTCAAGAAAATGTAGCACGTAGTCGGCGTCCATTCCCATCCACGTAGGGGAGAGGCGCTCGAGTTTTGGCCATACGGATCGTTCTTTGTCATTGCGCGGGTGGATGAAACGCTCGAATTGAGCTGGCATGTTTTGATACCATGCTGCCGGGCTCCAGCGTGTGAAGGAGAGCTTCAGGTTTCTGAGATTGGGTATTTTGATAAGCGCCTCGTGGGTCGCATCGACTGAGTCATCGAATTCATTGACATTGGCCACTTCCGCCACCATGGTGTTGTTGAAAGCAATGGTGGTCAACGTCGTCGGATCCCAGGGTGTCGGATAGACCCACTCATTCCCGCAGTATTCAATTGGCATCTCCCATCGGCCGAGAAGTGATCCGTACTCATCTGCAAAGATGGGAGTCGTCATAGAAGCCTCCAGCGTCTTAAATTTGACACTAGACGCACGGCATGCCATCTGTATTCCCCTGAAGAATTGGTGCGTAGCCGCTTCATGCACCCTGATGGTATCAAGACTGTCCCTAAATAGCTTCGAAACTTGACGGACTCCAGAGCTGGTAATCCTTTAATCAAGTCTAGGAAGCAGACACACTTGCTTACAGTATTAGAACCCAGCGTGGTTAGTAAACGGGCGGCCGGCTTAACTAGGTAGCAGATTGATTGGACTGTTATATATAGAATTGAGTTTGATTGATTGGATTGATTAGATTTTGGTTTGAACTGGTTTGATCCAGATTGACAAATAAGCGAATTCGATCGCGCTTAGCCTAAACGGGTAAGGTATCAGATCCCCGGAGTTCTGCCGGCCTAGCCGGGAGAACACGTATTGCTAGCCTCATTAACCACGGCCCCAGCGCCCCCTCCAGCACCTCCACAATGACGAGTTGAGCTTAAACGGACGACGGGAATCGATTTATACAGGTCAAATTACGTTTTACGCGAATTACTGGGTCTACTAGGCTTCAAAAATGCGCCCCTTCGGTACTCCGCCCGACGTTCCCAAGGACTCAGGTTGAAATTGATGTGAACTCTGATTTCTATAGACGTCTAGCTAGTTGTATATATACTAGGGGAAGGAAGGGGGCCACCCCCAGGGTGGCGCGCTAGTAAGTTCAGATGAGCCCTGCACAGCTGAGGCTTCAGCTCGGTTCTCTACAGCTGAGATTTCAGCTGGGTTCTCTACAGCTGATGTTCGGAGAGTAGCTTTCTGGCATATGAGTTGTTGATCCTAGGTTGTAGTGCTGCAACCTGAGTCAAGGGAGATCCTAACCCCCCCTTCACCTAGAACTCACCACCATGGTACTCTCACGTCGCCCTTTACTCTGGGGCACTCTGTAGTCTCATCCATGGGTGCATGGGTGTAGTTCGCGAGCCGTCTTATTATTAGGCTCATAGGAATTTATATGACAAAGTTATGTCTATAAAAATCCGGTCCAATTTGTATCAATTTGTATACATCCTTTCCGTTTTATACAACACCAATCGGATCAATCAGATCAATCTCCGCTTGAGGTTTGATTGGCTAGAGGATTGATTGATTGGATTAATTAGAAGTGATATTAATAAACCGGCCGTCAATCCGATTGAAGATTGGCCGGTTTACTAACCACGCTGTTAGAACCCACGGTCTGCACGCATCGACGACTCTTGCAGGTTGTGTCGTGCTCTATATGATTTCCAGTATTGTGTAGTACCCCCGAGAGGCCCGAGTACCCATCCAAATGGTCAACACGACTAGGGTCCTCAACGCATTCCAGAGACTTGATATGTTGAGCAAACTGTGGGCCCTTGGTTACCAACGCAAGCAGGCGGTTGAAGCCAGTCATGTTGTTCCTGAGATACGCCTCCGAGAAAAGATGGGTGACAGCAATTGTGTTGTAAGCCGAAGATGCGCGCCGAAATGCCTTGAGCGTGGGAATATCGAGGAAGTTGCAGATGATGTGCAAGAGCTCTGGTGGTATGGCGGGAATGTTCTCATGCCAGTGCGGCGATCCTATTAATTGCAGACGGGGAGGAATGTGTGGGACTTGATGGATATCGTCCATGGCGTCGAATCGGAATATCGAAGTCGCGATTTAGTAGGGAGAGTGTGGCCCTAAGAGAAACACCGCTGGTCCTGTAGCTTGGTGGCAGATGGTGGAGGTGAGGTGGTATTGTCGTTTGGGTTGTTGATAGGGCGGTAAGATGGAGCGGAAGAGGTTTGGCTGTTAATTGAGTGTCATGATGTGCAAAGCCAAGAAAAGTGGAAGCACTTGTGGCATTCACTGACTTCTCGGCCGCCAAGATCCGAGCTTCAGGGTGAAGGCGAAGAGATTAAGCACGCGGAACAAGATGTTTTCTTACTTGCTTTTCACTATCCTGGCAGCTCCAATATCGCAGCAATAGCGTGAATGGTAAGATAGTAAATCCACTTATTAAAGAGATTCCGAGTGTATACATGATATATAACTAGCCACATTATACCGTACGTCCCCTCATTGCTAGGGGTCTAGACGCTAGTGATATCAAGACGCCATGATTTAAACGTGACGAGACATTTTTGAGCCTTTAAGTGTTTTCTTGCAAACCGTATACACATTCACGTTACCAGTATGACTGAAATTGAGTTTCGGTATGAGAATGATGATTTCAATCCCGTGCCTAGCGCCCCAAATAATGAAGCCGCTGTAGAATTTTGTTATGACGATTCTCGAAAGTATAATAACATCCGCCGCGGTCACCACCTAAAGAGCAGTTTTAGCCTACCTTGATTAAAAGGCAATGAGGTAAGAGGATCGAGTTATAGGGATACAGGGAATTAGTCACTTGTTCTTCGCTTGAGTGCACGCTTTGGACTTCATCAGTCTAATCCAGCTCCAACATTGCTCGCTCTTATTCGTCCCCCTCCCTCCCGTGCAGATATGTTCCTTTCCACTCCTCGCCTCCCGTCTAGACGTCTCGCTCGCGTTTGCCCAATGCACCACCTCTGAAAGAGTGTCGCTTGCTATGCTCATCACACGATGTCTCGACCTCGTCGTCGGAATCTGAGTCCAGAAATGAATAGAAATCTGAGTATGGAGCTACATCGGGAATTGCCATCTACAAGCCAACCTCGCAGTCCACTGCTTGGTTTTGGCCACTTGAAATCAGCTGGCAAAACAGTTTTGTGATGCCATCGGTATTATTCAGGTGTTGCATAGGTCGTCCTCGGCACATAAGTTGCTCTATATGGCTTAACAGGATCCAATTACAGGCTTTTGGAAGAGTTGCACGCCAAGTACCGCCTACAAGAACTATCTTCTCTAGTTCCAACGCCTTCAGGATAGATGTATGCTCTACAAAGAACGACAAGATATGCTCGGCGCCGACGTCCATCCAAGCGAGAGAAATTTGCTTGAGGTTCTCCCATACAACCGGCCCTTTCTTGCCGTGGTCATCCTCTGGGAGATGTTTTAGGACGGGCATATCAAATGACCTCACTAGGCACTTTCTAGTTGCGTTCGAGATTAGCATGCTCTTGAAGTCGTGATGGAAGATTCCGCGACACTAGCCAGCCAAGCGATGATCTGGAGGTACGCCGTCAATGCTGATGCTCGTTAAACTCGTCAGTGGAGCAATTAGCATTTGAGGCAGCTAAATCTGATGAGGTGGCCGACTCGCTTGGGTGGCCGACTCGCTTGGGTGGCCGACTCGCTTGTGGAGTACGTTAGAGGTTTGCGGACTGCCCGCGTTGAGCGCTTCCCAGCAGCAGTTGATGCTGACCGACATAACGCATACAATAACAGAACTCCAGCCGACTAGAAGAGTTGGTTGTCCCCGATGTCGTCAGCAACGCAGTCCAACGACTTGACATACTTTGCAAACTCCGGGTGCCCAGTGACTAGCTCCAGCATACGATTGAAATTGTCTTCGGTAGGAATAAGGCTAGCTTCAGAGAAGAGATGAGGGATCACAATCTCGTTATTAGCCAACAGACGCAAGCCGGGACGACTTCAGCATAGCTACGTCAAGGTAGTTGCAGATGAAGTGGAGAAGCTTGGGTGGGATGTTCGGTGTGTCCTTCTTACCAGCCTCGCGATGGTAGAGCTGTCTCGGAGGGTCGTCCGTCCTGAAAGTGGGTGCCGCCCAAGCGCTACGATGTGAGTGGATCGTACATAGGGGCGTGGCTTTGGTGGTATTGAGCAAGAAAGGGGCGACTGGCAGGGCATCGACTACTGGCGTAGGCTGCAGCGCATCCCGGCCGCGACCATGGCCCGATGAGGGGTGATACAATCATGGATGGGGAGAGCGCGGCGTTGGATTGGAGGGTGATTGAGTATCTGATGGATGCAGGCGAGTTCCCGTGGTTTGATGAGTATGATGAGTTCGACAACAGTTGTTACGAATCGCTGGGAAAGAGGAAACGAGGGTAGCGCACAGATGGCTACGTCTCTACTAAGCTTTGTATGGTCCGTCGACGGTGACGGAGCCTCCTGGCATACCCAGCATGCTTGGGTGCCAGGATCGAAAGAGGGTAGTTCTGACAATCTGTTGCGATGATACGGGGGCATGGAACGCATCTGGAAGGATGAGACCTCTTGCTCCCGATGCCTGTTTTTCATAGATCTTGGGTAGCTTGGGATTCTTGGCATAATGGATTGAATAATGAAATTGATGCTTTGACTTACACGCTCCCTTCTACCGCGGGAAGGTTCAGTCTTTGATAAGACGTGTACATGAGAAGTTACTGCTCCATACTTATGCCCTTTCCGTTCCCTGACCGCCATGCTTACCATTGCGAAATGTTACGACGAATCTTTCGTAACCTGACCGCCAAAGGAACACTTGTTCTCGCGACTCGCGACTATCTTTCGACTTTGGCATCGCTATAGACGAGCTTGATTGCGTCTAGCGGATAAAGATGCTCGAGAGGGACCACCATATTCTGAAACCCTGTGTTCACGGACTTGCTAGACTCAGGGATACCGGAGAATGTGCATCTTCTCACGAGCTTGGGTCCTTCTCGAGCTGCGGATGGTGGCAGAGAAGTATTTGCACTCCCGAGACAGAGACATCTGAGTAAGGGGTGGTGGTAGAGTAGGTAGGCAAGCAGTTACGACGCTAAGTGCGGGCTGGAGGACTTTGGGAATGACCACACGGCAAGATCAGCCGCATCGTTGGTGCAGTCTTGCAGAGACGAGCGTAATTGGAAAATGGCATCATATGTTAGCAACAAGGGCTCCAAATCTTTGGAGATAGATAAGAAGAGTACATGCGGGAGTTCATATGCCCGTTTCTGGTAGTGGTGTTCATCGGGTGTGATTTCAGATCGCTGAACGTCAAGCTTGGAGGAGGGATGTGAGTCCCACGAGCTGAGCAGGCGCTGGATGTACAAGGTCTCCTTGGTAGTAGGTATTTCTGATTGCGCGAGTGACGACGGCAAAACCGAGGTGGATACATAGCCTTTCGAGGTCCATTTTTGGCCTCTGCCTCAAAGAAAGGGTATTCTACAACTAAGCGGGCCCTACCGTGTCCGCAGTCTACAGAAACTTGCGATGCTGTCCAACGATCTTGAGTGCCACATAGTTGGCGCTGTGACATGCCGAGCCTTTCTACGTCCGCGCATCATCTATATGCAGATATTATTGGAGAGATTGCAATGTCGCGAGTCGGCCGTGGGGCGTTTTAAATAGCAGCAAGATGGATAAAGCCCGCCAGGTCCCCATTGTTGAATGGTTGTTCTGGATTTTGATTCTCTCCTATGTTCCGACGTCGCCTGGACACGTCGGTTGATGTGGCGGACGACTGGTTTCGAGGTTATCGGTAGGCGTCGCGGGAAAGCAGGTGGGTCGTACGGGTATTAGGAGTTGGATGTGCACACGTACTGTGCACAGAAAATGGGGTTTTTGGCGCAGGTATCTGGGTCACTGGGCTTTTGTCAGTCTCTCGCATCTAGAGGGAGGAGCAAAACATACATCAACTACATTTCAAGGCGAGGATCAAGAGACGCATAGGTCGCGGTGCGCGTTCTGCGGGTCGATGGTGCTCAGAGAAGAGAAATATGGCATGACGGTCATGTAACCAGGGCTACCGGGGGGAGCAAAGTTGTTGAGTGGACGGACGATGAGGCTGATGTTGGGGTTGCTGTATTCAAAAAAGAATACGTTCAATACGCCATCCCATCCGGTCCTAGCTCGGACAATAGCGCCGGAGACCCCCGGGGCGGTTCACAGCCCACTGCAATCCCACCTCTTTCCATCACCAAATCATGCTTCATCCATCTATCCACACACCGGCCGTGCTTCCAATCGCCGTTGCCATGCATTAATCACCGTCTATTGAATGTCGTAATAGCGCCGGACTGCTGCATTATCGTCCTCAAAATCCGTCTACGAGAGGACGCTGCTTGCCCAAAGTGCCACGACGACGTGCGATGGATTGATGGCTCGCGGTGGGCAACCCTCGTTGCGGCAAGGGTTCAGATGCGCAACGCTATGCTTCAATAGCACACCCTTTCTGGTGTCGATTTCGTCGGTGATCATCTCACTTGACTACAGAACACTGACCTATTAACGGGTGAAGTAAAGATACGGCCGGAAAAGGCTTCCTTGCAACACGATCTGATATACTTATCATGAGCGAGAGTGCCACTCTATGGCTGCTTTCCTGTAGGGCTTCGAAGATGTGCGAGCTTTCAGCTTGGAAACATTTGATCGAGCCTGTTCCGCTCTAATATTGACCTTGAATTCTTCCGGGCCCAAAGATCCCCGAAGATGTTTATCCAGATGTTCTCGAAACTAGTAGCCGTGCGATTAATGTGGCCAGGCGCGAAAGCCTACATGGTAGTAGATAGCGACGAGACAGCAGATAAAGCAACCGGAGAAGAGCATACTGGAATGAATATATTTCCCAGCGCGAGCCAAGAGAGGATATGGTTCGGCCTGGTAGTGGAGAGAGCTATAAATTTACTTTTTCGCCGCAGTTCATAATCTTCCATAATTTCATGATGTCTCCATGGAGCCAACTACGCATTCTTGTCGCATTTCATGATCTACATTCGTTCCATGTTTCCCTTACTCTATCAACTAATCCCAAGAGGCGTCAATGCATGAGGGACGTCGATGCATTTAGAGCTGTCGAATTGGTATTTCACACAAGCTGCTTATCTCTGCAGCAAATCTGCGCATGTTCATTGGTTGCGGGTACCTGCAGGGCATCGATCCTGGGCCAATCTACTTTCGTGGCTCAATTTTCGGGCGTTCTGCAACTCTGATTGGCCATGTAGGCGCTACTTACTCATCAACCCATGGGCTTCCCACCTTTTATCCCGCTTCGCACACCAAGGAGGTTGAATTGAAACCGGCGAATTTTTTTGGTCCTAGGCAACTCAAAGGGCGAATTCGGTTTCTGGAGGCTTCTGCGCTGGGGGCTGAGAGAATCGTGGCGCGGCATCTCCGTTTGCCAGCAGCGTGCTACGCCGCTTTTAGGCACACCACCACCGTCCTAGGACCTTTATACTTTACACCGCGCACTCCCCAAATTCTTTCGCTTCCAGAAACTATCACAAGATGGTTCCCACGACAGTTCCCACGTACACTACGCTCAGATACGTGATTGATCACGTCTTCTTGCCGCCCCAAGTCCACAAGCAGGAAGATGACTTCAAAGTCGACCGAAGCAACGCTCTTCTTTCCATGTTTCTCGGCAGTTTGAAATCATACGCATCGTTGCCGGCTAATGTCTCTCCGAGCTGGACAGCGTGCGTTGATATGATTCAGACGATGGACGACCTGCAAGGTTCCTCTCTTGCCCTGGATACGAAGAGCCTTCTTGCCAAGTTCGACGCGTTGGCTGACGGAGGTATGCACCGTTGCGCTCCTCATAGTGATTTTGATCGCTGATTGTGCCCAGATACTATCGCACTGCATATCAGAGCACAGAACGCAGCCCTACTTATCCGCAAACACGATCACGAGACTACCTTCGAAGTCTTCGAGCTTTCCCCAACTACCGATGCCGTCATGGGCTGCAAGTCACGTCTACGTCGCTCGTTTCCTGGGCCCGCCATACGCATCGCCAACACCGTTTTTGCGGACGCAGCGTTCCTGGAGCCGCTAACGGAAATGCTCGTGAAGCTAGACTCGGAGACTCCCACGGAGGTGGACCGAAGCACCACAACAACCAAGGCCAACTCCACCGTCTCGGAGAGTCGTCAAAACACTGATCCAATGATGGTGACCGGCCTCCTCATAGGCGCTTTGCGTGCTGCCGGCACCCCTGCCCACAACGTAGTCCGCATTGAGAAGAACACGCGCGACGACGTTCTGTGGAAAGACGCCTTGAACCCCTGGCGACGATCACCACTGTGGCTTCTACTTCGTGTCGCCATCGAGACAACGTTAGTCCAGACCGGATTACAGGAAGGAACTCGTTATTTTAAGTCGTTCATGATCTTCTTCTTCAGTCAGGTCCTGCAGACTGCACTGGACGAATCACGCAACATTTCGAGCGACCTGCTCTTTGTGATGAAAACTAAGATCTGTCGGCGCATGTTGAAACTAGGTCAGACGACGCCTTCCATACCTAGTGTTGATATAATTCTCCACTCGGCCCGAGAGAGGTTGAACAGCTGTTGGGAGAAGCTGCAGGGTGACAAGGACCCGCATCATATCTGGAAGCAGTGGGACAAGTTTCAGTCACACATATCTTTTGAAGAAGATACAAAGCTCGCACTCAAAACCTTCCGCGGATACCTGGGATCCCTCTCCACCCGAGAACTAACCTCCGCTGCCGAAACCGCTTTCGAGCCCGCGCGATTGAGTCGCATCCGCCAGTGCAACCAGACTCTCCCCAACTTAGACTGTCTAATCTCTGCCGGGCCCCGTCAGAAGCATGTTTTGCTCACTGATTTTGAATGCTGGGTTGATACTTGCCTTCCCGAATGGCTGAGTCACAACATCCAAGACTCAGACACGACGAGGAAACTTGCAAGTTTACTGAAATGCTATCCCGAAACAGGGCGGCAATTTTACGAAGGCAATCCTGTGTTGCTATCCAAGATGTTTCTCACGACTATGGAACTCTGGATTGCAATGGATCGATCCACTATCACTCTGCATTCTCTCGTCGCGAACTATTACCCGAGCTTCCCATCCACACTCTTAGAACCAACCCTTTTGCCGTCGAAGCGACAACTGACACGACTGTCTTTGATTGAAAAGTACATGAAATCTCGGGACGCTCCAGTCGATCTTGGGAACCGTTTGCACTTCTTGTCTACCAAGGATGATAGCCTGCCAGTTCGGTATTACGAAGGCTCACCGCATCACATGTGGCTTCGTCAGTGCATAGAGGTTGAAGCGGCTAGGAAGCGAGAAGAAAAGCGGGATGAGTTCGAGCGGTTGAAGACCGAATACAGGAACCTCTCAAACGAGTTCGCCAATATGAGCTGCAATGAGTCAACTTTTTGGAGCGGCAGGCGGATGGTCACTGATCATGTGAATCACAATTGCAATAAATGCCAGCTGAAGATCAGGATAGAGAATATGCGGATTGATGTCCACGAGTGGCCATTGCCTTCCGACAACGTTCAAGCGAAGCTGGTCGTCTTTGAGCTCGACGTACCCGAAGCGATCCGACAGTGGCGAGATGTGACGTACTGGCTTCAGGCTGAAGTTCTTGCCAAGCAGACTTCCGGGTCGGAACAACAGCTGTATTGGCTTCGAAATTATGATGGTCTGCGAAATTATTGGGGACCGACGTGGGGAAGATTGCAATTAGGATCATACGAGAAATCTTTCACCATCTCGCATTACCGGTCCAAGGCCGTCTCGACTGCCACCGAGGCAGACGTATTGCTCAACCATGGCATGAGATACGATCTACGGGATTCGGACCGAGAGCAAACAGCGAGTAGTTGTATCGGCGATTTCACAATTCGCGCGGCGTGCACTCTCAAACTTCCCTGCGACCCTTACAGGCAGCTTCAAAACACCCTCTGCAACACCACTCATACATCGAATGAGATCATAGCTCGTCAATGGCAATGTTCCCCGGCCATGACTCTCCACGAATTTTATGCGTTTGGCGCTCTGCGTGCAGGTCATCGCCTTCAATGGATAAACATAGCGAGGGAGCTGACTGAGAATGTCCTCTCTTTCGGTAAATACGAGGTGTGTGCCTTGTTCCTGCAAGCCTCTTTGCAAGCTGGGCCAGCGGGGATATATTCAATTCTTCGAGAGTCTCACGAGATATTGGAACAGAAGCATGTTAGCCTAGGCCTACTCACCGCACTCGAAGAAGGTCTCTCAGGCGTCGAAGCAAATTGGCAAGGCGCGATAGCAGCCCGTTTGTTCACCGTTCTTGCGTCTCGTATCCTGTCCCTTACTGCTCAGAAAGATGTAGCAGAAAAAGCTGAACTCTTTTTGCGCCGAGTTCGCAAGATTGTGCTGGGCTGGACACGAGAGCTTCAAGGGAAACTCCAAAGGAGCACCGACGAAGAGGAGCGTACTAATCTCCGGTCTCATTGTTTGGAAGTTGCATTGATCGGCCACTTGACTTTGGGAGTCAATAACGAATACGTGCCGTCGCTACTCACAGACCAGTCAGACATTTCCGATGCCGTTGAACTCATGGTCTCCGTCCGCGACAACTCTCCAACAGTAGAAAAAGATGTTGAGGCTCCGCTCCGTCAATTACTACAAGAGTCAACCGTGCTATGTCTTCGGCTCGAAGATCGGATTCGGAGCCTGGTTCTTGCTGACAACTCAGGTCTTGACCATGTCACCAGGCAAATCTGGACAGCTTACCGGCCTTCTGCAGGATGGATGGCTCTTCCAGCTCCGAATCAGCATTGGCTTACCACCAAGACACAATCTACGCCCACACAGAGCTCCTCTACCGTCCATCTGAACCTTTTGACCGGCCAGCTACTTGTTAAAGGGAAGCCGGTATCAAGACTCCCTTCGCACTACGAATCTCACAAAACTTTCCAGCGACTCTTTGGCGCTAAAATCCTCGATGTTATTCCATCCAGCTCAGACGGGATGGAATTTGAAGTGCGTGAGCAAATTGAAAGTCACCAGGTCCATTTCAAAATGGTCCATTCCGAGTTGGTCATCAGAACGATTAACGCGCAAGGCCAAGTGTTTGAACTAGTCCCGACATGTGCCCTAGAAGGGGATTTTCCCATTGTATTCATCGAAGATTTCCATCACTGGCGCAACGTGGTCACTGGCGTCGTGGAGTGGCGTCGACTTTCATCGCCATGGGGTCGAGAGCAACGCCCGTGGGAGCTCATTCCCGATGGCCAAGACGTATACCAATTGAAACAAGGAATCACAGCTCTCGTAGAGCCCAAAAGCCCCACAGGCCGCAGTCTGTCCTCCTTGCTCCATCCTCTGGAGCATAAAACTTACCTTCATGCTATCCTGGATGCGAATACGAAGGAGGTTGCTGTCCACCTCCCGCGGCTGAATTTGAATTTCGACCTGGGGCCTGACATGTCCGATTTGAAGTCTAGGCAATTTAGAGGGCTGGTAGTAGACCGAGATCAGGCTATCGGAACATTCACCGGGCTACGATCGAAGCTCGTCCTCACCACGCCTGGTGGTACTGGGTGCGGTAAAGAGCGATGCGTGATTGTCCCATTTGGAGACGTTCAATTCGCCCGCAGTGTTGATCACGTCGAAGTCAGCGTGAAGACTGATGAGGCCGCACGTCAGGTCGGGTACTACGCCTACGATTTGGATCTCAACTTGAGAAAGCTGACTGGCAACACTACTTTGAGAGGCAATCTCTATAAGACGTATCTCCACGCCGTGACTGCACACTGTCTACCAGACAAATTGACAGCGACGACCGGCACGGAAGAGGCCCTTGATTGCATCCGGAGCGCATCTATGAGATCATATGATAATCCCTCGAAAGATGAACATGAGCTTCTCAAGATTATCGCTGATCTTACGCCACGCCGTAACTTCTACCCGCTGCACCTGAAGGTAATGCAGACAGTAGATTGGTCTGATCTGCCGCCGCTTTCACAACACAATGCGTTCGCCACGGAGGTCGACAGAATTCGTCGGCACTATTCAAAGCTCAGCTTCTTGCAAGGTGATCAGGTTGATACAGCTGTCGAGGATTTGACGGACGGCGAGAAGTTCCTTATGGAGCGAGCCGCTCTCCGCGACGCGGTATTTTGCCTTGATGGCTTTGGGGCGGAGACTTACACCACACAGCACGACGTCGCATACGATACTAGTGATCGCGGTTTCGTCCGTGAAGGCGAGCTCCGATCATACGCCGCTGCCAGACTAGCGTGTGACTGGACCGTTGATCTGGGTTCTGGGTTCAACATACAATCGTACTTGGAAGGCTTTGGGAATGTCACTATCAACGGCGTTACTGGCCCCTCACACCCCAAAGATGCCATGATTGAACAGTTGGGGTACGATCAATCTTGGCTTGCGGAAGGGAAGGCATTCCTCCCGGATCTATGGTGCGCACTACAGCATCGCTTTTCGTCAGCAGATCAATCGAAGGACAAGTATAGGATTAGCTTCTTTCTGGCAACGCTGGTGTTTTGCGGCCGCAACGACGAGAGCCTTGTCAAGACCCTTCTGGCATTCGCAACTGTTCCTCGGCTTCGCCACATGCGGTCCCCGAGTCATAACACCTTTAATCTAAAGAAAGGCTACGCACCGCGAAATGCTGACCTTGTCGAAATGGCCAATCATCACGCTAAAGACTGGGCAAATTCTCCGGAGTCTGATCTTGCACAACTACCAGGTGAGTCTAGCGCGGTCTTCTGGAATCGCTGTCACGAACTCTACGAGAGAGCTCTGAGTCAATCTGCGCATACATTCGCCGATACTCTCATGCCGCAATGGAGAGTACCATTCCGCGATAATCATCCGCTTCTCCTAGTGCCTGGAAATGACATCGCCAAATACATCCACACGGCAGATGCGATCGGGGATGTCCGAACACGCTTTCTAGAATGTGCTCAGAATAACGAGTTGCTGGACTACGTGAACAAAGCGCAGACTACATTGAATGGCCTGAGCCGAATGGTCGGGGTGCCCGATTCGTACCTGGTCCCATCGCCAGCGCCCAGAACGCCTCCAAGAAATAGGTCCATCCGGTACCTTGATGTATTCCAGGCAACTGCACCAACGTTGATAAATCAACAGAAGACCGGAATCTTCACTCCGTTCCTGGAGCCCAAGGTTCACACCAAGGCGGGGGTTCAAAAGCAACGCATGGAGGCGTTGCTAACTCTGCTTCGCACCAAGCCCGAGGGTAGATTCGACCAAAAGTACGCTGAAGACTTGCAGCGAAGCTACGAGTCTCTCGAGGCCTCCGAGGCCCTCCCGGAACTTTGTGGCTCGAAGGAAGATTTGAAGGCCGCAATTCAATATCATCTGGAGTCGTGTAATCGGCACGTTGGGTATATATACAACCGCATTTGTGAGGCAATGCGAACCGGACACACCCAGATGGCGGCCCGCAATATTTGGTCTGACCTTGCGCCACGTCTCTCACCTTTGTCCTTGCTACAGCATTTGGCATACCCAAAGCGAAAAACTTTGGATGAAAAATGGAAGCGAGTTTTGATCCAGTACGGTGTAGCACTTACGGAACTTCAATGTGCGCAGCGACTTGTCAAAGCCTGCAAAGGCTATGTCGAGAATCCGGTGGATATTGTGAAAGAGCTCACTCACCCAGGCCATGAGGGTTGGAATCCGAACACACGTCCCGATTGGCTACTTCTGGAACTTGAGGGTAATCTCTTGATACGTCCAGTGCAAGCCCGAATTGCAATGGAAATGATCGAACCATCATCGAATTTGAACTCAATCCTGCAACTTAACATGGGAGAAGGCAAATCCTCCGTCATCGTACCAATTGTTGCGGCATTTCTCGCCGATACGACACAAAGGCTCGCGCGGGTGGTTGTGCTGAAGCCATTAGCTCCCCAAATGCTTAACACGCTAATTTCCAAATGCAGTGGCTTGCTTGGTCGACCTATTTACTACATGCCTTTCTCTCGATCACTTCGGGTGTCAGTCGAACAGGCCGTCTGGATTCGAGAGCTGTACCAAGAATGTATGCGCGTAGGCGGCATTCTCCTCTCTCAGCCAGAGCATCTTTTGTCTTTTGAGCTGATGGGTTACGAGAGCATCCTCTCCAACCAACTGCAGGTGGGAAGGGAGATGATCAAGACTCAGCATTGGCTACACAGACACGCGCGAGACATCCTTGACGAGAGTGACGAAATTCTAAGTGTTATCTTCGAGCTTATATACACGATGGGCACGCAACGTCAAATTGAATTCAGCTCCGATCGATGGAGTCTGATTCAGAGTACCTTGGGAAGATTCTCTGAGCTTGCGGTCAAGACGCTCGCCGCATTCCCCGAGGGCGTCGAGGTGGAAGCAAAGAACGGACTCGGAAGCTTCCCTCACATTCGCATTGTTCAAACAGCAGCCGGGGAACATCTCCTCAGGAATCTCGCCTGCGACATCTGCTCCACCGGGCTGTCGACGGGTCTATTGAAAGTCCGAAACCTACCACCACAAACCCGCGACCAGCTCATCAAACTCATCACAGATCTTAGGGTGTCGAAACAAGATATCGAGTCGTTGCTCAAAATGAAGGATGACAGCAAGATGGATGAGTCGATGTGGAGCACAATCCTTGTTCTCCGGGGCATGATAGCGTGTGGAGCACTTAGCTTTGCTTTCAAGGAGAAGCGGTGGCGTGTTCAGTACGGTCTTGACCAAAGTCGCTCACAGCTTGCTGTTCCATTCCGCGCCAAGGATATGCCATCCGCCCGTGCCGAGTATAGCCATCCTGATTCCACCATCATATTGACTTGTCTTTCCTATTACTACAAGGGACTTGCAAATGAGGAGCTCCTAAAGGCCTTTGACGCGCTTTACCGCTGCGACAATGCCCAAGAAGAGTACGAAGCTTGGATCCATGACGTCGGACTCGAAGACATACCTCTGGCGTTCCGGCAGGTCAAAGGGATCAACCTCCAGGACGTCGATATATGCAATACTAAACTCTTTCCACGTCTCCGTTTTGCCAAGGGAGTGATTGATTTCTATCTCTCGCATCTAGTCTTCCCGAAAGAAATGCGCGAGTTTCCTCATAAGCTATCTTCCTCAGGCTGGGACATTGCGCAGACGAGGGCCCACCCAACTACTGGTTTCAGTGGAACAAACGATAGCAGGTACATCCTTCCGCTGTCAATCGAGCAATGCGATCTTCCAGAGCAACTGCACACCAACGCGATGGTCATGTACAACCTTTTGGGAGACGAAAACAACTACCAGCGAATTCAAGAACGGCCCGGACTAGGAACGACCGTCAACGCGAAGTTGCTGCTCTCTAATGTTGTCGCCTCACGGCCGCCGGTCCGTGTCATCATTGATGTTGGTGCTCAAGTTCTTGATCTTCAAAACGAACAAGTCGCGCGTCAGTGGCTGGAGCTCACGAGGGGTCAACAAGACGCGCAAGCAGTGGTATTCTTCAACGATGAGGACGTTCTTTTTGTCCTTGATCGCAACGAGACGCTGGAACCTCTCAACGTTTCTCCGTTCTTACGTCAAATGGACCGATGCCTAGTGTATCTCGATCAAGCACATACACGCGGTACTGACCTAAAGCTTCCAGACTACAGAGCTGCCGTCACGCTAGGTCCGCTGCTGACAAAGGATCAATTTGTGCAAGCATGTATGCGCATGCGCAATCTTGGCAAAGGTCAGTCCGTCGTCGCCTTTGCGTCGAAAGAGATTGAGATGCAAATCCAAAGCTGCAGCGGCACATCTACCGAGGACAGAATTGGCATGAAAGGCGTCTTGGAGTGGTGCATTCGGAATTCGTGCGCAAAGGCGAAAAAAGAGCTCTTGTTGTGGGCACGGCAAGGACTACGATACCAGAAGCAGCAGTGCGCCCTGGAAGTGAGCGAAAGGGACTCGGAGGGTAACCTCTCTTTGGAAGTTGCGAAAATGCTTCTCGAGCCCGAAGCACAGAGTCTGGAAGAGCGATACGGCTTGGACTCGTCTAGATCACTTCACAGCATCGCTACTGATTCCGAAAAAGAGTCGATGACCCATCGGATAGATCAGGTCAATGCGATCATCCAAAAGTGCTTGGAGTATAACATCACATCGCTAGCCGGGGCGACTCTGCAAGAAGAGCAAGAACGTGAGCTTTCACCGGAGAACGAGAGGGAGCAGGAGATAGAGCGGCCACGACCTGTGGAACCATGCCGCCACACGATTCATCCCATTATCCGGAGCTTTGTGCAAAGTGGGAACCTATCACCCTCAGGACGGACAACAGCGTACCAAGATGCCTTCGCTAGCTTGCACTCCACCAGCGCTGGAGAGCATACAGGGATCGAAGAATGGCCGAAGAATGAGCTCCTGGTCTCTCGCGACTTCGCGAAAACAGTCCAGATCAAAGAACATGAGACGTCCGATTTCTATGTTCGGCCAGTGAATTGGATCATCAGTCGCACCAACGCCCGCGGAGAAGGCACTTACCTAATCATCAGCCCGACAGAGGCAAACGAACTGCTTCCATCTATCATGGACTATCGACAAGTAACCCTACATACCTACAGCCCCCGCACCCGACTCTCCATGCGCTCGTTCGAGGACCTCTCGTTCTTCGCCCTTCCTGCATTCTTACCTGCGGCTCTCCCGTCACAACTGATTCCCGTCCCAACTTTGGTAAATCTCTTCGCGGGCCAGCTCTACTTTCGAAGCTGGGATGAATACGAGCGAGTGCGTCTGTTCCTAGGCCTCTGCTATGAAACGGAACATGCAAGAAGTGATGGGTTCGTTATGCCGCGAGATAGGAGCATGGTGGCGCATGCGCTGGAGGACTGTCGCTTCGCCGTCTCGCCGATTGGTTTCTTGAGGGCGCTGGTGGGTATTCGGCGAAAGGGACAAAGTTTCGAGAGGTCACACATGGGTACCCTGCTACGAGGAGAGGGGGTCAGCTTGGACGAGCTAGTCGAAGCGTAGATGGTGAGCTGGGTATCCGTAAGGCGAACGTGAAGGGGGATGTTATGACCTCCCCTAACTGTGAGGCGCTGGGCTATTCTAGTGTCACGACTATCACAGAGGGCCAGGAACAATGTGGTGGAGTTGAGGTATCGAAGGTTAGGAGAGGGAGAGGGGCGTCGGACGCGCGAGCTTGCTAAAGAATACTTCAGCTTGCTATGGCAGATGACATGGCTCAGGTACTGCTAACTGTTTGAGGATTGTGAACCAAATCGTCGTACGCTTTCTGACCTTGCCGCGGCTATGGTGAAGTCACTTCAGCAGGCGCACCATATAGAGATTTACGAGCAGCGAAAGGATTCGGAAGTTATCGATGGGCGCATAGCTTGGCCTTATTAGGCTGTCATGGCTGCGGATGCGGGGCTTTTCATGAGGACACGAATGAGTGTGGCTTGATTGCTCGACAGGTGATTGGGGGACATTAGCGTGATTGATGAAGAGTGGATGATGCTGTGTGGTGGGCGCGAGTTGGGTAGAGCATATGGGAACTGTTGACGTAGAGGGATGGAGTCCTCCGCCTTTGGGCGACAAAAGCCCTTTCCCTAGGGTCAAAAACTTGTGCCAATTATATCGTTTAAACTGAGTTCTCTGCAAATATTCGATCTTCGCACGAGCAATTGAGCTCGCCGAGTGCGATGCTCAAGTGTAGCGGTTTGCCGGCCCTTTCTTTGGCAGTCTCTCCGGCCTTAGTCTCGTCGGCGTTTTGCGTCCCCCCCTTGCATCGTCCACGACCCCTGCCCATCGACTTCCAACTTCCCCAATTTCCTCAGCAAACGGGGCTCGAAGTTCCTCTTCTTCTTGTTCTCCCTTTCGATCCTGTCCACCATCTTCAAGGCCTTGAATTTCTTGGCCGTATTCACCCTAGTCTTGTACCATAGTGGAAGTTCCGAAGGCGGCACCGGTTCCCCATCCGCCTCTCTTTTCTTCAACTCCTCTCTAAACTTCTTCCGCTTAGCAAGTATCGGCATTCCAATTCCCCTCTCCTCCAGCTCAATCTGTGCTTTTCGCATCTTCTCTACCCTCGGAGTGAAATCCAAGTGATGTGGCAAGGCCCGACTTTCAGCATCTTGCAAGTGGTCTGAAACTCCCACTTTAAGAGGTTTCGAGTGACGCCCAACTACCCAGGCGAGCTCATTGTTCCCGAAGTACGGTCTTATTTGGACGTAGGTTCCTTCCGGCATCGCATTGAGTATTACCTCCGGCCACAAATGAGGGTGCGTAGCCCAATGCCAGTCGAATGAGATTTTCTCTTTCTCTTGGCTAAAACCACCCTTTATCGGGACGCGAACATGGATCTCCACCGGGCGATGAGAAGCGAGTTTTGTAGCTATATTCTTCAAGAGCTCCTTGTAGCGAGAGGGCGCCTGGGTGAAGGAGAAGTATATTTCTGCCAATCCTTTGAAGTGATTCCTAGCTTTCTTGCTCGGCTCTTTGATCGGCACCACGGGAGGGATCTCGCGCAGCTCGTATTCCAGGGCGGTGAGGGCAGCATCAGGTGGTGTGTTGAAAACGAACTCGGACCCGAAGGCGGAAGGGATCTCGCTGGGAATTGGTAGTAGGTATGAGCCTCGTGGAATGTCTGTGAGTAGTTTCGACGCAGGGACGGTGCTAACGAGGCGGAGTCGGTCCATTGGTGTATGTCCCCTTCGTTTCTTCACCGCCTTCTCATCCCCATCCGCGCCAGTTGTTCCGGTGTTCTTCACGTATATGTTGACAAGTCGGTCGTCACGCAGCTCCGGCGGATGGAAGGGCGTATAGGCTTTGATTCCATGGGCGCCGAGCGTTGTCTTAGCGTGGGCGAGCTTGAAGAGGCTGAAGGCGCGGACGTGGTTTTGATTGCGGCGGGCGGAGGAGAGCCATTGCGCGGCGAGGGGGTGGCGAGAGGGCCATATCGCGTAGACTGGCACGCGAAAAGAGGCGATGGAAAGACTGCGCATCCAAAGAGCAGCGCATGTAGATGGTTGCTATGAAGTGGTGATGGAGGAGGACCATTTTGAGGTGCGTAGAATCTCACAAACACCCGACCTTCATCCGGGCGCTGAGTCAGCAGCTACATACTTAGAAACTTTAAAGCTTCCCGACTTCATCCATCGCAAACCATAACACACGCACGATCCGTCTCATCTCGATTCCCTTTGCATTACCCATGATTGAGGAGACTGTGACGAACCATCTGCACGATTGATCGGGGCTACCATCCCAGATTAAAGCCGTGCTCCCACTATTCCTCCATGTTTAAGTATCGCTGTCGAATCTGTCGCATTCACTTTCTCCGTCTGGTCCTTCGTTGCGATCATCTAGCCCTTCAAGTTCATTTTCCTACGAACGCTTCAGCAATTCGCTTCGCTTCAAGAAGTGAGATCACTTGTTCGAAGAAGGGAAACAGAAGCTTTCTCTCCTCATCCTCCTCACAGCTGAGCCAACACCATTCTGCTTGCTAATGAACTCGGGCATTCATCAGCGCATCCACCTGGCTTGTGGGCAAGGTCCCAGACCACTTCAAGTCGGGCAGTTTCCCATTCAAGACAGCACCTTCCCAGTCCTCGTTAAGCCATATGAGAACTTGATTCGCGTACTCCAAAAAAGATTCTTGGTATCGTGAGTTCTTTTTTTCAAGTGACGTTAGCAACCCTGGTGGCGTGCTAAGGTCGACGTACACTCGCTTGATCGAATTCGGTAGTCGATTGCTGAAGGTAATTTCGAAGGTAGTCTAGTCGTAGGGGTAAGGAAAGTCGAAGTATTCTGAAGTCCACCTTTCGTACAACTCTTCCACGTCGAACACGGGCCCGTGATAATCGAAGCCATCTCCAGGGTAAACTTTTGACTGCGTCCGGAAGTACGGAATACAAACCTCCTCAATGCCAGGCCACGTTCGATTCGACGCCTTAAGGAGACTTTCGTAGCGGGCATTGGGGGCATTGAGATGGCCAATGCATTTCGGCGTCAGGACATACTCGACCAACTTTGTGGGGTGTGGAAACCAGCTGCGCAACACCTCGATAGTGTCGGCAACGATTTGTTGGCGGATCTCGGCCGGCAGCTTTTTAAGCTTTAAAACAGCTATTTTCCCTAAAGCAGGGTAACTCTAGATAATATTTCTACTCCACGTTAATATAGGCGAAAGGTTTAGGTTATAGGCGTAAGAAAAAAAAAGAATAAGGTAAGTAACCTAATAATATTTATATTAGTTCTTTAAAGCTAAGTAAAAATAAACTAAACTAAACTTACTAAAAGCTTTATATAGAAGTAATTAATAACTTATATATAGTTACTAGCTTATATACGCTTTTCTACCTCTACTAAAATTAGATAATATAATAATAATCTAATAAAAAACTTTAATATTTTAGGGGAGGAATATTAGTATACTTTTTATTAGAGAAAAAAAGATATATATATAGAAAAAAGGGGGTGTATAGTTAATAGCGCCCGTTTTTAAAGGTATTTATATATATACTACTTAGGAAAATAGCTTAGAATATAGAAAAAATATAGTAGAATAGCTATATAACTTTTCCTAAGCTAAATATCTATTTATTTCTATTAAACTACCTATTTTATAGTTTTTAAGAGTAGTTATATATATATTACTAATAAAAATAGCTTATTATATAGAAAAAAATACTATAAAATAGCTATATAAATTATCCTAAGCTAGATATATATTAGTTTATATTAAATTACCTATTTTACTATTTATTTTATTACTACTAGTTTTTTAGAGCTAGTTATATATACTACTTAGGAAAATGCCTTAAAGTATAGAAAAAATGCTGTAGTATAGCTTTAGAGTTTTTCCTAAGCTAGATATTTATTAGTTTCTATTAAATTACCCTTTTTTATTTTAGTTTTTAAATTTTCTAGTTTTAAAGCTTAACTATATATATATTACTTAGAAGAGTGGCTTAGTATATAGAATAAATAGTATAGAACAGCTTTATCTATTTTCCTAAGCTATATAGCTATTTATTTTAATTAAATTATTATTTTTATAATCTATAATTTTTTCTAGTTTTTAAAGTTATTTATATATATATTATTTAGGAAAATAGCTTAGTATATAGAAAAAGTAGTATAGAACAGCTATATAGATTTTCCTAAGCTAGATATCTACTTATTTCTATTAAATTACTATTTTTTATTTTAGTTTTTAAACTTTCTAGTTTTTAAAGCTAATTATATATATCTTGCTTAGGAAAATAGCTTAGTATATAGAAAAATTAGTATAGAATAGCTCTATTTATTTTCCTAAGCTAAATATCTACTAGTTTTACTTAGATTATTATTTTTATAATTTATAATCTTTTCTAGTTTTTAAAGTTAGTTATATATATTTTACTTAGGAGAATAGTTTAGTATATAGAAAAAATAGCATAGAATAGCTATATAGATTTTCCTAAGCTAGATATCTATTTATTTCTATTAAATTAGCTCTTTTTTTATTTATAATTTTTTCTAGTTTTTAAAGTTAGTTATATATATATTACTTAGGAAAATAGCGTAAAGTATAGAAGAAATACTGCAGAATAGCTTTAGATATTTTCCTAAGCTAGATACCTATTATTTTTAACTAGATTCCTATATTTACTATTTTTTAAGCTTTTTTAGTTTTTAGAGCTAGTTATATATATATTACTTAGGAGAATAGCTTAGTATATAGAAAAAGTAGTATAGAATAGCTCTATTTATTTTCCTAAGTAAAATAGCTATTTATTTCTATTAAATTACTATTTTTATAATTTATAATTTTTCCTAGTTTATAAAGCTAGTAATATATATACTACTTAGGAAAATAGCTTAAAGTATAGAAGAAATATAGTAGAAAAGCTCTATAAATTTTCCTAAGCTAAATATCTATTTATTTCTATTAAATATCTATTTTTATAGTTTTTAGAGGTAGCTATATATATACTACTTAGGAAAAAAGCTTAAAGTATAGAAAAAATGTAGGAAAATAGTATTATAAACTTTCCTAAGCTAAATATTTATTTATTTCTATTAAATTAGCTTTTTTATTATTTAATTTATTTTTACTAAACTAGCTATATATATATTACTTAGGAAAATAGCTTAAAGTATAGAAAAAATGCTGTAGAATAGCTTTATAACTTTTCCTAAGCTAGATATCTATTTATTTCTATTAAATTACCTTTTTTATAGTTTTTAGAAGTAGCTATATATATACTACTTAGGAAAATAGCCTACTATATAGAAATAATATAATAGAATAGCTTTATAAATTTTCCTAAGCTAAATATCTATTAGTTTCTATTAAATTGCTTTTTCTATAGTTTTTAAGCTTAGCTATATTATTATTATTAGGTTCTATTAGGCCGATTTAGCTCCTATTAGGGTTTATATAGCAGTACTATCTAGGTTTTATTTATAAGGGGAAACTATTCGCTTTATAGTAGTTAGGTAAAAACCTTATTTTTTACAGTATATAACGCCTTACGTTTTTTTTATTTCTACGCGGCTATAGAGAACACGTAGCAGCTCTATAAGTATTACTATAGAGTAAGCTATTTTAATATATTTTCTAGAATTAATCCGGTGTTTATAGGCCCTAGGTTCTAGGGTTATATAGTATTTAGAAGGTTAGTAAGGTCCGGGGTCTATATTAGGGCGTGCGTGCCCTTACTATACGCGCGTGCTCTTTTTCTTAAAAGCTAAGCTATTAAATTAAAGAATAATAGGAAATTAGAGGGGTTACCCTATTATAGGCGTGCTTATAGTTATATAATATACGTGTATATATATAGTTCTATTCTTAGGGCGTGGCTATATAAGTTAGCTAGCTATATAGCTAGCTTTTCCGTTGCTATCTTTTTAGCTATAGAGAGGTAGGGTAAAAAGTCTGTTTAGTGCAGGAACTATTGCGAATAAGCTTAGCTATATATATATTATTAGGAAAATAGCTTAATATATAAAAAACTTATAGTAAAATAGCTCTATAACTTTTCCTAAGCTAAATATCTATTTATTTCTATTAAATTGCCTTTTTTATAGTTTTAAAAAGTAGTTATATATATACTACTTAGAAAAATAGCTTAATATATAAAGAAATTATAGTAAAATAGCTCTATAGATTTTCCTAAGCTAGATATATATTAGTTTCTATTAAATACTTATATTTATAATTTTTCTACTTTTCTAGTTTTTAAAGGTAGTTATATAAATACTACTTAGGAAAATAGCTTAATATATAAAGAAATTATAGTAGAATAGCTCTATATTTTTTCCTAAGCTAGATATCTATTTATTTTAACTAAATTATACTTTTTATAATTTTTAAACTTTTCTAATTCTTAACTATTTAGGAAAATATAGTACTTTATTAAAAAATTTAAAATAGCTAACGTATTCCACCACTAAGCCGGCTAAACTACTAAGCCGGCTACTTTTCCTTAGCACAACTAATACTATATTCACACAGCAATATATTAACAACGCAGCGATTATTTATCTTAGTAAAAAGGCAGTATTAATCTCGCGCTTTAAGCCTTTACCTCTAGTTAATTTAGGACTATATAACGCGCTGTAGCAGCCTTTAATATATAATATTAGCGGCTCTTTAATCGGCTCTATAGAATTACGTTTTAACCTTAATTATAACTAAACTACCTAAAGCTTACTGCAACTAAAGAGTATATAATTATATAATATATCCTTAACCTAAACTTATAAGGATTTACGCCCCGGTTATATAAAGTGGTAAATATAGCAGATAAAGTACTAGCTATATATAGTAGAATACTAGTAGGTAAAAACTAGACTTAACAGTTTATATCTTATATAAAGGAGCTTAAAATAGCTTTTAATTAGGTAAAGAACTGCTAGAGAATACTCTAGGAAAACCTAGAGGTTATTAATATATAGTTTACTTTTATGCAAAAAACTATAGCTAAGTATAGTATCTACCTAGATAATATCTATA